GACAAAACAGTGCCTACTCCATATTGCTCGATTGGGCCTCCTGCGTGCTTGCGAAGCCCTTTCATTCCAGAGGAACATGGGGAACGTTCTGTACTCCGTAGGTATGCTCGTACAAGCATGCCCAACTGGAAAACTCCAGCTTGGCTAGCGGGAGATCCCTGACTGCGGTAACCGTGCACTGGGCTTTGCTAGTACAGCTGAGGAAGCCGTGATTTGGTAATGCACATTTCTCATGACTGTGACATTTCAGCAGATGGCACTGTGCACTCTCGTGCAGTGCCTCGAGTGCTAGAGAAGAAGACAGTGCCGATAAGAACAAGCACGCGACATAGCTGCAGAGCGGTGAGAGGAGGGAAATTGGATGTGACTGCAGGAGCGGGTGGGCGATTATTGCCCTCCAAGCCCTGGTTGCCTTCCAAGGTTCCTTGCCTTCCCTGCCATGCAGGAACTCGACTGTTTCATTCCTGCCATCTCGGTTCCGGTTCGACATTTCGGAGGAAAGAAGAAAGGAAAAGAAACAGTGAAGGAAGGCTGGAAGGGGGCGCATCTCTCTGCGCAGTCACGCAACTTCGACTTCACAGGGCATAGCTTCCACCGGTAGACTTTTGATATCGAGCCATCCCAACATCAGTGATCCATCACCATCACCATCATCATCATCATCATCCTCCTCCTCATCTCATCACTGTGTGCGCATCGATGCCTCTGCTGCCACCGACTGCAAGGCATCTGGAGATCTGAGATTACCCATCATCAGGAAGCCTCGCACGAACTTCTCCAACAGCCCACAACGAGCACGGATATCGACCCACAGCCTCCGAGATTGACACCTGATGAACTCTCCCAAAGCCATCTAGCGTCTCCTCCGTGGTACCCAGCTCTCTCCACTGGCTGGCTCCGATCCATCGAATTGTGGACGGTCTCTCCCGTACTTCGATTTGTCGAACTCTCGGCTTTCTGTGGGCCGCGAAGCGTCAACTTTGGCACCTTTTGCCCATGGCTTTATTGCTTGCTTTCTTCTTCCCAGAGACGGTGTGCCAGACCAGAACCAGCGTCACATCGGCCGGCTTGCCCGGGCGTGCCCATTGGGTGGCACCACTTAGATCAGCCTCGTTCATAACGCCTCCCCAGTACGAAGTAACGATTTTCTTGTCCTGCTCCGGTCATGCTGCCAACAAGAGAAGGGCAGATCCCTGCTAGCGGGCCAGTGCCCATGCAAGTCAACCAGGACGTCCCCCATGATCCACAGGCTCGTGCACTACCTACCCTGCGCTGCCCTGTTCTGGAACATCAGGATCGTCCAGTCTTCAGGGATCCCACGCCTTCGACAGCCTCACTTTCGCACTCGCCGCCCTGTGGTTCGTCCGGCAGCCCGCGCGACTCCACTCCAGTGCGAGGCTGCTCATGTTGCAATCCTTGCCTCCGCCCGTCCTGCGCAAGGAATGACCCCTGTCTCCGACGAATGAGCAACACGTTTCGACTTCTTCCAAGATGAGCACTGGCCAGCATTCTTGGCCCGCAGAACCAATCTCCATCTGCCATCGTCTCGCCCGCCCACCCCGGCAATCGACGGTGATCATCAAATAAACTGCACAACTAGTGGGAATGGTCGGGGTGCGAAGTGGAATGGATGTTTGTTACTCCCGACTCGAACCTGTACTTTTCGTGACGAGCAATGTGTGCCACACATCCTGGTCTCTTTTATGGGTTGCCCTAACATGCCACGTTCGACCTTTGCTCGTCGCCTCAAATTTTAGGCAGCATGGCATCTTGTCGGAGATCTCTGGCGTAATGAGTGGGACGGGACACCGGGCAGCATCAGGTATCCAGACAGACTGTGCTTGGTCATTGGTCATCACGAGCGGATCAGCGTCACGACCTCTGAAATGCTGAGTTACATTCACTGGATCCCACAACAGGACCTGCCCATCGACGCCCCAAGGAGCGCCAGAATAGCAGACCTGCCAGGAACATCACCTGGAACGAGGGCTTTTCAGAGGCCTGGCCTGGCTCATACGCAATGATCAGCCAGATTTCCAAGCAAGGCCAGGCGGCAGCCACGGGCGTTGTTCGGCGCACTCGGCGCTGCTCTGGCCAATTCCTCCTCGGCGCCCCATCATGCTGGAGCAGCCGCCTGGCGAAATCTCGTTGCTGACCCTCGAGAGAAAAAAAAAAATCAAATCTCTCCCGTGATCAACATCCACCCAGGAAATTTTTCTTTTACGACGCACCCCATCGTCTGCTCAGTCACACTGTCACACATTGGTCTTTGTGGAGTCACAGTTTCCAGACTCATCAGCTTCCGCCTATGGAGCCTGGGACGGTTGGGACAGCCAACAGGCTTTGTCGCCCGGGGGTGGTTGTCAGATGCGCTCCTAAATTTGTGGCTTGATGCCTGAGTTCGCATACTCTCGGTGCCGCCACCGCCCAGTCAGACTTGCAGACGCACGCGGGCCTTGCCAAGCACTCTGCAATGCACCTGCAGCCTTTCCCTGTGGGTGTCTTCTCGTGCTCGGCAATAGGCGCTTGCCTAGGCCGCCGTCAGCGACGGCCTTGTGGCGCGAGTGCATGCCACTTGCGATGCTGGTCTCCCCAAGAATTGCAGGATGGGGATATATCTCTTTGCATGATTTGCCAGCCAATGAACACCACCTCTCGCGATGTTGGTCAACAACTTTCGGCCTGCTGCATCATAATCCTGCACAGACTCGCAACCGGTTACCGGACCACGGATTCCTACTGGATGACCCGTTGATGAACACACCAACCAAGCACGTTATCACCCATGCCCAGCCCCAGGTTATCCACAATGCTCAATCCGTCTCTCATGACGGCCTGCAGCTAGGCGTTCATAGTTCTCTAGCTCTTATTGTTTAGCTGGAGACAATCTGGGAGTCTGCCTGCGAGAAACGGTTCTTTTGCCGATGGAGGAGGATTCCTGAGATATCCTCCAAATGTGAAATCTGAACGACGTCGGCACCTTGGCAGAGTGTTGAACGGACACGGCAGCAACCTGTCCGCGAGAGTCGGACGACGGATGCGTGGGGTAGGGTGGTCTCAGAATTTGCCTGTTGTCCCCAGCACCTAAGAGGTATGTTATGCAAGCCTCGCAGGTGTGTTCTTGACAAGCATTGGCCACGGGCTGTCCGCACAAATGCAATTCCAGCGCTTCATTCTCACAAGACATGTCGAAAGCGAATCAAATCTAGGTATGGCTCACGTACATACAAAAGAGCCAACTGTCTGGACGACTCGCGGTACACTGCGGAAAAGAGAGATGATTTTGGCTGCTTCTCCGCAGCGCATTCTGGCGACGAGACAAGAGTGACAGCGCTTGATACAGCGGATCAAAACTCTGTTTGTACGGGGCGGATGAAACTGAGTCGTGCACTCGTTTCCTCGTTTCTATCTGCCCACAGAGCATACCAAGTCGTACCTTTTGCCTCAAGGTTCAACCAATTGCTGGTCTAATCAAACGCGGCGGTCAGTTGCTGAAACAAGGACTCAGGCGTTGTTCGGCCCCACTCTTCCCAGCAGTCAGTCGAAGAACGAGCACGACGAAGCTGAAGGTGAAAAGGAAAGATGTGCAGGTCACGGGTCCTCAGAGTTCCATGACGGCCATTGCCCCCAGAGTGTGGGAACGGTGGTGTCAGCGAGCAGTCAAGGTGGCCACACCTCGCTTTCGAGCTGGTGCTGTCGTCGGGATGGGAGGCAATGGAGGGTACTCGCAAGCACGGAACGGAGCACACACACCCTTGCCTTCTCGTTGCTCATCCATCGTCATGCCGGGCTTTGTGTTGCCTTCGCACCTCTGCACTTTCACACACACAACCTTCGCAGGAGGAAGGGGGGCGGGAGCGAGTGACCGCTTGAACCGCCCTGTTCCAGAGGGAGGGTGTGTGTGGTGTCCAGGATGAGCTGGTTAGCGTCGTGAGTGGCAGTGAGACCAAACGCCTGAGTGGGCCAGTCATTTGCTGTGTTAGATTACCCTTGTCCTCGTAATTGCCCATCGTCACATATCCCTGCGCGTTAGTCGTCGCCCCACACCGCGCACCAGCGCCATTCCTCGCACGCCCCTCTGTGGATATGAACCTTATTCGAGCATAGCGCTGGGAGGTCTTGCAAGAATAGACAGACTTGCAGGGACTGTTGCGACTACTAGGGTGGCGCTGGGTGCTAGGGGTGCTGGGAGAAGTACGGAGTACGTACTCGGCCCACACTCAGTCATGGCAGGCGAACGCTATTGCGCGGTTTGTGTGGCTCGACGAGAGGGTGGTGGGCCGCCCTGGTCGACTGTTGCAATACCACCCTCCTCGAGGACCAGGATGGACGGCCGAGGAGGACCAGGAGGAAGCCAAGCCAGGGTGGAGACGCTCTGTCTTCACAGTCAGGTACCTACGTACCGCCGTCGACGTCCTAGTCCTGGCCTTCTCTCTTGGACGGGGCCACTGGGTCTCCTCCCGGCCAGCGAGATCGATGTTATCTTGAACGTCTCTCCCACACCTTGCAGCTCGGCCCTCCTACTTGACCAGCACCATCCTTCACGACACTCCTTTTAAACCCATTTCTCTCCTCACCTCTCTCCGACCCAAGGACGAAGGACATCCACTGTCCACTCCGCTCCAACGACCTTTATCCTCATACTTCCTCAAGTGTCTTGGACGACCTCTCTCCCACGTTGCTCGCCTTGTCCCCTAATACCACGACCCGCGACGACAGGCTTTACCCACGTTTGTTGACGTTCCCATCGCGACAACAAACCGTTTTGTGCTCTTCGACCCAAGGACATTTCCATTAGAGGCCACAGGATCTTGAGCCCGGATTTGTTCTCTTTTGGTTTTGCAAAGAGGATCCCACTGCCGGATTTCTTCTGTTTCCTAGCTGCCGTTTTACTCTTCCCTCATATTTGGACTTCCATAAGCCACCCGGCTCTTTGAGAAACCGACCCTTGGGAAAAGAAAAGACGACCCTTTTGAAAGGATCCAGGAGAATCTCATATCATGCAGCATGTATCGGGCCCCTATGGACTCCCCACTCCCCCGGCGTCACCGCTCTCCTTCGAACATCAGCAGAAGTGTACGATACAACACCACATCCCCACACAGCCTCATCACCAGGCACGATACGTTCCAGTGACTCCGGAGGAGCGGTTAGGGAAGTTTCTCGGTGGCACTCTCCAGCTGACAGGTATCCTCGGGACCGGCGCCTATGGAGTCGTCTACTCGGCTGTCGACATCAAGACGAATGTTCGCTATGCCGTGAAGACGTTGAGCAAGTTCAACGCCGATGGAACTCCTTTGGATAGCCGACAAGTCCAGTTTCAGACCAGGGAAATCCGACTTCACTACCTAGCATCGGCCCACCGCAATGTGGTCTCCATCCTGAAGATCATTGACGACCCAGATTGCATCTATGTAATTTTGGAGTACTGCCCTGAAGGTGACCTGTTCTTCAACATCACCGAGTGCGGACAATACGTGGGTAAGGATGAACTTGCCAAGAAGGTTTTCCTGCAAATCCTGGATGCCGTGGAGCACTGCCATACCCTTGGGATCTATCACCGGGACCTCAAGCCTGAAAACATCCTGGTTTCGGACCAAGGACAGACCGTCAAGCTAGCAGACTTTGGCCTGGCTACTGCCTCAGACCGATCCGAAGACTACGGCTGTGGATCGACATTCTACATGTCACCAGGTAAGTTTGTGACTCCGGAGACCTGACTTTTTCCTTCGTCTTTTTTTTTTTGCTTTGGCAGCTGCCTTTTCCAGTCCAGTCGAAATCCAGCCAAATCCCCGAACCCCAACTGACATTTTTCTGTTTCTCCCCCGCAGAATGCCTGGACCACTCATCCCGGAGGCCATTCTACTACTGCGCACCCAATGATGTCTGGAGCCTGGGAGTTATTCTCGTCAACCTCACCTGTGGTCGCAACCCATGGAAGCAGGCCTCTGTTGATGATTCTACATACCGGGCGTACACCAGGAGCCCTGGCTTCTTGAAGACTATTCTGCCCATCTCGGACGAGCTTAACGACATCCTGGCCCGCATCTTCACCCACAACCCGGAGCAGCGCATCACCATCTCGGAGCTCAAGGCCAGAATCAGTGCATGCTCTCGCTTCACCGAGCAGCCTTGCACCATTCCCCAGGCCCTGCCCACTGCCCCTATCTCTCCGGAGCACCACTTTGGTGACTACGAGGACGCTATCATTGATGAGCCTGACTTCGACGCCCCGCTGTCTCCCATTTCCTCGGATGGATCTCTTTCCGATGGAAGTTCGACATGCTCCTCTGACGAGGGCTCGCTGGCTTCCAGCTGCAGCTCCGTTGATGATGCCGAGGATGACGAGCTCTGCCGTGAGCGTCCTGAGGTGACAACCCCGCCACCCATGGCTGAGGGTCCACTGGCCATCCTCGAACCCGAGGACCCAAGGATGTTGAGCTTCCAACAGGAGTTTGTCCCATACCCCGGGATGATGCTACACGACCCAATGCACGCAGGACTTCCTTTGCAGCCGCCATGTGCACCCAAGCCGCACTATCACAACGTGATGGAATGGATGGGCAAGTACGCACAACCGGCGCCAATGCAGCACTACCCAGTGCCGTTTCACCATCAGGTCCCTGTGTTCATCCCTCAGGGATGCTACTAGCTTCGTCATTGCAAGGAAACACCGATGCGACCGCTCTCAGTCTCTGAGGGGCGGCTCGGTCATCGTGCAGGTTTGCTCCTGGTATCGTTGCCTCTACCAACGATGGATGTCCAGCAAGGCCCAGCGCTCCGTGCCCTCGCACTTTTGGCTCTATCATTCCACGACCCCTTGGACCATGAGCCCACATTCCAGTAGCTGGCACTAACACAAGCTACCGGAAACCTTTCTACTACAAACTTTCATCACGCCATTAGGATTTGATACCCATTGGATGGATTTCTGATATTCCGGACGGACCCCCTAAAGGACCAACAAAAAAAAGAACCAAACTCGGAAATTGTTTTGCACATACAAGCTTCATACTCCTGTATCTAGTCTTTTCTTACTCTTCTCTCTACTTACCGGTCTTGGAATTTCTTATGTGTTTACAAGCGCGGAGTTGGCGGATGTTTGCAGAAGCGATCTTTTTGTCATATCAAAAGGGGGCACATTTACCAAACCCTCTCTCTTCATTATTTTTTCCTTGGGAGCTGTCACTCGGGGCGAAGCATCTTCTGTTTGGCGCTTGGGAATTATAAAGAATCGGACACGGAGTTGTCAGTGTCATTTCGGGCGAGGAAAAAAAATCCGATGTTCAACGTTCGGAGAAGCCTCTCTTTTCATTTCTTCTGGTTCTCCATCACACCGGCTGGACGGGTTTGATCACGCGTGCGCTGCTCGCTATTCTTGCATCTCTTCCCACCTGGTCTCTCGGAAAACCATTCCTATGGCTGCCCTGGAAGACCCAAGGGGGAAACAAGAACATTCCACTCTGGTCGCCTGGAGAACTGGTTGTTTGAAGAGGACTTCTCAGGATCTATTTGGCCGGTCATTCTACTCTTCTGCTTGTTGGATTCACTACGGCCTGGGAAAGATTTCTTGTTTCGGCTTGTTTTAGGGGAACGCTTACGGGACACGAGAATTTTACTAGAAGATATCCCGGGTCAACAGCCCATCTGCCTCGGAGGGAGGTCAGAAAAAAAGGAAGGAAAATTCTTATACGTTAGGAGTTCGCTCCCGAGAGTCTAGAAAACCTGGCCTCGACAGGACGGACACAACGGGGGATTGGGGAGAGACAACATTGTTCTAGAGCAAGACAGTCACACATCCCACGAATACACATGACGTTCTTGGGGAGTCCAAAGATGACTCTCCATGTCACAACAAATATCTTTGTCCCTTCTATTCCAACGTGACCCTCGTTCTCCCTTTGCAAACAAACACCGAGATCATCTCACTGACGTTGGGAGGAGTGTTGGGGACCGATGTTCTTTGATGCCAAGTTCCACGTGAGTGACGCTGTAAGCACCTTGCCTCCTGGCCCGAAGGCAACAACCCCAGTAAGCCGTGGAAGCCATGGTACTCGCAGATTGCCTTTGCCCACCCACAAAGGACACCGTCGGTCGGTGTCAAAGCGGAAGGCCTACGCTAAGACAACCCACAGCAATGGTTACTGGCGCCGGCTCTGTCCCCGCCCCCCTTTGATCTGGCTTTACGAAGTAGCAACTCGAGCCATCTAACCTACACTACACTGGCCCAAGCTCCTCTCTCTGTCGTTTGGAAGATCTCTCGAAGTAGTTTTGTCGTCCGGAGATGGCTAGGATAGAGGATCGATCACGACGCCCACATGCTAGCTCCCAAGAAGGGGGGGAAAAGCCTCGCACGAGTCTCTGATTGGGCTGCTGCACCCATGCGCCACCAGCCTCACTTTTTCGCCCCAGATTGGGGATGGTGGGAAGGGTGCTGGTTGTCGACATGCAAGGATGTTGCACATTCATTAATTGCGCTTTGTGGTTGTTGGCCGCTCTTCTCTGCATCTGACCACTGGGATCGTCCGCCGACCGCCCATCACCATGCCATGGCTTGAGGGCCTGGCCCGTCGAGAGAGAGACGGAAGACGGACGGTTGCCAAAATTGGTGATACGTAGTCACAAGTCATCCGCACCCTGGCTTTGCAGGGCTTCTCTCGGGAGAGATCGTCGTTGCGCACATTGGACTTTGCTTTTTTCTTCTCTTTGACGTACCCATCTTCACGCAGAGCTACCTATCACGCTGCCCACCCTCTCTCCCCTGTCAGCCTGCATTAGCGTTTGTCCTTTCTACTTGTATTGAACAGGACGGGGCTGGGGTTGCGTTAGTGAGGTCTTCTCCAATTTCCTAACAACTAGCCCGTTGGACTGGAAAGACAAGCTGCGACTGGGAGAAGGTTACTCTGGCTGGAGCCGGCTGTGGAATGGTACTTTCGCCTTGGTTCTTCTCAGTCACTTTGCTTTTTCTCTTCTCGCTCTCGTACCTCCTCACCAACTGTTTCAATGCGTGTTCTAAAAACCCATAGTTCCAACACCTTTACATCATCGCTCGGGGTTGACAGGCCCTCCCTTCCCAACGTTGGTCTCTTTTGCTTCTTCCCATATTGTTCTAGCCGTTGGATGATCCCGCGTAAGCCGGTCCCAGGATGCAATGCCCACTGGCCTGCCCTGCCCGGCGCGCCCGTGGTGCTGCCCATCTTTTCTTGAACCCACATGTTTTCGTTGTTCTTCCTTGCTCAGATTTCTTATTTGGCGAGGACTCTACGCCCGGTCTCTTAGGAGACCGCAACGAGCTTGCTGACACCCTTCCCGCTTTGGTCCTCGTGATTGGGGAGCGATATGTCAATACAAAACTGCACGAACGGCAATGCATTCTTTTCTCTTGCTTCTTCGGCCGTCCAATCTGGTTGCCCGATGTCCCGCATTGTGCAGAAATGGCTGTGGATGCTGTGCATGGCACTAGTTGCCCTGCATGATTTATACAACAGCTTCAGCTGCGTCTGTTCGCCCGCGAAAGGATGCCGTGCCAACTACCCCGGCCGCCCGGTGTTGTGATATCTCCGGGACGGACCAGTAGGCAGGCAGAGAAGCACTTCTCGTCTCTGAACTTGAGTGTTTCTGCCTCAGGTTCGAGGCCAGCATCATCCAATCCAACATGTTTCCTTAGAGACATGATGCACACCCTCACGCTTGTCCCCTTCACCAGCGCAACCGGCAACCTGCACTTTGCCAATGATAGATGGCGCTACCGGGCCTCTTCTCCTCCCTAAAGTGCTTGCATGCATTAGCGCTACACACCTCTTTACACATGGCGGTGAATAACTGGGCACCGAGCCAAGGTCGCCCCCCCTCCTCCTCCAGCTGCCTCTGTGGTTGGGCGAACCTGGCCAACTACGCATCCGTGCCATCCTACGTACGTGAAGGTTGTGTGCAGAACAGGGGCGGCGGCGTCGGCGGCGGGGGAGACCAAGAGGAGCACCAGAGATGCAGGATGAGGTGTTGGTGGGTTGGGTTTCCTCTCCGCTGCTGGGAGTCTCTCTCGATGGCTGCGCCCGCCGCTCGATCGAGAGCCCGTCTCTATTGCGGGCAGCTGGCTCCCCCCCCTCTTCATCCCTTTCGTGGGACGGGGATGCCCTCCCATCCATCCATCAGGGCATCTCTTGACGGAGGGCCAACCTTTCCCACCAACCCGCCGCCAGCACAAAGGGCGATCGACTGAGTCTAGTGATGAAGGAGGGGAGGGGACGGAGAGGGGAAGCCATGGTTTTCGCTTACCAAGACCCTACCCTTCTCCTCTTGGTACGACCTGGGCAAACCATGTGCAAGCGTTGGCTGTTCCCTCCCACCCACCCCATTGAAGCCATCACGGTAGTTGCGCCGTCGCACACTGGCGGCTGTGTCGGGCGTTGTGGCAAATCTGCATCTCGATTTCCCCTTCCCCTCCTTCTCCTAGCCCTTTGGCACCTTTGTTCTCTCGCGGGACTGCTGACGGCCTTCCTCGGCTTGCTGTACCACCGTCCCTTGATCGTTGGGTCCTGGCTTCCTCCCTTCCCTTGACAGCACCCGCTGCCCCCCCTCCCCTTTTTGTTTTCTGGATGCTGTGACGTGAATGTCTGGTCACTCTGAGCACAAGACCACTCCATCATGCAGGCCATCGCGGATTCAACGAAGAGCTAGTGGGCAATGCGCCTATCGTATGATCCAGCCGTTCGTGTCCCATCATCTTTGTGTGAATCAAGGATCGTCGCTCTTGCTTTTGGAGCTTAGGGACGTGATAGTGTCTCGTTCCTCTGAGGACATCCCATCCGTCGCTCGTGGCACCACCGGCATCTGCTGGACGCTTGTCTACACACTTTCCTTCTGGTGTCTGGGCTTGCCAGATCGGTCTTGCAGTCAAAGATCTTGATCAAGGGAGGGTTTTAGAGCGAGAGTCTGAAGAGGTGCAAGTGCTCCTAGGACTTCTCCCAAAATACGTGTCCCGCCGTCAGAGCCGATTAAGCCGGCTATCACCGTGCCGCAACTCTGTTTGGGGGGAGGGGGGGTTGCAAGTTCTGTGTATCTCGATACAGCAATTGTCCATCTGTAACTTTCCAAGTTCGCCCTTCCGAGGATCAAGGCTAAACGCCTCGTCTCCTAGTGCTCGCTCTCTCCTTCGGCCGTCTCATATGGCAATGGCAAGCGTACCAGCGTACGCCCAAAGTCTATCTTGGCAGCCAACGTGGCCAACGACGTAACTGTGAGTCGTTGGATCTGGCGGCGGGAGGAGAGAGATAACCTCAGAAAAGCGCACGCCCGGGACAAGGTGCCTCGCTTACAGAGAAGGGCAGAACCTTGCCAGGACGCCAACACCCCCCAAGTGGCGGACCTATTCCTTCCAGATGGCGCCGGCGAGGAGATCACCGATGAGTAGTCGAGCTGTGACGGCCGTCCCGGTCGGACAGACATCCCCTGAGGGACCGCGTCCGGGAGTCCATTGGCCTCTCGAGGCCAGCCTCCGCCTTCTGACCTACGCAGCTATTCCTCGGGCGGAAAGGCGAGGCACCATCTTTGACCTCTGAGCTGGCTAACACAATCTTTCGCCTCCGCACGCAGCTTACATGGCTTGGACCTAGGCCCTCAGAGGCTTCAACCCGCCAGCTTCCTTGCCATCCATCACCAACACCACACCAGGCAGACAAGACAAGAACGGGGTATCTAGCGCACCTCTTAGGCATTCAGTGCAAGGCAGGAGGAACCAACGGCGCCGCCCCTCCCCCTCCCTATTCCCTCTAAGAGCGGTCCCATGACGAATGCACCCATCTGGTCCGCCGCACCGAACAGAAGGCACGTACCTAGGTCAAAGACGGCCGCTTGCTGGCGCCCGGCTAGGCAACCCTGATTACCTTAGCCAACAAATTACGCAACGCCACCGCCATCACTCTACGTCAGCCCGGCGTGGTTGGCTCGTGCGCCGGGTCGCAATGGAACAGGCGAGGTTCTGGAACTCCTCTAGAGGAAAGCTACCTCGAGGTGCCAAGGCTTGGGTCCCGCACACACAACACCCTCCGAGCTACCTTCCACGCCGGTCGGAGGGCCGGTCTTTTCTTTGGTCTCAGGGAGCACCGCGCGGCGGGGGCTTGTTCCCCTCCGCCCTCCGTCATGGTGGCTTGACACTAAAGTTTGCGTCCAAAAGGAAAGGGGCACTGTCCGACGGCGGCAGCGCGTAGCACAACAACAACAAGAACAACAAGCGCGGCGGGGGGGCTCAAGCAAACAAATGTTTGTTTCACAGATGGTGTGAGCCATACTTTTTTGACCAGATGTTGGTTGACGCTTACGTTTTCTTATTCTTGGGTGGAGAAGGGATCTCCTCTTGTCGTTCCTCGTGATGGCGAGGACGATCTCTCACGGAAGGATCTCCGGAGTGTGCCAGTGGTCGAAAGACAAGATGAGCATGTTTGCTTGCCTAGAGAGATCTCTGGGACGGAGACTTGCCATGGCAGGGAAGTCAGCGTCGGCGATTCAGACAGGCAGTTGAGAGTTCTTGAACCCGTGTCAGATTGGATGCCCATCCCACTCTTTCTGTGGTCTCGAGAGCCTCACTCGAGACTAATTCTGATGCATGGCCTGATCACAATGTCCTCATCATGACAGTTTCCTCCGATGTTTGGACCAACCGAAGGCTTCGGAGCGGGCACCGGGTCCTTGATAGACTTCCATACCGGGTGGGCAGGAATGGAAAGACATGTCTCGTTCCTTCACACGTTCCAGTCCAAGACAACAAGAGATCGCCTTCAACAACAATCCCATGTCAACATGTGTTCGTATCTGCCCATACCGTGACACGGCCCCCAAATCTAATCAGCTGGCCCTCTTCGACGCCGTCAAGAGGCCGGCTGAACAAGAGGGAAGCTTAAGGTTGAGCTCGCCTCCGAGGTTAAGCCAGACAAGGCAAGGTCCGGGATTTAATGTTTAGTAATGTCTCACATGGCCACCCTCAGCTCTTACGGCGCTTATTCATAGCTACCCGCAAGGGCCATAGGACAGCCTGTGCTTTGAGGCTCAAGCAGTGACCTGATGACAGAAGGGCCATGACTCGCCCAACTCTTTCCATGCGCCGAGCAGACCCAGCGCCAGCCGGCTCCGAATCAAACCTCGCGGCAAGAGGGCCCCGGGGCCAACCACGACAAAGGGACTCCTGGTGCGGGGCCACGGCCGCCGTCAAGTGCAAGCCATGTCTCACTGGATCGCGACTCGCGATTACTGATACAGCTTCGGGGCTCCGAGGCTTTTGTCAGAACAAGCCCCAGGTGGTTCGTCTCGAGGGAATTGGTTCCGCGCCGTGGGGTAGGTAGAGCCATGACATCGCGGGCGCTAAACAAAGAAACGACGGGGCCCTCTTCCAAGTTCTGGCAGTCCTGACTAGCCGGCCGTCTTGTGATGCTTTTTTGATTAGATATTACCTAGGTAGTTATTCAAGCGGGCAGAAGGTCATTTGAGAAAATATGGGGGCGTCCTTCTCTGCTTTGAGGTTCCGCGTCCGCGTCCGCGTCGACGTCCGATCTGTCCAAGAGGTTGAATGTCTCTCGACACCGTCGTCCGCGGGGAGTCCGTCTTCCGACCCTGCATAGTTCGGGCGCCGCCAGACCCGCCACGGAGGAAATGAATGACTCCGGCCTCCTTACTTTTTTGCCTTTTTGCTTCTGGACGCCAGGCCGGAGAAAAAAGCAAGGCGGCTTTGAGCCTTCCGCTGGATACCTGAACCCTGAAGGGAGTTGTCGAGAGGTGCTGAAAACCTCGCATTCCGGCATTTGCCAGCTTGTTGACAGCGGCTCCGCGCGCTCTGGGGATATTGGCACCATTCATCCCTGGCATGCTGGCGGGCATCTCGAGCTTGCGTAGGGCTGTTAGTCAGTCAGGAAGGGGAAAATGAGCAGATGTGGCTTGTCCAGGGACGACTCCAAGGACCGGATTTTTCAAGGGAACTTTGGTGGCCCCCAGTTCACTACTGCCTGCAGGGTCCTGTGGCGTTCGTTAGAGCTGTCAGGGGAAATGACGCTGGGTACTGTATTTGCGGTGCGAAGAATGACGGCGTTTGTTCTGGACCCTGAATCCGTCACGATGCCCATTCTTCACGCAAGGGATAACAATTCCCAGGGTCTAGATGCTGTTGTGTAAAATAGCCATGGGCTGATCATGCCAATCCTGGCATGCAGCACTGAGCTTGCGGCTTTTGCATCAGCTGCGAAGCGGTCTAGACATGGGACTTTCGCAGTCAATTGAATCCTCCATCTCAAAATTCGATGTCCTCTTGCCTCCCTTGTGTCCCCTCGTGTCGCGTCCTTTGTTTTGATCAACATGGCTGGGCGGTGAGCTATGGCCGTGCCAGGGATATCGCCTCTGCCTGGCACAGGGAAGTCCGCGTGTGCCTCTTGCCGGGTAGACGCTGCTCTCATTTGGACCTTGCCTCAAGGAACAGAGAATGGTAGTTGTCCCTTCTAGCATAGGATGAGGTAGGTCGCCTCAGCCCCTGAATGTTGCGATCTCACCAAGTCAAAAGCATGTCGGATTCACGAGCAAGGACAACAGAAGGTCGTAAGTCAATCAAGCCTTTTGAACGCTATGGAGACAGAGGAATAGAAAGAGTATCTGTTGAAAACGTAAAAGAATATAATAAAGTTGTTTGTATGATGGAACTTTTTTGTTGCTTCCATCGTGCCAGACCGTCATCTTGTCGTGGGATATCATCGTCCGGCCTGTTCTCGCAGCGAGCCCCCTCAGAAGTCATCTGCCTTGCAGAGATTGCCTCATCCTGCTCTTGATACATGCCTACACAATTCTTTCTCGACGTCCAACCCCTCCTGTCCGCATCCTCCTGTTAGACTGTACCTTTTTCTCCATCTCATTACCCCCTAACGTCGAGAATCACCACCCATATCTCTAGTTGGACGGGCCGATGATGACGGACCCCTTGCCCAGGACCGGCCAGCCGGGAACCTCGATGCCCGAGTCCTGCAGGACAAAGACCATGTTCTGCATGATGAGGAAGATGGGGCCGGGGATGGTGCCGCTGCCGTACGCGCCGTACTTGCTCTCGAGCTCGTGCAGCGCCGCCAGCAGCGCCGCCGGGTCGCCGATGACGATGGTCTGCCGCCGCCGCCTGTCCGAGGGCTTGACCTCGCCGCCGCCCGGGGTGGTCGGGTCCGGGATCATGGGCCCGCCCGGCTGGTAGGGGTCGGGCCGGATGGGCCCGCCGGGGACGGGGTTGCCGGGCGTGATGGTGGTCCAGCCGGGCACGTCGTGGCCGCAGGCCTGCAGCGCCGTGACGAGGAACTGCTCGATGAGGTAGATCTCGCGCGCGACCTCGCGCGGGTCGCCGTAGGCCAGCTCGAGCGCCGCGAGCGCCGCCTTCATGCCCATGACGTTGGCGAGCTCGCAGGCCTTGCCGCCGATGGTGAAGACCTGGCGCGCCTTGTTGCTCGGGACGAGCGTCGTCGTCGTGCCGGGGGGCGACTGCTCGATCTTGACGCCCCAGACGGAGAGCAGGTCGGCGAGCTGGGCCATGGCCATCCAGGTCGTGAAATCCGGGCTCGGGTCCTGCATCAGCTGCTCGTAGGCTTTCTCGAGGCCCGCGAGGTCGTAGGCGGGCTTGCCGAAGGCGGGCAGGGGCACGACGGCGTCGCGCTTCCGGGCGGACGGGTAGATGACGGTCGAGGTGCCGTCGGGCGAGCTGATGATCTTGACGCCGCAGGCGCCGAGGAAGCGCTCGAGCTTCTTCATGATGACGAACTCGGACACGGTCGGCTTGCGGTCGCCGGTGGCGTGCAGGAGGCGCTCAAAGGCTCGCTCGGCGCCCTCGAGGCCGCCGGGGCAGGCGCTGGCGTAGTCGCCGTCGGGGAGGACCAGGGTCTGGCGCCTGGCCTTGCCGCCGTGGAAGGAGGTCTCGGTGCCGGGGGGCGCCGAGATGCCCGAGATGCCCTCGGTGTAGGCGATCATGGCCTTGAGGGCGGCGATGCGGGCCAGGTCCTCGTCCGTCTTGTCGGGCTTGTTCTGCAGGGCCACGAGCTGCTTCTCGAGCTCGACGATGGCGGCCGTCTTGTCGGAGCCGCTGCCGACGAGGGTCTGCCGGCGGCCGGGAGTGAAGGTGCTGCCGGTGCCTGGGGGCGCCGAGATCTCCGTCACGCCTGCCAGGTACTTGATGGCAGCCTTCAGGGCCTCGATCTCGTCGTAGTCATCGTCAGTCTTGTGGCGCTTGTTCTGGAGCTCGATCAGCTGAAGCTCGAGCTCCTCAATGGCATGCTTCTTCTCCGGGTTGGCTCCAGGAGGGAGCGTGAAGATCTGCCTCTTGCCCGGAGTAAACGTCGAGCCAGTGCCGGGGGGAGCCGAGATATCGGTCACGCCCGCCAGATACTTGATCGCCGCCTTGAGATCGTCAATCTCTTTGTAATCGCGGTGGGTCTTGTGCCTCTTGTTCTGGAGCTGTATGAGCTGGAGCTGGAGCTGCTCGATGGCGTGCTTCTTGTCCCGTTCAGCCCCGGGAGGCAGGACGAACGTCTGCCTCTTGGCCTTGCGACCAGGGGTGAATGATGATCCCGTCCCTGGAGGAGCAGAGATCTCTGTGACGCCCGCCAGGTACTTGATGGCAGCCTTGAGGTCCTCGATCTCCTCATAGTCGTCATGGGTCTTGTGCCTCTTGTTCTGGAGCTCGATCAGCTGCTGCTCGAGGACCTCGATCGCGTGCTTCTTGTCCGAATGGGCGCCGGGAGGCAGGGTGAAGACCTGGCGCTTGCCGGGCTTGAACGAGGACCCGCCGCCGACGCGGATGCACTCGCCCCAGTAGGCCCACAGGAAGGGGTTGCAGCCGACGGGCGGCTTCTGGTCGCCGGGCCACATGGTGGTCGAGGGGTCGCCGATGCCCCAGACGCCGCCGCCCTGCCGCGGCTCATTCGTGGTCTTTGTCGGAGCCGCCTGCACGGCGCCGAGGCCGAGGAGGACGAGGGAAAGGCTCGACCCCAACATGATGTGCTGTGTTCTAGGTGACTTTCTGCCAGGAGGCTGGGCAGGCCCGTCCGAGGATTTGTCAGGAGGATGCGAGTATGTTATAAAGAGCAGACTTGAGTGTTATTCGGCAACCTCGAAGTGATACGGTCGTCTCTCGCATGCCTGTCCTTCCGGCTCCCAGGAAACCCGTCGGCGAGCGATCGACACATGTCGAGCATATTTATAGAACCTCTCGTGATTGAATATCGCCTCTTCTCCTGCGATGGCGTGAAGGCCTGCAATCTGGTGATAGCGGCCTGGGTCGCTCATTTACGTTTAATATCAGATAGATTGGTGATCCAAGTTTTTTCGGAGGCTAGAAGTGATATATCCGGGCGAGATTTATCCGGGGAGTCCAGTAGAGCTCGCTGAGGGCTCAACCCGTTTTTTGTCGAGACTTCTGGGACTGGAATTCTAGGCCAAGTCCCCAAATAAGGTTGTATTCTTAATTGAGGCTATATAGCAGCTGGACCTGGCCGTGTTGGGAGAGGTTCCGGCCAAACAACCCTCTACCAGTTATCGTGGGCGCCACGAGATGCGGGACGGCAAATACGCTTGTTTGTCCTATTTTTGGGTGCAAAAAGGAGTGCTTGGCCAGACGCACGCACCGCGACAGAGGGCGGACCTGCTCATTTTCAGGGGTGTGCCATTGAGGTGAGCATGCCATTCAAACCTGGGGAAGCATCCCAGTTGGCTCAAGGTGACATGCGTCAATGCAAGGGGACGATCGACAAGAGCTTCTGTCTGGAGAACCAAAGGCGATGCCGATGGAACGCCCAGGGACACCTAACCAATGAGACATCGAGACAGAGATAGCAGGAAGGAAGGCTGGCCCTTCGGCCCCTCTCCGTCAAACCCTACCCCGATCACCTACAACGATCAGGCAGAGTGGACATGGATAGTGGTTCCGAGTAAGGTCGTCCGTCACCTTTGAACCCTCCGGATGATCACTTGGGCTAGACCTGGTCAGACCTGGAGTCGATTTTGTCCGGGCAACAGAAGAGAGCCTCCAGCCTTTAAAGTCCGGTCACATCGCAGAAGAGACTCTAATAATAGACTCGGAGAACCCATCTCCCCGGCTCAAAGCTCAAAGCTAAGCTACTGGGGCCAGACGACGCGATCACACTCCATAAATGCCATTGTAAACACATGCTTGCTCTGTCGGGGTAGAAAGAACCGGGCTTGTCCCCGAGCTGGCCGAATCTGGTACCTCGCATGAGGGTGCGTGCGATCATGCGAATAGGGGCGTCAAGTCCGGTGAGGCAAACAACGCACAGATAATAGACGGTAGCAGGCGCAGGTATCGGTTATCATCGGAACGAAAACCTTGCCCCCTGAAGGGGCACGGCTTGAGCGATGTTTTGGACACGAGCGTGGTGGTGGTATCATGGTCCAGTGGAGGAGGTTGGGTTGCGGATTCAGGGGGCCCGGTATATGCATGCAATCAAGTCTCTGGTTTCTCAGAAGGGTACACGCTTAACTCTAATCAACCGCTATCGAGGTGACAATAGGCGTCATGTCTCTTCAGTACTAGGTGACACTGCAACGACCGCGACTCGAGATAACGGACCGATATCGAATTAGGGATGTCGAGGGTTTAGGCAATTCTTCAGTGTTGTGGCGGAAATCCGATTTGTAGGTCAAGGAGCACCTTGCCAGACAGAGAGTGTTGGCATCTTGAAAACCCGCAGAGTATGAATTCAGCTTGTCTGGTCACATGCCATGAGAGACAGTGCCACTCCGGACTCTGACCATGGCCAACATCCTGTTCCGATCGAGCTCGTACATGACCCAGTGGAGTGACTCTTGAATTGACGAATGAAGGCCGACACCTGGCTGCAAAGGGGTGTCAAGCCAGGACGGGTGACCGGACTTTATCCGACACGAAGTCGCCTCCCTGACCTCATTCAGCTCGAGCTAATCAAACGCACCGCAAGCCACCGACGATCCCATTTGCACAGCGTTTCGCGATGGGTTGAGCGACGGCTATCGGCACCCCGCTTGCATACTGCAGAGATTAAGTCGGGGCTGCCCGTCTTCATAAAGCATGATGCGGTGCATTCCGCGACCTCGCCGACGATGGCATCGCAATTTACAGGCTCGCAAGCGACGGCCGCTGGGCGGGATGCCCGAGCAATGGCGTGCAGGCATTGTTGTCGGCGTTACATCATGATTTGGCCTGAATCTTGCGAATGACGACTTTCTGGCCGTCACGCTCCCATCCGACGCGGTTCTTGCTCTGGAGTTCGGCCCACGCGCGGCCTGTCGATCGCTCTAGGTAGTCAAGATCGGCATGCAGATAGGTCCGGCCGAATGCCTTGAGGGTGTGTGTTCTCAGGTCGTCTTCGGCAAATTCCAGCAATTTCGCCTTGTGGCCGTCGACGCTCCCCTTGATCCTCCTGAAGGCTACCCAGTTGTCTCGGGCCAGGGCGTGCAAGACGGCGTCGACCTTGGGGTCGTGCAGATCGTACTGCTGCTTCAGAATGTACGCGTCCGAGAGATCACTCTGGCGACAGGCCATATCAAGTACCAGATAGCTCACTACTTCGCGTAGTTCCACGTTGGTCAGGGGGTGCCGGCGGTGTATGAAGCGCAAGAGGTGGAGTATGGCCGGATGGTAGGCCTCGGGCTGTTTGACCAGCACGGCGAGCCGGATGCAGAAGAGGTAGGCCTGGATGGCGAAGTCGTCTAGTCTTTTGGACGCCACTATCCCTTCGCGTAGCTTCCTCAACGCCATGAGGACATCAGACAGATCCTTGGTGCTGTTGTTGCCGAGCGAAGTACTGGTGGGAGTGGGGAAGACGGGCTGCTCATTCTTCTCGACGATGCTCAACGACGCAAATCGCTCCAGCAGAACATCGCGGTTGCCGGCGTCCGAACAGAAGGTGAGATATCTCTCAACAATCTTGGTGTAGTAACGCTCCTGGGTCTTGGCATCAAGCAATCTGGTGAGGTTGTTTAGTTTGGAGCGCAAGAAAATCTCAGGTCCACAGAGAGCTCACCTGTTGTCACCCTTGGATGGTAAGCCATATGCGTCTAACGGGTCCAGATGCACAGGCTTCAAGCGACTCCGGCCCTCGCCAAAGCCTCGATTGGGAGCCATGGGGTGCGGCAAGGCTGTGCTTGTCGCCTTCACACGCAGGCTTGAGGGAAGGGAGACAGCACGGCGCGGTGGTGGTGATGTTTTGGCCCCGCTGGCCTGGACGGGCTTATCTTATCATGCCAGCCATATTGTTATCGTTATCGCCCATCTAACATTACAAGTAGAATAAATGCTACATGAACCTAACACTAAACTATAGGTACCTTACCTAGTATCCCCCGATCTAGCCCGTTGAAGAAATTACGTTCAAATATCGAGTATCGAGTGAGAAACGGCATCAATTGCCTCGTTTCGTGTTCTGCGCTGCTATGCAGTCTGTCCGGAAGCTCGGGTTGTCGCGCGATCCGGACACTCCAGCCGCCTGAACCCCCGATGCAAACCGTGGCTTGGACTGGGGGTGACCTGCAGCGTATTCCCACTCCAAGCGCGGCCTCAATTGCGGGGAAGCCGGGGCAGTTTGTACCTCGGCCTCCCGGTAAGTGCATTGCTGCCGAAGCTGTCTCCAGTTCTCTCCAGTTACCTCGTCTGAATAAGGTGCCGGACCCCCAACTCATAAAGAACCGATAGATATAGTTATGTATTGTTTCAATTGAATTGGGGAAAAAAAGTTCACACTCAAGAGACTTGTCTGATCCTCCAACCATCCGTCCGACTTGGCATCCAGCGCAACTCACCTCACCTCGCTCACCCTCTCCTCTCTCCCATCCATCCTAGCAGACACAATGGCGCAGAGAGCAGCTCAGATCGCAGGCCACCTCAAGAAGCAGGGCCTGCTCCAGGGCCAGGTCGCCATCATCACCGGCGCCGCCCAGGGCATCGGCGCCGAGGCCGCCCGCCTCTTCGCCGAGGAGGGCGCCCGCGTCGTCATCTCCGACATCGACGCCAAGAAGTCGCAGGAGACGGCCGACGGCATCAACGCCGCCGGCGGCGCCGCCCTCGCCGTCCCCGGCGACCTGCTCAGCGAGGACTACATCAAGGAGCTCGTGCGCAGGGCCGCCGAGTTTGGCAACGGCAAGATCCACATCATCGTCAACAACGCCGGCTTCACCTGGGACGGCGTCATCCACAAGGTCCGTCTTCTCTTCGCTCTTGGCCGAGGACTTGCTTGCCCTCTCTTCTTCTTGTACTGACCTAAAGCACATCCTAGATCACCGACAAGCAATGGGACACCATGCTCAACCTGCACGCCAAGGCCCCCTTCCAGCTCCTCCGCGCCGCGGCCCCCTACTTCCGCGTCGCCGACGGCGAGCCCCGCAACATCGTCAACATCTCGTCGACCTCGGGCGTGCACGGCAACGCGGGCCAGGCCAACTACGCCGTCGCCAAGGCCGGCGTCGTGGGCCTGACCAAGACGGTGGCCAAGGAGTGGGGGCCCAAGTACGGCGTGCGCGCCAACACCATCGCCTTCGGCCACATCCTGACGCGCCTGACCCAGGCCAAGGAGAAGGGCGCCTTCGTCCAGGGGCCCGACGGCCAGAAGATCGCCCTCGGCATCCCCGGCATGACCGAGGCCGCCGCCGGCGCCGACGTCTACAACGACGTCCCCCTGCGGAGGGCCGGCACCGCCACCGAGGCCGCCAGCGCCATCCTCGCCCTCGCCAGCCCGCTGTCCAGCTACATCACGGGCCAGACCATCATGGTCACTGGCGGACGCAACATGTAAAAATGTAAACTAGATTTTCTTTCTCTCCGTCGCAACATAGATATCATCAAACCTTGTATAAATTAGAGCGTCACTCTTGAAAAGTACATGTAGTATCATCTTCGCCTCCTGTAGTGACCGTATATCAGTGACAGCACTTTTGCACACAAAAAAATGCATCTCTTGCAGCTTGCTGTACCGTCTCTTCTTTTTTTACAAAATTATGCCACAAATGCAATTGAAAGAAAAGCCTTTACCAAACGCCCGAGGTATTTCTGTCCACTAGAACCCATCCGTCGCATCCCGACGCTCCCGCCCCCCTTCTCAAGCCAACCACGTCTTCCCTCAAGTCCTCGCCCAGAGCTGGAACACGCCCTTGGCATATTCTACAACCTCCTCGCCGCCGAGCTTGGAGTCGCCAAACACCCGGTCGACGAAGCTGATGGGCACCTCGGCGATGGTGTAGCCGAGGGCCTTGGCCGTGACGGCCAGGGCCATCTGCATGGAGAAGCCGCGGACGTCGGTGCTCTCGAAGAGCTTCTCGAGGACGGCGCGCTTGTAGAGCCGGAAGGAGCCCGTCAGGTCGCTGACGCCGGGCCGCAGGACCGTGTCGGCGAAGATGTTGGCGCCCTTGGAGGTCATGCGGCGCTTGAGGTCCCAGCCGTAGACGCCGCCGCCGGGGGCGTAGCGCGTGCCGGTCACGATGTCGTAGTCGGCCGACTTTTGCTTGGCGATCATCTGCGGGATGAACTTGGGGTGGTGGGAGAAGTCGGCTGTTGTAGAGAGAAGTTTGGCTTTTATCAGCAGCTGTAGTGGGTAGGGGAGGGATGTTCCTTTCGATTGTCTGAAGATAGCGGTGTAAGGGTTTTGGGGGTGGTGGTGGTGGTGGTACATAAAGACATACCGTCCATGATGATGATAAAGTTGCCCTTGGCGAACTGCAGGCCGTGGACATAGGCGGTGCCGAGGCCGAGCTTGCCCGTCCGGGTCTGCAGGACGACGTGCGGGCTGTAGACCTTGACGAGCTGCTTGGCGACCTCCTGCGTGCCGTCGGGGGAGCCGTCGTCGACGATGATAAGTTCCCAGTCGATATTGCTGCGCGGAACCGAGGGGTCAGCAACACGTCTTCTACCTTAGACAGCCACCAGAGACATCTTCGAAAGGGCGGGCCGCATTACTTCTCGGTAAAGGTCCTGTTCAGCAGCCAGGTGATGATGGGCAGGTTCTGACGCTCGTTGAAGGTCGGCAGGATGACCGAGTACTTGTCCTTCTTGACGGGAGCCATTGTGGCGGTGGGTATCTCGAAACAGAAACGAAAGAAAGAAAGGGTGTTGATCAAGGAAAGACACAAGCTGGCAAGGTCGGTCTTGGGGTTGATGCAATGGGTGTAGTAAAGGAGCGCGCGGTGGGAGCTTCAATTCGCGTGTTGTCTGCCAATCAGGGTGACGTTTCCTTTCGCGTCTGGCCGGTCGCTACCCCAAAAGGTTTATCGTTATCGCAACCACATGACAGCGCTAATTACCCCCGAAATTGTGTACAACACGCTGAGATGCTAGGCAAAGACTCTCTCTCAGCTGGGGATCACATACTTTCACGCAATTTCTCACAATAGGACACATGCACAAGGTCTTTTCTCTCTGTTTGATAAATAGAAGAAAAAAAAAGCCATATTGTTAAATGTGATCACCTCTATCAGAGAACCACATTACTACGTCTATCTGTCATCTTCATGTCATGCAAATGCGAACTATCCCTTCATAGATCTCCCTCTTTTGCTTCCCGTCCCCCCGTTCAAGCCCGTCCTCTATGCAAAAAAAAAAAAAAAAAAAACGTGAAATGTCAACTCTCGTATCTACATATCCTCTCAAGAGAGAGAGAGAGAGAGAGAGAAAGAGAAGGTAAGGACTCCTCCCGCTCCCGGTCCTCCACCGCGTGCAGCGCAATTACACCGCATTCTCGGCCTCGGACCGGTTGTCGATCGACTTCTCGGTCTTGGCCTTGCTGCGCGTCCGGCCGAAGCTGCCCCAGCTCTTGAGGCTGGCCATGGAGAAGGTCTTGCCGAGGCGGCCCGGCCCGTCCTCGCTGCCCTGGGCAAAGGGCCCGCGCACGACGGCGCTGTCGAGGAAGAGGCCGAAGGAGCGCTTGGCCCACTTCCACGCCTCGACGCCGAGGATGAAGATGACGAGCCCGCCAAAGACGAGCCCCCACTCCCACGAGATGGGCGAGTGGCGGAAGACGACCTTGTTGAGCTTGGGGATGTAGATGGACAGGAAGACGGAGGCGCCGCCGATGACGACGGAGAAGAAGAGGAACCGGTTCTCGTACATGTCCCGGAAGAAGGGGAAGCGGCTCTGGGAGTCCGGGTCGAGCCGGAACATGGACCGGCGCAGGCTCTTGAACTCCCAGGCCGAGATGAGGATGAGCCAGGTCAGCTCGGCGAAGACGGCGGCGCGGGCGCGGAAGACGGGCTCGCAGGCGGGCGACCACTCGCGGTTGCACTCCTGGCCCAGCTGGCCGCCGTAGCGGCCGTAGACGACGATGATGAAGGTCACGAGCGTGCAGGCGCCCATGATGGTGCCGTAGATGAGCATGTCGGCCATGATCTGCATCGTGAAGACGCCCCGCTTGTGCGGCGGCTTCTTCATGACCTCGGGGCTCGCCTTCTCGCGGCCGAGGCCAAAGGCCGGGAACGAGCTGGTCAGCATGTTGATCCAGATGATCTGCAGCGGGCTGATGGGGAAGACGGACAGGCCGTCCTGGTCCTTGAAGCCGAGGCCGCAGATCAGCAGGATGACCTCGCCGACGTTGGAGGTCAGCAGGTGCAGGATGAACTTTTGGATGTTGTCAAACATGCGCCGGCCCTGGCGGATGGCGGCCACGATCGAGTTGAACTTGTCGTCGGTGAGCACGATCTTGGCCGCCGACTTGGCGACGTCGGACCCGGAGCCCATGGCGATGCCGACGTCGGCCCTGCTGAGGCTGGGCGCGTCGTTGACGCCGTCGCCCGTCATGGCCATGTAGGCGCTGCGGCGGCGCAGGGCCTCGATCATGCGCGTCTTGGTGTCCGGGGCGCAGCGGGCGATGACGAGCGGCAGCTCGGGCAGGGCGTCGATCTCGGCCTCGGACAGCTTGTCAAAGTCGGTGGCCTTGAGGACGACCGTGTTGGCGACGTCGGCGGGCAGCGACGACAGCTTGCGCGGGATGATGCCGACCTCCTTGGCGATGGCCTCGGCGGTGGCCGGGTGGTCGCCCGTGAGCATGTGCACGCGGATGCCGGCGTTGGAGCACTCGGCGATCGACGGCGTCGTCTCCTTGCGCGGCGGGTCGTAGATGCCGAGCAGGCCCACGAGCACGAGGCCGCTCTCGACCTCGCGCCGCAGCTCCTCCTCGGCGGCGTTGCGGCGCTGCTGCTCGTCCAGCGCGCGCTGGTGGTCCACGTCCTCGTCGCCCGTGTGCTCGGGCTTGTGCGCGTCGGCCTTGCGGTACTTGCCCTCCCACGGCTTGTAGGCGATGGCGAGCACGCGCTGGCCGAGCGAGGCGAACGCGTTCATCTGGTCGAGGATCTCGTCCTTGAGCGCGTCGGTCATGGCCCGCTGGGCGGCGCCGGTGCCGACCTGCGTGCACAGGTCGAGGATGCGCTCGACGGCGCCCTTGGTGAAGACCAGGCTGTTCTCGGGCGGGAACTCGCTCTTCTCGTCCAGGTCCTCGGGCGCGTCGTAGATGACGCTCATGCGCTTGATGGAGCTGTCAAAGGGGAACTCGGCGAGCTGCCTCCAGCCCTGGCCCTCGAGGATCTTCTTGCCGATCTCGAAGCGGCGGGCAAAGACCTGCAGCGCGATCTCGGTGGGCTCGCCGGTGGTCTGCCAGGCGTCGCTCTCCTTGTCCTTGCGCACGGTGGCGAGGTTGCACAGCGCGGAGGAGACGAGCAGGGTCTGGAGCTCCGGGGTGAGCTCGGCCGCGGGCTCCTCGGGCTTCTTCTCGTTCTGCTTGAGCTTCTCCTCGGGCACGTCGAACTTGAGCGCGTTGACCGTGCGCTCCTGGTCGTAGTCGCGCACGGCGGCCGGCTCCTCGGGGGCCTCCTCCACCTTCTCGACCTTGTCGGCACAGGTCACCCGTCCGACGGTTGGGTTGGCGGGGTCCATCGAGTCATGCACGGTCAGGATCTTGGAGCTGGGGAGCCAGGCCTTCTTGACGATCATGGCGCCCTGGGTGAGGGTGCCGGTCTTGTCGGAGCAGATGTTGGTGACACCGCCAAGAGCCTCGAGAGCAGAGAGATCACTGCAGACTCATATTAGTCTCAAAAAAAAAAAAGCACGTAATCAGGTTTAGGAAATTGTTGGGAGGGCTGCGTACCGAACGACGACATTGGCCTTGCGCATGACTCGAGTCGCCTGGACCATGGTGATGGTCAAGACAGCAACAAGAGACTCGGGGATGATGGCGATACCCGTGGAGATGGCGTAGACGATGACCTCGTTGGGGATGTCGAAGCGATGGACGCCAAAGACGATGACGGCGAGGATCAGGGCGCAGCCGAAGAGGTAGTAGGCGAGCTGCGCCAGCTTGCGCTGCAAGGGCGTGCCCTCGGTCAGGCCAAGGAACTTGCCGACGGCGTCAAAGGTGCGCTTGAAGGCGCCGATGAAGATCTGCTTGTAGCCGTACTTCTTGGCGTTCATGGAACGGCCGGGCTTGCGCTTCTTCTTGGTGGTGGAAGCGGCGATCTCGCCGACGGCGGTGGCCATGGCGGTGGCGTAGACGATGCCGCGACCGCGGCCCTTCCGGACAATGGTCGAGGCGTAGGCACAGTTGATGCGGTCACCCAGGCTGACGTGCTCGGCACTCTCGGCCAGCTGGCCGGTGGTGTGATCGATGATGTTGTTCTCGGTGATCTTCTCGACGGGGAGGGACTCGCCCGTCATGTTCTGCTCGTCGCACGTCAAGTTCATGACCTCAAACATGCGCAGGTCGGCCGGGACGGTATCGCCCATTTTCAGGATAACGATGTCACCGGGGACGACTTCGGGGCTGGCAAACCAACGTCAGTTATCGAACGCACCCTGCGCTCTTCGTCAGACGGCAGCAAACTTACTTGGGGATGACCTGGGCCTTGCCGTCGCGGACAACAGTAGCACTGGGCGAGGAGAGCGAACGCAGGGCGTCCATCTTCTTCTCTGCCTTGAACTCCTGGAAGAAACCGATAGATACGTTGAGAACGATGACGCCTGCGAGGACACCGCCTTCGACCCAGTCTTGAATGCCAAAGGAGACGGCCGTAGCGAACAACAACACCTTGGATGGAGGGAATCAGTCAGTATGGAGAGTTCCTTTTTTTTTTTAAAGAAAAAAAAGTCGCAAATGCAAATGGAGCTTACCAAGATCATGGCATTGAAGAACTGCCTGGCCAGGATGGTGTACCAGGCGACGGCGCCGCCGACATCGAGTTCATTTTTGGGGTACTGCTGCGACAACTCGGCGACCTGAGCCGAGCTCAGGCCCTTGTCGATATCTGTGTTCAGGTGTTTGGCGACATCTTCGACAGTCAGCAGGAAAGGGTGGCGTTCGAAATTGGCAGACATCACAGCAAACGAATGACTTTAGGTGATATCCATTCACGTTGGAGCACTCAGCGAGAGGATTGGGAGATTGGATCCTCGGTGTTGGGGGCTCTCTTGTGGGTTTGTCTGGTTGTTATTGTTTACCGGACAGCGGAATCTGCTGGTTGGGACAAGCATCGAGAAGTTTTCTTTTTCCCCGGAGGAACACATGGTCGGGGGGGGAGACGTGCGCATCTTAAATGTTCTCGGCGTCGCAATGCCCAGAGCTAGGTAGTACCTACATGCAAGGAAGAGAGTGTCATGACACGCTGCAAAGTCTCGTCATTCTCGCAAAACCGGCACGGCGGAGGGGACGGCGGGCCAAGAGAACCAAGAGGTTTGCCCAAGTGATAAGAGGGAATCAGCGTGGGCAGGATGCACGGCACGGGGCATGATTGGCGCAGCAGAGGGCAACCAAGGCTCTAGCAAAGCCAAATGTCTTGGGAGGGTGTCTTGGCCGACTTCTTGGCCGACGTTCACCGGGTCCGCGAAGTCTTGAGTCGGACTTGGCAGCCTTGGCGGGGCCGGCGACGCGCGAGGACCATACACAGCCTTTCCACGGCGGCGGGGGGGGACCGTGTGTGTATGTGTGTGTGTGTGTTCTTTCGACCAGTGCCGCTGAGCTTCGATCCCACGGATTCCCCTACGGTTCCCTACCACACCCACCCAACACAGCACGCCATTTGTTGTGCTTCCCAGGGCGAGGCGACCCAAGAGACGACCAAGGCGACCAAGACGACCAACTCTTGGGCCGCTGCACCGCCTCGAGCCCGGCGCCAGACCCAAGGTCTTGGTCAGCTTGGGGAATGCCATTCTCTAGCAATCGTCTAGCCTCGTCTGATCCCGCTAGCGGCAGCGTAGCAACACCATCACCATCTGCGAGCTGACCAACAAAAGGCAAAAGTCTTGGCAATGCTGGCTGGCTGTTGAGGCGTCGAAGGGGGGGCACGTGGCGAATCACTTGACTCGACTCAGCACGAGATGTGCGGTCTTGGCAAAAATCGATCCGAGTAAAAAAGCATCCCACACCCCGGACGGGCCGTGATCAGCCACAATGAACCGTACGATGGGCCGGTGTTGGTGACGTAGAAGAAGGGCCGGAGCCGGAGAGGTGTGAGGAGAGTTGGGTTGGGTGGCTGGCTGCGGCTGCGGCTGTGGAGAGATCAAAGAAAAGAGATTGACATTTGACAGAAAAGTCTGATCTGAGCACATTGGATAGGCAGTTTCCAGCAACTTGCCATCATCACACTCGACACGGGTCGATCAATCAATCAATCAATCAATCTGCCTGTATGTTTCCCCGCAAAAATCTCACGGCACTCAAGGCATACGGAGTACGGAGTAGGTACGGAGTATTGTAGGGAGGGGCAATGGGGGGGCCAAAAAAGAACCAGACCATTTGCAAGCGCTGCCAATGCAATCCCTCCAGATTCCAGCCAGAGAGCTCGAGCCCTTGATTCGTCTTCTTCCACTTCCACTTGTTGACATGCCTGCCGGCCGCCCACTCGCACTCCCTTCTCCCTCCCCATGGCCCATGGGCTTACCGATAGGTACCTCATGGGCCCTGCTGCAATGCGGCGATCCATCGCTCACGCCATGCATGAGATGAGCTCACAGCACAGAGTTCGCCGCAAGGGCGCAGGAACATGCGCTATTTCGACGTCTTGGTTGGTGGTGGCTGACTGGTCGACAATTCGATTTGATTAGCATACCTATCATTTGTTGGCGACGGTGTGTGTCTGTGTGTCGTCGAGATTGAATTCCAGGTCTGGTCAACGTGGTCGATTGACATTTGTTGAAGAAGAGAGAAAAGCTCCACGCACTGTGCACACAGTACGCATGGAATGAGATGGAATGGGCTGTGGAGTGCCATGGCCATGGCCATGTCACAATGAATGTGTCGACTCGGTCGAGGGCAGACAGACACACGGTGCTATTTATCCACCTGCAGAGAAGAAGCCGCCGGAAAACAACACGCCGCAATGGCCCGTCGAGGAAAAGGAATGCCTACGAAGTAGCTGCCTACCTAGGTGCCTCGCATCGCTTCCGTTTGATCGCGCCGTTGCTGCACAGTTGGCCAGGTAAGCCGGATGCATCACTGCAGTAGATGTTGGCCGGTCCCTGAGGAAGAAGCCGAAGCGGAAGAAGCACAGATGGAGGAGGAACTGGCACTGTGGGCAATGGGAACCCGGCCGGTGGGAAGAGGTGAGCTGACTGATGCAATGCCTACGAAGTGCCTACGAAGTACTAACTACACCTTGTTAGTTCGCGTGTCTTGTGTGTCTCCATCTCGCACTCTAAATCCCAGATCTGACGCACGTCACTCCGCAGGGCTGGCTCTATGTCGTGATACTTGGCCACCATCGCCGGCTCGATTTGGCAATGCCTCGATGGCCCGGTCGATTCGCCCGGGCCCCATGGATCCATCCCCTCCAGTCTTCCTCTCCTCCATCCTCCCTCCAGGCACACAGTCTCACTCGCTTCTCCGCACTACTGGCCTCGCCCGTTCCTGTTCTAGCCCTGCTCACCAACGCTTGTTTCTCCTCTCGCCCTCCTCTTCCCTTCCCTGTGCTTCCCCTGTGCTGTGTCCTGTTGTACCTACCGTCCGCCCTTTGCCGACCCGCTCCCATCCGGCTGCAAGCTTTCATGTTCTTGCACCCCTTCTGCCGGCTCTGATTCGCCTGCTGCTCACTGGTGCTACCCAGCCCCGGCGAATTGATGATGCCAGTCTAGCTGATGCCCTCTCGTGCCCTGTCTACCTAGGTAGCCAACCTCACCTCTTCCCCGATCCCTCCTCTCCAGACCCTCCTCTCCCCCCTTCTGCCATCAACAAACCACCCTCTCAGCAGCCCGGATCCATCGTCTGCATCTCTCAACGGCGTCCCTCTCGCTCTCCTGACTGTCGCGACTCGCCGTGATCTCGTTTTGACCCCGTAACTGCCCCGAGCTGCGCTCCCGCACGAGCTCCCGATTACGTCATCGCCATGGCCAACGCCCCAGCTCCCGCGGTCGACCCAGGTGAGTTGCCCGGCAGAACCAGCAGTACCAGGTCCAGATCCATCCCAATGGCGTCGAGAACGGGCACAGGGCCGTCCGTTGCGCGGCCCTGCCTTCAATTGGATGTTTTGACTGCCTTTGCGACGTTGAGAAGTTGCTATTTTTGATGAAAAAGAAGAAACCAGTGCCCTCTTGCGCCGCAACACTACATCCCGCCTCCAAAAACAAATCCTACTGCTGCTGCTGCTGCTGCTGCTCCGCCCCTGTTTGTGTTGTGTGTTTTCTTGGACCAGCCAGCGCTGACCTCAGATTCCCCCTCTTGCCATCGAGCACAGTCGCCAACCCCATCAAGCCGGCCGATCCTCCCGCCGTCTCTGCCCATGCGCCGCCGCCCGCGCCGCCCAGCGATGCGCCGCCCAAGGACCCCCAGGAGAGCCTGGGCCTCAAGCCCTCGGAGCCGGCCCAGCCGGCCGCCGCCAAGACCGACGCCGAGCCCACCAAGCTCTCTGAGCCCGCGGCCGTGAGCGCGCCTGTCGCCGCTCCCGTCGGCGCTACCAACGGCACTGCTGCGCCTGCGGCCCCGGCCGCCGAGGACAAGAAGGACGAGGCGGCGCCCTTGATGGCCGGGGCGCTGCAGAGCGCCGACAAGCCCGCCGAGTCTGTCCCCGAGCCCGGCGCCGACGCCGCGGCGCCTGCGCCTGCGCCCGCGCCTGCATCCTCCCAGGCCCCGCCGGCCAAGGTCGAGGATGCCAAGGACGAGCAGGCGCCGGCCAAGCCTGCCGCCGTCGAGCAGCCCTCTGCACCCGCCGCCGAGAAGCCCGCCGAGCCCCCCGTCGAGAAGAAGCAGCCCGTCGAGACTGCTGCTGCTGCTGCTCCTGCCCCGGCCTTTGCCGAGCCGGCCAAGATGGACGGGCCCGGCAACGCGCCCGAGGAGCCCGCCGAGCGGATCAAGCCCACCGAGTCCGTCCCCGCCCCCGTGCCCAGCGCCCTCAACGGCGTCACTGCGGCGGCGACGGCCCCCAGCGCCAGCGCCGGGCCCACGGCCGGCGACAAGATGGACCTCGACAGCCCGGCCGTAAGCGTCGCCGCGCCCGTCGCCGGCAACAAGCGCAAGTTCGAGGAGGACGCCGACGACGACGGCGGCGTCAACGGCAACGGCAACGGCAACGGCCCTTCCCTCGAGACGAGCGCGTCGGCCGTCGAGGGCTCCGTGGCCAAGAAGATCAAGCCCGACAGCGCTGCTACCGACACCACCCTCGAGACCTCGACGGCGGCGCCCAAGGCCAACGGGAACGGCGCCGGGGTCAAGAAGAGCAACGGCCGGTCAAAGAGGGAGAAGGCGCCCGCGCCCGTGGGCCGCACCGCGAGGAAAACGCGAAGCCAGGGCCCGGTCGATGCTTGAAGCGTCGTTTTTGTCCTCCCTCTCGTCAACGACATCCATCTACAGTTGACCCGACACTCCTTTTTTTTTCTTTTGGTAGTTTTGGTACGCTCAAAGCAAGGGGATAAAAGCTTCCAGGCCAAAAAAAAAAAAAAACGTAGGTAAGGCAACAAAAACGATGGTCTTTCCCCTTCCTTGGGGGTTATGCGGGAATTGCCTTTTTTGTTTTCCTCTTTTTGCTGTGCTTGCTGGTTGAGGGGATTGGCATTAAGGGGGTTCTGTACGGCTCGGCTTTCATGAGGCCGCCTCTCACCCCTTTTGGACACAACTTTGCGTGGGCAAAAAGGGAAGGTGTTTCTTCCCGGGCTGGTGGTTTGTTTATCTACGGTTGTGATTTCTGGGATGTGCGGTTTCAATGTAATGTACATAAAAGGAAGGCTGAATGTGATTTCGCTATTGTTGTTTAGAGTCTGTTGTATGATGGATTTTGATTAATGCATCCCATTCGTGATACTCCAAAGTTTACCTCCTCGCTGTAAGCTTGCTCCCTCGAGCCTGGTGTAAGCTTGGTTATATATAGATAGCATTGATGAGGCTCTACAAAATATGAATTGTGTTCAATCAATGCTACCTGGTTCGTCGCTCGCTCTTTGTAAGCCCACACAGGTCACAACGTATTGCTTTGAAAGTCAATGAAGACGACGACGACGACGACGACGACGACGACATAAGAATGTTGTGATGAGCCAGGACCCTGCAGGCGCAGATCCATGCAAGCAATGCACCAACAAGGGCCAAAGCGGCTGAGCAGATCATTCGTCCGGGCGAGCTGCTGCCGACCATGCGGATTTCCCTGAAAGGGCACTGCCCAACGAACATGTCGATCCGCCCAGGGGAGCACCGGATCACCGCCGGGGAGTTGAGATCAACTGGGTGAGAATGTATGCCAGCTGACGCAGCAGACTGTTTCATCCCTCGTCCCGAGTACCAAAATGAAAAATTTAAGCTTGTTGGCCGTGGAACCTCTTTTTGTCGATCGATGCTTTTGGCCCTCGCACACAAGACTCAATTGACTGGAAGTGAAGAAAGAGAAAAGACACGGCCTTCAATATCAATCTCGAGGTCTCTACGCACCGGCCGTGGTGCCGGATCCGACGGGCCATGCTGCTCAATGCTGCCCAGTTCAACGGGTCTTGTCTGGGGGATCTGGGATCCGACTTGGACCCCTAATAAATGCGCATTAACGACAGCGCCGATCTCGACGATTGCGGGCCGTTGTTTTCCAGTTCTTCGTAGCCCACCTCCTCAGCTGCCTCACCTGAAAGGGGCACGCATCCCGTATCCGGGGTCGAGGCTACGTACTAAGGTTAGGTACAGGTAGTTACCAGCTCCTCTTCATGTTCCAGTAGGTACCTACCTGTAGTTAAGCATATCCGGGAGGCAACCCGCTGTTTCGAGTTCAACGCCGCCTCTGGAGCTTGCTCGACGCGCGCGGGAAAAACAAGCTTGAAGCTTCTCTACTGTACTTGTACAAGTGCTTCGCTAGGTAGTTCAGGACTCTGTCGTCCCGTGTCTGCCGTAGCCAGCCCAGTTTTGCTCGTGTGGAGCCGGCAGAGGTGCACAGCAAGCATGGAAGGGAAAAAAAAAAAAAAAAGCTCGTATTCCAGCGATGCGAGACCCCCTGAGATCTTCGCGATCCATGCCAAGGGGGAGGAAGGGAGGAGCCCGTACGGCGGGTCCGTTTAGGTACCTCCTTATTTAGCATTAGCATTAGCTGACAGCGATGCATGTACATTTCTGCAGTGTAGTGGCGTGGGAGATACATGGTCGTTCTCTCATTGTTCTCGCTCCTCCCATGTGATGACATGTTCTGCTCTCCTTCTGCTCTCCTACTCTCCCTCCCCAACAATCCTTGCACACACCTTTTCCACGCCCGATCCTCAGCACCATACCTTATCTAGCCTATCATCCATCCTGACCTACCTCCTCACAGTCCTCCTTGCCTGCTCCGTTGCCGATTTGCACTTCAGTCTCTTTTCTTTGTTTGCCCTCCACGACCACGCAGCATCCTTTCTTCCCTTTGCCTATCTCGGGGCAATACAGCTTCATGCCTTTAATGTTGACGACGAACGACTGATCTCCTTCGCTCCTCCCTTTCCTGCCTTGGTCCCGATAGCGGCGACCCTTCCGACCACACTCGCTCCAGGCCAAAAGTCACTCGCTCCTACATCTTGACCAATTCTCCGCCCTGACCTGAGACGAAACGAAACGAAACGACATCTTTCCCTGCTGTCATTCACGAGAATCCCGACCGTAGACAGAGCCCTCTGAGTAGGGCGGCAAACAAGACCCTCCCCCCCCGGAGTTGGCGGTGCCGTTCCCACATCACACGACACTGGATCTGGCGCCCTCTGCTCGTCTCCCAAGGGTTTAGACCCTGCCATCACCCCTCGGCCTCTCGTGTGGTCCTCGACAGCCGTACAAAACCCGGCGGGTAGCCCATTGTGGGCATTAGCAAGACAGCATGGAATCAATCGTCAGGGCCATCCTGACGCTGGTCCCCCGTGATGGAAACCCGCCACCAGAAACGAGCGACGATCCGGGGAAGCAGTTGCTGTCGCTCTTGTCAAATCCCTTTGGTGGTCAGGTGAGTTCTTTCGCGGGCCGTCGCTAGTCAGGGGCACTTCCACGACGTTGTCCCGTCCCCTGAGCAGTTTATCAGTTTGGTGCGCGGATCTAACGTTGACCCTACATAGCTCCAAATCGGTTCCATCTGGGCCTCGATCGGCACGTCCTTCGGTATCACAGCCGGCATTGCGCTGCTCTTCTCCCTCGTCCGACCCTACAACACGATCGTATACGCCCCGAAGCTCAAGCATGCTGACGAGTTGCACGCGCCGCCCGCCCTGGGCAAGGGCATGTTCGCCTGGATCGGCCCCCTGTGGAAGACGAATGAAAAGGACATCGTGCGCCTCGTCGGCATGGACGCCGCCATTTTTCTCCGTTTCACAAAGATGTATCGCAACATGTTCGTCATCATGGCCATCCTCGGCTGCGCCGTCCTCATCCCCGTCAACTACACCAAGGCCTTCCGCTACGGCGACCCGGTCTGGCTGCTCCTCCTCACGCCCATGAACGTCCTGGGCCAGCCGAACTGGGTCCAGGTCGTGCTCATCTGGCTCTACACCATCATCGTTGCCGGCTTCCTGTGGTGGAACTACCGCAAGGTCCTCCACCTGCGCAGGGAGTACTTCCAGAGCCCCGAGTATCAGAACAGTCTCCATGCGCGTACCTTGATGGCAAGTGGCTTCTCCCGGGATGCTTTCCCAATGTACACTCGGCTGACCTGTTGCAGTTGTTCGATATCCCCAAGAAGCTGTCTTCCGACGAGGGCATTGCTAGGATCATCGACGAGGTCGCTCCCAATTCCTCGTTCTCGAGAACCGCGGTCGCTCGAAATGTCAAGATCCTGCCCGAACTCATCAGCGAACACGAGAAGGCGGTCCGCAAGCTCGAAAAGGTCCTCGCCAAGTACCTCAAAGATCCCCATAATCTGCCCGCCTCCCGTCCGGTCTGCGCGCCTTCCAAGAAGGATCGCTCATACGGGACCTACCCCAAGGGCCAAAAGGTCGATGCCATCGATTACCTCACGCAGCGCATCAAGGAGCTCGAGATCGAGATCAAGGAGGTGCGCGCCAGTGTGGACAAGCGGAACACCATGCCCTATGGGTTCGCGTCCTACTCTGATATCAGCGAAGCACATGCCATCGCGTACGCGGCGAGGAAGAAGAAGCCGCACAATGCCACCATCCGCCTGGCGCCGCGGCCCAACGACATCATCTGGGACAACATGCCTCTGAGCGCCCCGACACGGAGCCGCAGGAGGTTCATCAACAACACGTGGATCGCGCTGCTGACGGTCCTCTGGGTGGCGCCCAACGCCATGATTGCCATCTTCCTCGTCAACTTGAGCAATCTGGGACTGCTGTGGCCGGCGTTCCAGAGGTCGCTGGCCGGCAACACCAGCTTCTGGCAGATTGTGCAGGGTGTCTTGTCTCCGGCCATCACTTCGACCATCTATCTCGTGCTCCCCATCATCTTCCGCCGCCTCTCCATCCAGGCAGGTGACCAGACCAAGACTGGCCGCGAGAGACACGTCATGGCCAAGCTCTACTCCTTCTTCGTCTTCAACAACCTGGTGGTGTTTTCGCTCTTCAACTCCGTCTTCACCTTTGTGTCCAACGTGGTCAAGTCGACCGAGGGCGGCACCGATGCTTGGCAGGCCATGCTTAAGGCGCAGCCCGGCAAGCTTCTGATCGGCTCGCTGTGCACCATGTCGCCCTTCTGGATCACCTGGCTCATGCAGCGACAGATGGGTGTGGCTATCGACCTCGCCCAGCTCTGGCCGCTTTTCTGGGGCTTCCTGATGCGCAAGTTCTCCAGTCCCACCCCGCGCGAGCTGATCGAGTTGACCGCGCCCCCTCCCTTCGACTACGCCAGCTACTACAACTATTTTGTATACTATGCCACGGTCGCCCTGTGCTACTCCGGCGTGCAGCCGCTTGTGCTCCCCGCCGTGGCCATCTACTTTGCCATCGACGTCGTCCTCCGCAAGTACATGTTGCTCTACGTCTTTGTCACCAAGACCGAGTCCGGCGGCATGTTCTGGCGTGTGCTCTTCAACCGGATGATTTTCGCGTCCATGCTCGCTCACGTGGTCGTCTTCCTCATCGTGTTTGTGCAGGGCACGGAGGACCATCTCCAGGCGTACTGCGTGGCTCCTCTGCCGTTCTTGATGGTTGGGTTCAAGCTGTACTGCTCCAAGGCGTTCGACGACAAGATCCACTACTATGCCACCCAGAACCTCCACCAGCCGCATGCCGAGGGCAAGGAGCAGAGCCTGCGCAGCGACCGCCTCGCCGCGCGCTTCGGACACCCCGCCCTGTACAAGCCGCTCACGACCCCCATGGTGCACGCCAAGGCGCAGAACATCCTGGCGTCTGTCTACTCGGGGCGCCTGACGCACGGGCGCGAGGCCGGCTCGGGCGACACCATGTCGGTCTCGGGCTACTCGGACACGTACGTGCTGGACCCGATGAACGCCGGCAAGCCCGGCAAGCGGGTGGCGCCGTCGGGCGCGTCGATGCCCGGCTTCGAGGTCGTGCCCGAGTCCAGGCTCGACTTTGAGTACTACAAGAACCGCGACGAGTTTGGCGAGGACCACGGCGGCGGCGACATCTTTGGCACGCCGCGGGACCTGATCCGGCCCGGCACGCCCGGCAGCCTCTTTGGCGGCGCCGGCAGCGACTCGCGGCCCGGCACGCCCGTCGGCGGCATGACGGGCCGCAGGCAGTACTCGGTGCAGATGCTCAACTCGGCGGGCGGCACGACGTACAACCCCGGCTACCACAACCCGAGCAGCCCGAGCCCGCCGCCCGGCGTCGGCGTCGGCGGCGGGTTCCCGGCGCACTCGCCCTACTCGCACGAGGGGGGGGCCACGCCGCGGGCCGGCTCGCCGAGCTACGGCCTCGGGGACGTGCCGACGCGCACGCGCAGCCCCTTTTACGGCGTGGCGGGCGGCAACGAGAGCGGCAGCAACCTGGTGCACAACGCGGCGGGGATGCCCATGTCGCCGGCGGCGCAGCCGACGATCCCGGCGCTGGCGTCGCCGCGGTCGCGCGAGGCGAGCCTCGACCGGGGCGTGGGCGTGGGCGGTAGCGGCGGCGGCAACCCGCGCGCGCCAGGCATGCTGGGCGGCGGGCCGTACGGGTACGGCAACTTGCCCCAGGAGGAGGAGGACCCGGACCCGATGTCGTACGACTACTTCCGCGGGGCGAGGCCTAGTCGACGGAGGGATACGAGTGAGCAGCATCGGTGGGGGGGTTGAGCTGAGCGATGAGAGAGGGGCGTGGGGGAGAGGGCAGGGGGAGAGGGGAGGGGGATGAAGGGGAGAGAGGAGGAGGAAGAACGAGAAAGGCTGGGAGAGAGAGAGAGAGAGAGAGAGAGAGAGCGTGATGTAGCTCGCGGGGGTTGTTGATGCGCCCTCCGGTGGTTATCTTCACATAAGGGCAGAGAAGACAGAAGAGGGCCTTTTGGGGGTGAAGACTACATATCCTTGTAATCTGTGCATTGGGTTTGGCGTTTTTCTCTCTCTTTTTTATCTGTACAGAACAGAAGACTTGCAAAAAGGATCTGCGAGGACAAAAATTATGGGGGGCCGGGGGGGGGGACAGAATGGATAGCTCGGATCAGATAGAGGGGGTTCTTCGTTGTTGCAGAAGCCCCCGGATCTTGAGGCTTTTTGCCTGTTTGTTTTGAAAATTGCAGGCCGATTCATGGAGACTTGGATCTCTCGGTGCTGTCTGTCAGTGTGTGTGGATTTATTGGCCTGTCAACTGATAGATATGGTTTGTTTATTGCATAATAGACCGTCATGGGTATGTTGTGATGACAAGATCAGAGACTGCCTTTAATATTATTATGGTGAATGACAGGGAACATGTGCAAATGTTGAGCCTTTGGGCTCTTCATCGGAAAGGTTTATCATATCTTTGATGGACTTCTAATTGCAAAATGATATTACAGAGTAATCTTCGTCTCTTCACCCACCTTGATAATGGGACAGACGGGAAGTTTGGTAAGGTCCTTAACCGTATACCATGCTTTATGGGGTGCCAAGTTTTACACCCATTTGATAGAGCAGCCTGCACATGTAAGATTCCATGTGACACTGCAAAGCAGTAGAAAATGCCTGTGAATCACTCAAGAGCCTCTCTATCTTCCCATTTTCAATGCTCAATACTACTTTGTTGCCATAGACCGGATTGCACTCTTAATAGATGACTACTCACTCATTATCCCATTCATCTTTATAATTCGACTACAGGAACCATCTGGTGCACAATGCCCTCCCACCGGGTCATATGTCCGATATTTCATTGGTTTCAAATTGTGGTGAAGAACAAGAAGGGCAAATGCTCTGTGGTTCGTGTCATTGCTACTACGCTGCCCTACCTATGCCCCGGGGGGTAATGCCAGTGTCTATTATCTGCAGATGCCAGTTATATACATACGACCTTTAGCAATAAACTCGAATTGTACACAGCATCGAGTTGATTTCCATCAGTACACAAGAGACAATAGGCCACATAGTTAGATGACGATAGTGAGCCTGGACGACGTTTGGTTAGGCGCCACACGCACTAGCCACACTGTTTTGGGGGGGTTTTAGGGGTTCTCAGGTGGAGGCTGTGGTGGAGTTGGCAGGAGCTTTTCGTCCGTTGACTGCCGCGAACAGCAGCCCGAATCCCTCCCCAAAGCCAAATCGAGTTGGAACCGCCGGCTGTTTCGAGACTTGACACCTTGCTGACCTCATTCTCCGACAAGCGAGGCAAGGAGCCCTTCTGGAAGGCCCGCCCGAGGACTTGTCGCCCGGCCCGGGAGCTGGAAACGGGAAAGGTGGGCGAAAAACAAGTTCCTGGCGGTTGGCGACAGGGCCGTCGAAAGTAAGGTTACTTGTCACTATGGGGACTGGTGAGGTCATCGCCCAGACACACCTCCCCCCCGTAATCCCTGCACTCAACCACACCTGAGAGCAGCCTCTGGCCCAACCCGCAACGACAACTCTCTCCGTCCAACTTTTACCCCCAAGATTGATTTCGAGGGACGGACATTGGCCGGCTTCGGGTTGTTGGTGCCTCTGCATCCAATTCGGGAAGTGACTTGCCCTCCCACCCGCCTTTTGTCATTTCCCGCACGTCGCAGCTCTGGCAAATGGTCACTCGGCCAGTCGGCCACCAGGGACCAAGCACCGAGATACTTGTCTCCCCTGAACCAATCTCACGTCTCAGAGGATCAAGGGTCCAAGGTATGACGACGTTCTCAACATGTCCTTCTTCCCTATCGGAAGGGAAGCGGTCTGGGGTTCTGTTCAAAGACAGCAAAGCAACCGCCCACCAGATCGAGATGATTCTGGAGAAGTCTCCATTCCCCAGTATTTCGCTGCCATTAACATGCCTCCTCCCATACGGCTGTTCCTCCGAGCAGTTGGCAGGCTACATTGTCCATGATGTAAGTAGGGTCGTCTCTTGGCACGCACATCAGTGGCCCCCTCTGTCTCTTCTTCGCTTGCTTGGGACAGCTCTCCCCGGCCCTGGCCTGTCCTCTTCTTAAGTGTCTCTCGACACGGCTCGGAGCTTTCTGTTGCAAGATTGCAAGAGGCCAGAGAGGAGGCCGACCTGGGACAGGGGCCCGACGATCACCGTGACCGCGTCAAGCCAACTTTTTGGGAACCCGTCACTGAGAGCCTTGATAGCTGCGACATGGCCAGGTCCAAGTCGCGTCAACAAGAAATAAATGTTCATGTCCATCTCTCACCAGCCTACACATCTATTCTCTCCTTTCGAAAGTTTGGTCATCGTTGAAGCTTTTCCTTCGGCATCTGCAATCTGCAAATAACCTCTTGGTTCCATTGTGAACTCTTGCCCTTCCATCTCCCTTGTCGTTCGTATCCTATTTCTGTGGCAGTGACCTCATACCGGCCAGGGTCCTCTCGGTTGGCTCTCCGCCCGCATGTCCACACCACCAACCGCGTAGCCTCAACTCTGCAGCGCCCGGTGGCGAACACCCTATATCGCATTGGTGATCGCTGGTAGTTCCTGTGCCGTTCTTTTAAGTCAATTCTCGCCTGTACGGCCTGGCTGTCTCCTCTCCTGCTCGCCATGTCATCCAAAATCCCCCACTGCTCCTCCGACACCGCATTAGTAGGAACTTTCATACCGCCGACGAGACCGCAGTTCAACTCGCACAACACTTCTGACCGACTCCGCGTGGGCTCCGGTACGCTTCCCAGCTTCTCAATGGTGAAGAAGGACCGCAAGTCCATGTTCAGAGAGGTCGGATTGGAGGATCACGACAGTAGTGTTACCGCACATCACAACGGCAGGGGCCCCTCGGAACGGGACCTGTTCGGCGAGCCCGCTGCGTTGGCTTCACAAGGCTCGTATCGAAAGCGCTCCGACACGACAGGGCATGGGGCGGAAAACAACATGAGCCCCCACGAAGATGCGCAGGACGGCGGTGCGAACTCGCCGCGGTCGCGTTCGGGCAAACAGTCGTGGTACTCGAGGCTTGCTGCGGCCAAGCGACCGCGGATTAAATCGGTGTCGAGCGCCCCTCCTCCCACCGTCGCGAGCCTGTCGCGCTTCACCATGATCGCTCTGTTCATCGCCGTTATCCTGCCGGCGTTTAGCTATCACAGCGGCGGCGGCGGCGAAAAGGTCAGCATGAGCGGCGCCGACGCCGGTGTCATCAGGGATCCCCGGCTTAGACGAGGACCGGTTCTGGACACTCGAGCGAATTCCCCGACGGATGTCTGCACCAGATGGAGTCATCAGGGTATGTGACTTGGTGCCGTGCTCTTTGAAAGTTCTCAACCAAGATGCTGACAGTACAATCGGCGACAGCTGCGCAGCTCAATGGCACTCTGTACATATACGGGGGCCAAGCGAAGACGTCTGGAGATCAGGAACAGAATACGTGGAGTACGTCGGACATCCTTTTCTGACTGAAGATCCAACATTTTTGGAGTGGACTAATAGAGGCCACAGACAATAACTTTGTAACACTGGATCTCACAAAGTCTTGGGATATCAGTTCACCGGCCTTGAAGGGCCTGCCGCAGCCTTCGGGCCCGCCCGCGGTAGCTAACGGCTACCTGTGGAACGACTACGAGAACCTCTTCCTCTACGGCGGCGAGTTTGCCGACAACCCCTTTGTCGAGCCGGAGCCCATGTCCACGTGGAAGTACTCTATCAAAGACCGGTCCTGGAAGCAGTTTGAGAAACCGCAGACCTCGGCCGGAAATTTCTCGGACCCTGGAGGCGTTCCAGTGCAGAGATCGGCCGAGGGAGCCGGGGTGTCGGTCCCCGAACTGGGCCTGAGCTGGTACTTTGGAGGACATCTGGATCTGTCTACCACGCAGGGCTGGTCCAACCAGATCAAACGCGTCTACCTGAAGAGCCTGCTCGAGTTCACGCACCCTGGATATGCCAACAACGGCGTGCAGTCGATCGCAGCCAAGGCGGCTGGCGAGGGCGGTGTGTACCGCAACATCACTCAGGGTGGCCTGCAGGAGAATGACGCCGCCTTCTTTGAAAGGGCCGACGGCGTGCTCGTCTTTGTCCCCGGTTGGGGGACGAGTGGAGTTCTCGTCGGTCTGGGCGGTGGTACGGACACCCAATTTGCCGACGACTTCTCCAGGCTCGATGTCTACGACATTGCCAATTCGACCTGGTACCACCAGGAAACACGGGGCGAGGCCCCCTCGGTTCGGGTCAACCCTTGCGCTGTGGTCGCATCGGCGCCCGATGCGTCAAGCTTTCAGATCTACCTGTTTGGAGGACAAAATCTGCAACCTTATGTGAGTCATCACCGCTACGCCACCGTGCTCTCTGTACGGATGTTTGAGAGCTAATCACGAAATCTTCCGTTTCCATAGAAAGACCAGATCCAATACAACGACATGTACATCCTCAGCATCCCGTCCTTCACCTGGGTCCGCGTCGACCAGGGAGGGTCGAACAAGCCCAGCCCGAGGGCGGGCCACACGTGCAACCTCCGCGACGGCCAGATGGTCGTCGTGGGCGGGTACGTGGGCAAGGACATCCCCTGCGACCGGCCGGGCATCTACGTCTTCAACACCAGCTCGCTCGAGTGGCAGGGCCGGTTCACCGCCCTGGCGCACGAGCCCGGCCTGAACGCGGAGAACACGGTGCTGGCCGCCAGCTACGGCTACAAGGTGCCCGACCGGGTGGCCGCCGTCATCGGGGGCAGCACGGACGGCGGCGCCACGGCGACGACGCCCGCCGCCGGGCCCGCGAGGGACGGGCCGTTTGCGACGGGACACCCGCCCGTGTACACCGTCACGCAGGCCGGCGCCACCGCGACCGTCACGCAGGTAGGCCCGTCTGGAGTCGTAGGCGGCGGCGGCAGCAACGGCAACGGCAACGGCAGCCCGTCCTCTGCTCCTCCCGCGGCAGGGGACGACGGCGGCAGCAACAAGCACGCCGTCAGCCCGGGCCTCGTCGCCGCCGCCGCCGTCGCGGGCCTCGCGGGCCTGCTCGCGGGCTACCTCGGCTTCTGCGCGTGGCTGTACCGCCGGCAGGTGCGCGCCTACAAGACGCACCTGGCCGTCGCGAACCGGTACTCGGGCGCCGTGCGCGCGGGGTCCTCGCGCTCGGCGTTTGGCGGCATCGCCGCGCTCTTTGGCCGCAAGGGGTCCAAGGAGAGCCGCGGCGGCACCAGGAAGAAGGCTGCTGGGGCGCACAAGCGGACCACGCTGACGGACGACCCGGCCTCGTACGCGGAGAAGCCGGCCCTCTTGGGCAGCGCCGGCGCGGCCGCGGGGTTCTACGGCGCCGGCGCCGGCCACGGCCACGGCAGGGACGACTCGACCTCGACGGCCGACAGCTTCGGCTGGGTGGTGGCGCCCGACGGCGGCCAGCAGCAGCAGCCCAAGGCGGCGTGGATGAGCGACGAGCCCTCGCCCATGAGCGGCACGACGGTCGGCGCGGCGACGGCGAGCAGCGCCAGCGGCGGCGGCGGCGGGGGCGGCCTAAGGCGGGGCGACAGCGGCAGCCCCTTTTTCGACGAGGCGGCCGGGCCGCCCGTGCGCCGGCCGCCGCCGTCCGGAATGTATGGCGGCGGGACGGGCCACGATGACGGCTACGGCGGCGGCGGCAGGCGGGGCAGCGACTCTGGCGGCAGCACGACGAGCTCGACCGAGGGCCTGCTCGAGGGGCGGGAGCCGAGCTTCTTTAGCGTCGTGCTGGGGCCGAGGAGGGCGCTGCGGGTGGTGAATGGGCTGGAGGAGTGATGACGAGGAGGGATGTTTGGTGTTGGTAGAATGATTTTTTTTTTTTTGTGGTGGTGGTGATGTCTTGATCTGATGAGATACCCTTTCCTTTCTGTATTGTTTTGGTCTGTGTCTACTACGTTGTGTGTCAGCGTCGAGATCTGGCGAGGATGCAAATGATTGTAAACGATGTCGATGTTGGGATATATGTCTAAACGCGACTACGAAATATTGTCTTGGGGGGTGGTTGACTGGACAGGATGTACATGTACATAACAGGTGAAAATTGCAGCCACTTTCGTGTATTCAACACTTTTGTGTGACGGTGTCTCGTTGTAGAATTTCCTACAGAAGCTATTCATACATAGGACGGCGCTGGCTTCCAGCACCTGGGTATCATCTCATTCGTCTGCTTCTTGTGGGAAGCATTGGCATCTCGACTGGCGAGTCCTTGCTGAAAGGGTGCTAAAAAAAAAAAGAGGGAAAACCCTGTTCTCTTCCGACAGGTGAAGTGTCAATGCAGGCCGGATTTCGGCACGCCTTGTTCCCTTGGGGGATAATATGCCACCGCGGCAGCCCATTCCTGGGGGGAATTTGAAGGCCGCTTGTGACGTGTGCGCAATCTTGCATGGGGTAACTGTCTCTATGGAAGCGGGCGGTGTCTCCAGGGAAACAGATGACAGAATGTCATACGCATTCGCATCAACGGGCCACTTGACATTTCGTTCATCCCGTGGCCAGGATGCGAGAAAACTCCGGCGGGTCCTTTCCAAAGAATCCCGAGAGGTTCGTGCGCAGCAAGTCGAGGACATGCTGTGCCTCTTCCGTCTGCCCCGACTGCGTCAAGTACTGGACGGTGTCGAGACCGATAGACATGATCCGCGTAGCGAGGCCGGACGCGCGCTTGGAGGGCTCCCCGGCCTCGCTGGTAGGCAGCTTGAAGAGGTTCTGCCAGATGCTCTGGTTCTCCAGAAGCTGTATCGCGAGGGCGGGGTTGGGCTTCGTGGGGTGGTGGAGGTTCAGGTGGGCCTTGTCGATGCGAAGGTTCTTGCGCATGCGGTCGCTGATGGCAACGAAGGACTCGTACAGCTTGACGGACGGGTTGGCGCGCTTCCACGCCTCGACCGTCGATATCCAGGACAGGTGGCGCCAGGGGCCGACAAAGCTGAGTTCGAACTTGGGGTTCGACCTGAACATCTCCTGCCCTTGGAGGATCAAGGCGTATGCCTCGTTGAGGTTCGTGGCGTCGAGCGTCTTTGCAGTGACCAGCTGGTCGAGGACAAAGGAGGCCGCCGGTTGGTGGTTCTTGCCCACATCAGCCGGCCCCTCTCCCCGCATTAGCCGGTCCAGCCACCCCCAGGCGATGTCCTCGAGGCCCTCTGCGACCATGAACTTCAAGAGCAGGCTAGTCAAGCCGGTATGCGAGACAAAAGAGAGGTCTCTCTCCATGCCGGACGACCTCAGCCACTGCACGACCTTGAGGCCGGCGCCGGGCGTGGCCATGGCATCCTTGACCGATAGGCAGGGCGACTGGAGGATCTCGCGGCGTTTGGCCTGGAGACACCCGGCGGCCCGCCTGGGGTCCATAAGACCTTTGGAGACGGCCTCTACAAAGATGTCCATGGGGTCCCGCTCTGCGCTGCCGAGCTGCCCCAGGGCGAAGCCCTGCTGGACTGTCCGATCATAGCTGAAGAGGGGATTTGAGAGGATGGCGCGCAGATGCCGGTCTGTCGGTCGGCGGTGCGCGTCTTTCGAAGAGGTAGAGACGATGAGTCCGGTGGGGGGTCGGCTGGGGACGGGCTGAGCGGGGTCGTCGGTGAGCCACCCGTGCTCTTTATCGAGGTGTTTGCGGAAGGAGGCGGTCAGGGAGTTGAGCAGCTGCTGGGCTTCTCTCTGGTTCAGCGGGAGAGGGTGGTGGATGGAGGGCAGGATGCCCTTGAAGGATCCGAGTGACCTCGTAGAAAGCATGTCGACTGAGATGGGGGCACACGCACGCATCAACCTCGAAGGTGGGAGGAAATCACCACGGCATGGAGGAGGGTGCCTTCCAGGCTGACTTGTTGTTGCACCGTGATCTGGTAGTTCCGGATACCTAATACACGTCCGGCCGTGATAATGTGCCTCGATGACATGACACTCGGCGATCCAACCCGCATCCCATTTAGTGGTCACGTGATGAGAATGGGGTCCAGCTTGAGAGGAGAGCAGCGGCCTGAGGCTCCCAAGCAGCCAACTAAGGTTTACACGCTTGTCCATTTCCGGGTAAGGGCCTCCGAGGTGTGCTTGTGTACTCGTACTTGTACGAATTGAAGTTCCTTGGATCCCCACACTTTGCTAGGGCTCAAAGTCGAGAACAGACACCGAGCAGAGCTCCTCTCCCGATCTGTGATGCTAGTCTGGCTAGATAGTGTCATATTGGTACACTATGAGTAGGCTACCTAGATGTTAGGAACCGTTAGAGCGGAATGCAGTCGTGAGGAGAGGTGTCAAGACCGAGCATCAGAGCATCTGCCCTCCAATTGGCAACATGGTTCAGGCTTCCAGTTGGCAAAGGCAACAAACAATAGCAGCCCGACCCCGGCCTGACTGACTTTTGTTTGCCTTGGAGCCGTTGGACCAGAAGAGTCAACCCGTAGGTTCGCGAAGAGAGGGCTTTGCTCTCGGCACCGAATCCGGACAAGCACGCCGCCAAGGCATGACATGACAGACTTGATTGCGGTGCTACCGAATGTGAGCAAACATGACACTCTGATATTTCCCCGCCCTTGTCAGATCCATCAATGCGTTTTGATGTGCGTTTTGACAAGGCCTCGGGTGCTCTCTGACATCAGACTTGACATTCGAGGCCCGAGCAGTCCACTGCTCACATGAAATGCAAGCTTGCAGGGGCCCGGCTGCAAGGAGCTCCCAATACATAAAACCGGGGCTTATTGAGTGCTATTCAGAGAGCCACCAGACGCAAGGTTAGGTACCAAGTACGAAGTAGTTAACCACCGCACTAAGCGCCTTCCAGCTGGGTGACAGCTGACCCCCAGAGCCAAATTCCATCATTGTCCTTTTCCATCCATTGGTTTGCTTCCGTGGGAGGCGCACCAATCCAATCGTGAGTCGTCGGGGTCGTGGAGGGAAGAGAGTATGGGAGGGAGGGAGGGTAAGAAAGCAAGCAACAAACAAACAAACCTCCCAACTCTTCTTCGTGATCCTGGGCATCAATCATGGATGCCTTGTACCAAGGTTATATACCTCTAAGCCTGCCGGGCTTCGACTGAAAGCGGATTGATTCTCCCCAGCAGCGCAGGTACCTGGCACTAGCCCAGACCTTGCTCGAGGTACACGTACCCAAAAAGCTAAAAAGTGGGCTCCCCCAGTGGCCCTTGCAGCGCCAGAGTAACCGAGTACAGAGCACACGACGCCCTACCTATGGACCTACCTTAGGTAGGTCTGCCCTGGGCCTGGCCTCACACCCACCCCGAAAAAAGCCCCCCCAAAAGCCCCCCGGCCCAGCCTGCTGCTGCTCCTGCTGCCTCTTGCCTGCGAGCCTGCGAGCCTGCTTGCTTTTTATGGGTCCCAAATTCTGAATCGCCAAAACCTCCTGGCAAAAACATCACCTGCACTTCCTCCACTTCTTCTCACCTGCCTCGCATCATCCGCAGTTCTGTCCAACACTCCCCCCAACCAACGTCTCTTCTTTTTTCCTTTTCCATCTTGCCTGCCTACACCTCGCCATTCTCCTCAGTTTTGTCTCCCTCGTCGAGCTTCCTGACTCACTGTCCGCAGCTGTGGCAAACCCCAAGTCCACACATCCTCACCCACACTCACCACCACACCACGAGGGCTCTCTGACAGCCTTCTCACAGACCATCTCAGACCATGTCATCTGAGGTGCAAGCAAGACCAGCTGCCTCGCGCGGCCGAGGCGCTGGTCGCGGCGGCAGAGGAGGTTTCTCGAGCCGAGGAGGAGCGCGCATTCAAAACAGATCCGCCACCAACGGCGACGATTCTCTTGCCGCTCTCAACGAGGACGAGGGCGAAATTGGCCAGCTCAAGAAGCTACACGGCGACAAGATTGGTCTGATCAAGGAAATGTTCCCCGACTGGTCAGACGTCGATATTCTTTTCGCTCTCCAAGAGACTGATGGCGATGTGAGCATCGCAGTCACTCGCATTGCCGAAGGTAAGCAGAGCTCCGAATTCCTCCACTTCACTCGCACTGGGCCTTTGTCAATTGCCAAAAGCTCAATCGCATCGCCCAATTGCACTCTCGCCGCGTATATGCTGTACGAGGGCGCATGCCATTGTGCTGCGATGCAATGATCCGAGTCCAGGTCTCGTTGTGGATTGAAGCTGACTGACTTGTTTCCGTCTCGTTCAGGCACCATCTCCCAGTGGGGCGAAGTCTCGAAGCCCAAGAAGGACCGCACCCGGCCCAAGCCCAAGGAGAACACTTTCACCACAACTACGGGCGATTCTGCGCCGGCCAGAAATGCTCGAGGCGGACGCGGTGGCGTCGAGGGCGGCCGAGGCCGTGGCAGGGCCACTGAACGCGGCGGCCGCGCCGCTCGCGGCAAATCTGCCCACGCTACCACCAATGGTGCCCGACCCGAGAAGCCTCTCTCCGTTCCTACCGACGAGTCGTCCGCCTGGGACGCCCACAAGGCCAGCGATGAGACTGGTGCCTGGGGTTCCTCCGATGCGACTGCCGCTGCCCCCTCCGAATCCGCAACCAAGAACACCTCCACCACTGCTGCCCCGGCGGCTGCCAAGTCCAACCCCGATACTGCTCCCGCCGCTCCTGCTCAGAAGACCTGGGCAAGCATGCTCCGACAGTCGACCGTCCCCAAGGCTGCTCCCAAGCCCAAGCCTGCCCCTGCGCCCAAGCCCGAGGAGACCATCGAGCCGTTGCCGCCCGTCGCCGAGCCTGAGGCTCCCGAACCCGAAGCGCCCGCCGAGGATGTTGCCGAGCCCAAGAAGGAAGCTGCCCCTGCACAAGAAATTCCAACGGTAGTCGTACCCGAAGTTGCTTTACCGCCTTCCAAGGATCAACTTACCGAGACAAACCTCGAACAGATTGTCGATTCGTCGCACCCGCCTGACACGGAGACGGCGCGCAGCGAGGCTGCCGACTCTTGGGACCCCAGGCTTGCCGCAGCTAGCGCAACCGCCACTCCTCTGTCTGCTTCCCAGCAGCAGCACCAGAACGCTCGTGCCGCCGCGAGTGGCTACGCTGCCACCGCCCTCAAGGCCACCGAACGCACTGCTACCCGCACCCCGAGCCACTCCCGCCGGGTTCTTGATCAGGAGGAGGCTGTCCGCATGCCTGGCAACCGCGATGTTGACCGGACAACTGTGCAGTTTGGCGCGCTGAGCTTTAGTGGTGCGGATGAGGACATCGACGGCGACAGGGAGGACCCCGAGACACGAGGCCAGCCCCCGGTCGAGTCTCCTGTCAGCCACCCGCGGGCCTCGCTTCCTCCGGTGCCTCAGCCTGCATCGGTTCCCGAGGCATTCCCCGCCCAGAAGCCCGTCACTTCCCTCCCAACTCCTCAGGGACCGACCGGTACACTTCGGCCCGAAGCCCCGATCTCACAGCCTGTTGTCGCTGACGTATCTGTAGCCGCTCCCGTAGCTGCCCCACAGCAGCCCGCTGTCGCTTCGCAAGGTAAGACCACTTTCCTGAGCATTCTCTGCCCGTATCGCTAATCATTGAGGTAGCCCCGCAAGCCCCAGCTCAGCAATATGGTCGCTTTGGCCCGGCCAGCTCGCAGGAGCCGAGCTCTTACTCTCAGGAGCCGTTCGATTCGTTCAACCAGCCCACGAACACCTCATCGACTCAATCTCAGTACGACGGCTTCCAGAACCAGCAGCAGGCGCAGGCCCAGAGCCAACAGCCCGGTGGTGCTTTCAGCTCTGCCCCTAGCGATTACTCGTCCTATTACACCGCTGATGCCCAGAACCGCGGCCCCTACAACTACTATAACCATAGCCAGAATTATGGCCAGCAGCAGAGCGGTCAGGGACAGCAGGAGGGTGTTTCTCAGCAACAGCGCGCATACGGCGGATATGGCGGCCCGCAGGCTGATAACCTCAGCCAGTACCCCCAGAGCGCTGCCTCGCGATACGGCTCGGGCTCGGCTGCCGACACGCAGAACAGCGGCAATACTACTCCCAACCCTGCCGCTCAGGCTCAGCAGCAGGCTGGCCCCGGTGCCGGCCAGTCTCAGTCGCACGCGCAGCAGCAGCAGCAGCCGCATGGCAGCCAGTACCCTTACAACCACCCCTACTACCAGAGCCCTTACTATGCGGCTTATATGAATCAGTATCCCGGCTACGGCCAGGGCGCTTTCGGAGGACCCTACGGCGGCAAGGGTGGCTATGGCCAGCAGCACCCGTACATGTCGCCCCAGGGCCCTCATGACCACTCGTCCTCCCAGGGATCTGGATTTGGCCAGTCGTCGCTCAACAGGGGCGATAGCGGTCTGGGCTCGGGACTCGGCGACTATGGACGCGTCGGCTCCTCGCAGTCTGGAACCCAGTCTGGTTTCGGAGGCAGCGGCTTCGGCGGATCCCACGACTCTTTCAGCCGTGGTGCTTCCTCTTACCAGTCACAGTCCGGACAGGGCTACAATGCTCAGTCCTCTCAGCCTGGCAGCGGTCCCGCTGGCAGCGACGACCTCAAGCCCTTTGGCGAGTCCAAGGCCACGGGCGGCCCGAGCCCCTCGCTCGGCGGCGCGCGTCCCGGTTCGGCTACCAACACGACGCCTTCTCAGTCTGGACTGCCCGCAACGCAGTCCAACCAGCAGGGTGGCATGGGCATGGGAGGCTACGGTGGCAACTACCCTGCCCACCTGCAGCAGGGCGGCCACGGTCTCCACGGAGGGCAGTCTGGCAGCGCCGGTTACGGCATGAGCGGCGGCGCCGGCCAGGGCCATGCCAGCAACCCGTACGGCGGGGCCTATGGCGGCCAGGGCTTCGGCGGCAGCTTCTACGGCAACCAGCCTCGCGGCTGGGGCGGTAACTACCATTAGAAAGGTAGTGTCCAAGGCTATCCAGGCCTGGATGGAGCCGCATGCTTTACATAAGTGGCGCTTGAAATTGGGTGCCATCACCTCTCTCACTCTGTGATATTGTATGTGTGTACGATTTTGGGCCTTGCTTTGATATTGGCAGGGAGGGAAAACAAACGAAAGAAAAAAGAATTTTATTCGTTCTTTCGAGGCGGGGGGCTGTGGTTATTTTCGTCTTGCACAAAATGGTCAGGCAGGTCAAACAAACTAGCAAACAGGTTGTCATTAGGATGGGGGGAGCAGGAGGTTATGACCAAGGTCATTCTTAGGCGAGAGTACGAGAAACAAATTCAAAGAGACAGATTTTCGTCGGTGCCTCGCCATCTACTTGGTCAAGACCCTCCTCCTATATTTCTTTTATGTGTTTTGTTTCTTTCTTGTTCTTTTGTGGCTGGCTTGCTTGTCTCCCATTTGCTGGGCGCCATGTGGTCTGTATGAAACTCGCTTCTCGTGGGAAAGGAGAATATGGAGTCTCTCTGTGCAACTTCTTGACATCGTTGGGAAAGGGAAAGGCTGCATGATTTTTGCCATGTAAAATAGATTGACAATCGAAAAAGATGAGACTTATTGTTGCTGCGGTTTGCGGATGACCTTGAAGTGATACGAATGTCCTCGAGACGCGCGTGCAGTGAGCTGGGAAAGGGAGGGAGAGACGATTTGTCTGACTGATTGGTTGCTTGGACGCGAGATGTCATGGATTAATATTAGGTCTTGAAATCTACGACATGTAGCTAGCCGATGATTCCTATTGCATTTGGGAAGGAATACTTCTCCAGTCTAAAACAGCGGAAAGACGTATGACGCTTCTGAATGATCATGAGTACACTGCACGCACAGGGCTCAGAGCAAAAGATCCGTGTTGCCTCCCCCCTTTCTACTTCTCAAGATTTCCATCTAGTACAGCTCCTCCCCCGCCCTCTCTTTTCCTTTTCCAAACCCTCTTCGTCACCTCAGCCCTTCTTGGGCCTCACGCTCTGCAGGTTGTGGAACACGTCGGCGGGGTCCCACTTGGCCTTGACCTCCTGCAGGGCCGGGTAGTTGGCGCCCCAGTACACGGGCTGGGCGTCGGGCCCGAGGGCCGGGTCGACGTAGCCGGCGTACGTGGTCCACGCGCGGCCCCTCCCGACGCCGTCGAGGATGGCGTCGTGCAGGCCCGTCAGGTAGTCGCGCGTCGCCTGGCCGACCTGGGGCACCGCGATGCCGTAGCTCTGGTAGAACATGAGCTTGTCGCGGTGCGGGTAGGCCGTGGCGTTGAGGGCCACGTCGTTGACGGCGCCGCCCTCGAGGTCGAAGATGACGGCCCACAGCGGGGTGCCCGCGTCGTGCGAGGCGAGGAAGTCGAACATGGCCTCTACGGCCCGGTCGGGCAGCAGGTCCTCGCGCCGGAAGCCGAGCGACTTGGAGTAGAAGGGCGCCTGCAGGTTGGACAGGTAGAGCGCCTCCGTCTCGGCGTCGTGGGCGAGCGCGCCGAGCCAGTCGGGGACCGTGATGGTGCCCGCGGAGCGGCCCGTGCTGGGCAGGCGGTCGGCGATGCCGGACGCCTTCCACTCGGCCTCGGTGCCGTAGAAGGTGCCCTCGATGATGGCGCCCAGGGGCGTGATGATGATCTCGCTGCCGAAGCGGCGGTCGAGCTGCGGGTCCGCGACGAGGTCCTGCCACTGCTTGAAGACGGGGGCCATGTCGCGCAGGCTGCCGAGGGTGAACGAGTACGAGTACTGCACGATGTCGCCGGGCTCCGGGTGCGTCTTCATGACGAACTCGGTGATGACGCCGAAGCTGGCGCCGGCGCCCTTGAGGGCCTGTGTGTGTGTGTGGCCGTTGGATGTCAGAAAGGGGTTGAGGTGAAGAAGGGGTAAGATTGTACTGCGAAGGGCAGGAAGGCTAAGCTCACGAAGAAGAGGTCCGAGTTCTGCGCCTCGCTGGCGCGCTGGACCTTGCCGTCGGCCGTGACGACCTCGACCTCGAGGACGTGGTCGAGGCAGGACCCCCACATGCGCGACATGGCGCCCAGCCCGCCGATGGTGGCGTGGCCGCCGAGCCCGACACCCGGGCAGACGCCGTGGGCCATGGCGCGGCCGCCGGCGTCGTGGAGCTTCTTGGTCACGTCGCCGAGCAGGTTGCCGGCGCCGAGGGTGACCTGCCAGGTGGACTCGTCCATGCGGAAGCCCTGGAAGTTGGCCATGTCGATGGCGACGACGTTGTCGGCGCCCGGCCCGCCGAGGCCTGGTGCATGTGTGAACGTGGTGTGGTCAGTAAATGCTTGGAGACTGGAACTGGAACTGGAACTGGAACTGGAACTGGAACTGGAACTGGGACTGGACTGGACAATCCCATATTTTTGTGTTTCTCTTTTTTTTCCCCCCTCTCCTCTCTCTTGTCTAACTACTCACCATAGTTGCCGTACGAGTGGCCGCCCGACTTGGCCTGCACCTTGAGCTTGTTGTCGGCGGCGCACTTGACCACGCCGGCGACGTCGTCGGCGGTGGAGGGCCGGACGACGGCGACGGGGCTGACGGCGGCGGCCTTGTCGAGGTTGTAGGGCTTGACCCAGTTGATCTGGTAGAGCGGGTCGCTGGGGAAGCCGACGCAGCTGGACCGGCCGGCGCAGACGGTGCTGAGGCACGTCTCGATGGCCGTGGCCGAGTGCGAGTTACCCATTCTCTCTTTCTTTCTTTTTTTTTTCCCCCTTTGGCAAGTTCGACTGGCTCTCTCTCTCTCTCGCTATTGTTGGCGTTGTTGCAGTACGGCAACGAGAACAGGAAAAGTTGTGATATGTTTTCCCAGCTGGCAACTCGAGTTTCTGCCGCGACAGACAGACGAACAGCAACAACGTCAACAGTGAGAGGAGCGGCGGGCAGCGACTCAACAAAAGGGACAAAGGGTTTTAACAGCAGGGGTTCACGTCGGTCATGACGATTTGCCCGTGTGCCCCTGCTCGGGTCTTTTTGCGGTGAGTGACAGGGGTTCTCCAATATCGTAAGGTGGGTGGTAGTGACGGCAAGGGGGTCAGTCGCTCAGGCACAGAACAGCAGCAGGCCAGCAGACCATCGACGTAAGTGGAATCGAAATGAACAGGGACACAGGTGAGGCGAAGACCCAATCGGCTGGCAGCGACATAGCACGCAGGGCCTTCCAGGGAACGCAAACGCAAAACGCACAGCAAATCACGAGGCCGGCTCGGACTCCTGCTCAAAGTCCATGTCGCTTTCCTCCGGATTGCTACCTCTTTGGGGGGGGAGGAGGAGTGGGGGGGGGGGGGGGGTGCTGCTCCTAGGTACATAACTCAGAGCAGGGAAGAACGTTGTCCGATCTCTGAGATTGGGCAGGGCTAAAATGATGCCAAGGGCAGGGTGCCACTGAAACGGACAAACCGGGGAGTCAAAGAGGCACAGTCATTGTCCACAGAGGCGAAAACAATGCCGAGTGGACTGGACAAAGGGACCTGGCTGAGTGACTGAGTGACTGGCCGACTGGACATTTGCTTGTTGCGACACCACAGACAGCATCGCACGAGGCACAGCGGAAGCGGGAAGCCTGCTCGCATGGCTAGCAAACGCAACACGGTGGCCAGCGTGCCAACATGACAACGGAGACAAACTTGGACGGCAGCGCATGATAGCTGTGACGTCGGGGGTGCCCATCTGTCGATACGTACATCAAGAGCGTTGACGTTGAGGTCCGGGGGAGGGGCCCGCTAACGCCAGGTCTAAGTCATAGGTGGCCCTGGAGCGTTTAGCGGGCGAGGCGGGTTCTCTGATACCTGTTTTTCTGCTGTACAAGTACACACCACCCAATCCATGGCATCGCATCCTTGCATCCATGCTGGACTCTCGCATCGCAGCTGTCCTCTCAGGCAGTCGATTGGTCGCCTCCATCATTAAGCATAGCCCATGCCGATCCCTCTACTGGCCGAGGTGGTGGGCGCCACCACGCTACGGCCCCAGCGGCGTGTTTCACCGCACCACCACACCACTCCTTCGTGGCGACCTGAGTGGCTTGACTGATGACTGACATGGACACACACACGCCATACCTACCTCGCTTGCGGGAGTTGCAGCCGCAGTGAGACAGCGAGCCACTCGACGACACGTCAATCTAGCCAGTGTACGAAGTACCAGTCGAGGAGAGGGCCTTAAATGGGCTGTTATATAATATGCCCTTTACGCGCGCTCTCCTTCTCTCCGTGCGGCTTGTGTGGCAACACCAATGCTTGCCTGCCGTACCGTACTCCGTACATCTATCTCCCTCGACAAATTACATGCAGGGATGGGTCACAGGCATCATCCAGCAGATCGGTTATGCAGGGCTTGAGACAAAACATTAAGTGTAGTATTGAATATGTATCTATCTCTCTCGGAGGCAGGATCATTACGTTGATGCTATCCTCATCATTATGAGGATCCTGTAGGACCTTTCGTCTCGAGAGACACCATGTGCGCACCAGCACACCGTATCTCAAGACAGAGAGAGTCTCGTGTTATTCTGGTTAGCTATCCAAGTCATAACGTCGTTTCCCTATCGTGACATCCCTATCGTGACACGCTTCCTCTCCCCTTCCCCCCGTGATCCATCCTCTCCTTACCAGATGTCTCGGAAGGAACCATATACTCACACGTACCACTCCTCAGTTCTCCGCAAAGCCCACGCCTTACTTGCGAGGAACGGGTCTGGGCAGCAGGCTCCGGCACCTCTTGACCGGGCCGCGGCGCTGACCGCCCAGATCGGCAGACGGTCCCGGGCCTTCCTCGCCCTCGTCACCGTCCTGCGTCGGGGAATGTTCGAAAAACTTGATCTCGGCAACTTTTGAGAAATCGATGTCTGATGGCCCCACGGCGCCTCGGGAACCCGACCGCGACGATGGCGACGGCGACGAGGAGGGCACCACTCCAGGGCCCCGGGGAGAGGAGGTAGGAGTCAGCTCGAGAAACTGTGTCTCAGAGCTGCTGCGTGGCGGCGCCTGTGCGGATCTGCACTTCGGCATCGGCATGGGGGATATCGCCGACTGAGTGTCGACGGAGGGGGGCGAGTCGTCGGTCTGCTGCGACTCGGAGAGGGAAGGCGGGGTCTCTGGGGACTGGGCGGTCTTGGTAGTCACCGTACCCGAAGATCGGATGGAGCTATTGGGCGCGTTTCCCTTCGCGGGGGGCGTCCTGAGCGCGTCAGGGACAAGCTTGCTCAGTGCGAGCGCCTGGTGCTGGCTGGTCGGAGCCTTCTTCTGCCCCAGGGCAAGCAGGGTCTCGTCGTTGGACTCGAAGACGGTGATGACCGAGCTGAAAGAAAGGGCTGGCTCGGCGGGGACAGGGACCTTCTCGATCACCTCGTAGACAACGGTCACTTTGCTCATCGAGAGCACCTCCCCGCGAGGAACAGGCACTTCGTCGTTGCGGGCGTAGACCGTGTATATCGGGCTCAGAGCAAGATTCGGGTCACCACCAGAGGCCGGGCGACGACGAAGAGCCGGGTGACCCGCCATGGCGGTGATGTCCCGGATCTGCTCCACGTCGACCGGGTCGGGAGGACCCATGTTGGCGCCCGAGTAGATATCGGGAAACTTTGTACGGTTCCCGCTGACAATGGTAGTGGTAAGCTCTGCCTCGTAGTCCGAGGTAGAGTAGTCCGACTCGGAGTAATCGTCCGGCTGGGGGACGGCGGCAGGGAGGGGGTGGTGGATGACGGTGCGGAGGGAGTAGGGAGAGCTGTCACTCAGGGCTTCGGGTATCGTGGACAGTCGCTCCGGGTGGAAGTCGTCGAGGCTCCGCGACGACAGCCGCTGCTGGATGGACGGGATACCGGGCTCGCCAAAGTGCTCAATGACAAAGTCTTCGTCCTCAACGCCCGGAGAGTTGCGTGCTTCCTCGAGACTGCTGGTGAAGATGTTGTCCCAGGCGTCATTATGGTCGAGGGACAGTTCCGGGAGGATTGTCATGATTCGACCCTCTCGCTTGGGGTTCTTGATGCTGACCCGTAGGGCACTATCGGCGGCGGTGTCCGCAACGTTTTTGGCTTTCCAGGCCTTGGTCGTCTGGTCTTGAAGTCGCTTCTTGCGGAGTTTGTTCTTGACATGCAAGCCGGCCTTGGCCTTGGCGATGGTGGCCTTGACCTTCGGTCGGAGACCAGCATGTTGCCGAGTCTTTGACTCAGCAGTGTCGGGGATGCTGGGCATCACTCGCGAGGATGGAATGTTGCTGGCCAGGTCCTTAACCTCGATCAGGTCCTTCTCGTCTCCAGCCTTCGTGATCTTGGTCAAGATCGGCTTGGCAGTATTCTTGAAGAAACCCTTGACCGAGTTTTTAACACCAGCCATTGTGGAATTGATGGATGAGGATAGAGAAAGGGGGGGTATCGGAACCGGTCGCGGAGGATAACGGTGTGGAAGAGTGCGGCAATCGTTGTAGAAAGCTCGTTGTCCCATGAGTGACGGTCAAGGAGATGACGCTTCTTGAAAAGTCGAGGTTGATAACAAGAAGAAGGATGTCAGAAGATATCGAGGTAAAGAGTGCACTTGAAGACTGGTGCTGAAAGTGATGGTGGATCAAGCAAGGGGGGACGTTGCAAAAGTTGGGAGATATGCGTCCTTAAAAAGAGAAGACTCTGCAAGTTGAGGCCGCTTGGCTGTTGTTTGTCACATATCGTGCAAAGTGAATCTGCTGAGGTAGAACCGTGGTGAATGGCGAAGTGCTTCGAAATTGGAGGCTGCAAGATCCCCCACCCGCATCTATTCAACACTCACCCTGGAGATGGGATAGGGTCGAAAGAGCACAACTTGCGCTGTTCACTTTAATATCCGTCACTTTAGTGAGTGTTGCTTTGTATCGAGAAGAAGGCGAAAAACTTCAGAACTGGCCTCGGCTACCAAAGTAGAGCTAGGATGAAGGCTGTCTGAGGGAGGAATACATTTACCAAATTTCCTTGATGATGGATCGTCCTTTATTGAACCCCAGTCAGCTTGGTTACCTAGGAAGCTTTCCAGTGTCGAATCACTCAGTCTCGAGTTATATCTAGGTGTTCTTGATCCTTGAGAGACAACTGCTTCTCTGAGCGCAAAGATAGCCTCTTGAGACGCAGAACCAGGGAATCTCAGGTTATCAGAAGGAATATGCTGCTAGTGCATAAATCTGCTCTGAGTGAAGCCAATGCAACCGGATGAAATCAAGAGTCTAGTTAACTTTGTGTTGGGTGGTAATCCTTGCTGGCAGCAAATCGTAACTTGATTCACTTCGGAAGCAACTGGATCCGTACTTTCAAATCTGGGGACTTTTTCGAGATCTGCAAATTTGAAAATGCGTTTCTGGTGAAGGCTGTTCAAGGCATTTCAAACAAGACTTTCTTTGATACCTTCTCTCAAGGGAATTAATTAGGAAGCTCTTAGTCAATTGACTAGAGTTACGAAGCCCTTCGACTCTGTGAACGGGATCAATGATTATGACCAGCTCTCTAGGAGAGTGAAGAGTCTTTGAGACTCAGCCACGAGTGAAAGGCTCTTTGACATGCTATACACATTGAAACAAAGCGTCCGGAGCTAGGGGGATGCTCAAAGAATTGAGATTCCAAGGTTCCCAAGTCATGAACAATAGAGGGTGTGGGGCAGCCAGCCTTGGGACCTAAACCTCGACCCACCAATCAAGAACCGGCAGAGGCTGCTTCAGGGGCCGTCGCGCGGCAATTTATGCCTGAAAATATAGTGTGGGGTACCAGATCTAGTCAATTTTGAGCGCTGTGTGAAATATTGTCACTTCCATGGTTTTGGTCACATCTCTCTGGGCGATCGAAATCTGGCCCCAAGATAATCCCAAGACCGGACATAAATTACGCAATACGCGTGGCAAAGGTGTATTATTGCCACCAACTCTCATTTAATCCGGAAAAGCACCACCACTGGTGACGGTGGTACGGATGGAGGAGGCACCTGATGGGCCGTATGGCGACATCGAGGCGAAAATTGCACGTGCCGAGCGAGTTCTCGAGCAGCGACGCTTGCTCGTCGAAGAACTCGAGAACCTGGGAGCAGAGTCCCGGAGAATCCTCGGCGACTTGGTACCGGGGTTGCGGACTTGGATCAGATCGCTGCAACCAAGCAGCAAAGGCCCGGGTTCCCGACTCGGCTGGCGGGATGCCTTGAACAAGGACCACGAGGACTGGCAAGCTGACCCGGACATGGCCCAGCTACTGGCCAAGGTCATCGACCAAGAGTCCCAGATTGTGTACGAGAGAGCAAAATGGGAGATAATGAAGCGGTGTCAAGCCCTGATCGCCGTCGGCACCAGCGCCGCTTTCCCAAGGTCACCGCCCGAGGTGCTCCCCATGGGAGATGATAAAGTGGTGAGGCTTAGAAAGCCGCCAAAGGGGAGATGGATCTCGGTTGAAGCGGTGGTGGACAGCGGTAATGAGTGGATCAAGATGATCTCTCTCACCGAGAAGACCCTGCTCTATCAGATGGCCGAAGCCGGTTGCTGGGATGACAGCGATGACGAAGATGAAGACGAAGAAGAAGCTAACGAGGGAGACACTCCCACGGGTGGCGAGACTCCGCCAAGACTGAGTGCTTCCGAGGAAGAGATCGCGCTGGTCAAAACGATCAAGGACCTGGTTTTCGCAGCTCGCCTCAACCACACACGGAGGCTGCGCATAATATTCACCAAGATCGAGCACGGCCGGACAAAGGAAGTCGACAAGCTCTTGGAGAGGATACGCTCGTCCTGTGACCACGAAAACATGCTCATTTTCGACTTTTCCAACGGTGATTTTCTGGCGCAGACGCCACCGCCTCTCGACACTGCCATCGAAAACCTGCTCAAACGGGACCCATTCGTCGATATCACAGAAACCGCAAATTTGGATCCTAGCGCGATGCTAGGGCTTATCTCAGACGTCAACCATGGGGAAGTTGAGAAACAAGGTCCGGAGCAGAAAATGATACTGAACCGGGCCCTTCAGTTTCTCGAAGACTCTGCCTCCCTACCACGGGACGAGGTCCTGGTCAAGAACATCTATCCTGCATTACAGGGGCGCAAATTAGTCTGCACACGTTCTGCAGCCCAGTATTTCCGAAGGGTCGTGAATCTTCTGTCGACCGACACGGAAATGGAGCGGACCTCACTGGTATTGCAGGCTGATATCGCTGAGGGCGAGCAACAAAAGCCAGCAGACCAGCTCCTGCGCGAGTTCCAGGCCCTCACAAACTACCCTGTTCCTAGCGATCTGCGGCTCCCGATCGAGATTGTCGACGACTTCACTGCAGCGGACGTGCAGCCCGCAATAGACAAGGGGATCCTGCCCAAGATGGCTCTCGCTGTGTCAAAGGAGATCTCGGACATGAACCGTTCTATCTACTTCCACGGCTGGGCGAAGGGCATCACTACGGTCTCCTCGCATCGCGGTGTTGTCAGACAGGTTGAGCTTCTCGTAGCCAAGAACTGGGAGAAGCCCGGCGACTACGGCCCGCACACGTGGCAGCGCTGGATGGCTGGGTTCTTGCTGTACCGAGATAAGCCCAAGGACTGGCTGGAGATTGTGGGAGGCACGGCTCCGCCGGAGCTGCGGCGGTGGCCGGATGGCAAGACGACATGGGGTCGTGGCATCAACATATTTGGCATCACGGATAGTCCGACATGGGAGGGCGTGGGAACGTGGGTAGAAGAGAAGGATTGAGTGACTTGTTCTAGTAATCTAGCATAGGATGGAAGGAACGCTAAGCTAGTCGATTAGAGAGTTGGAAAAGGCACCCCCAATTCGATCGAATTCCCGCAAGCTCTTACTCCTATACATTCCTGTGTCCCGAACCCCTTGTTGATGAGCGCTTATTTGTCCGAAATCGTCGTGACCTCACCGGTGTACTTGCCCCGAGTGCGGGTGATAGCCGAGAGGCAACACGGGAACAGCGGTGACCTCCGGCTGCAGTGCAGTGGACTCGGCCGTCTCGGCCGAGGCAGCAAAGGTTTCGCGAGGGCCGAGGGGGATTTTGCGGATTCCAGTCGCGATCTGGGTGTTTGGGATCCAAAGCGTGGTATGAGTGCCGATGCCGATCCATTGGGGCTTGTGCGTGGACTCAGGCTTGTGCGAGGACTTAGGTTCGGACTTGGGCTCCGGATTATGTCTGAAATTATCCGTGATCTTGTCGAGCAGAGGGATTCTGTGGCGGCCATCGAAGGAGCGCTCGCCGATGTTCATGAGGTTGAGATCTGAGAGAGGGTCGGATGGACCCTTCTCGAGGGGCCCGATGCTGGGTTCTCCCAAGGGGTCGTCGGCGTTGTCCGCTGTGACGTGGAAGACGGAGGTGCGGATGGCCTCTTCTTTGTCTTCATCGTCCTTTTTCTCGGGCCCGATTCCCCTGGTCGCGACGGGCTCGAGGGCGCCGGGGGTGGGGATGACGATGTTGTTGACGGCGTACTTGCTGACTCTGGTGAAGTGGCCGACGATCTTGTTGGCGACGGGGATGAAGTTGATCTGGGCCGTGACAACGGCAGCGCCGGTGAGGGCGGTGAGGAGAGTGTTGAACTTCATGGTTGGTGCACTGTGCACTGTATTTGACAAGATGCGGGAAGTTGAGAGGTGATGAAAGATGGGAGAAAGAGAGAAACGAAGGAGTGGGAAATTGCTTGCCAGAGAAGGATGTTTATATCTGCCTCCGGGAGCACATTCTGATCACGTATGGGGAAAAGGCCTTAGCTTCTCCTAAGAGTTTACATAGCAATGCTCGCATTCCCAGTCGTTGAGCGCTACTTCCATTACCATGTACGTGGCATGGAATAACCACGGTCGGTTATAGCTCAGTTTCCTACTACCGTTATACAGGAGTTCTGGATGCAGTGAGGGATTTCGACTGTTCATGGCGGCAGATTCAATGTTCTCAACCGTGAAAATGTTTTCTTGAAATCCCCGCAACCCACCATTCTTCTCGGAGCTTGGCTCATCGGCGGTATGGATGAACTTAGGGCTTTGCAAGCCTATGATAAACCATCGAATCATAATCGACAAGAAATGGTTGGCGTATAGTAAGATGGTATTTTGCATCTTACGTTCCCTGGGTTTCATGGTGCATTATGGAGGCTATGGATTGGTATTGTTGCTTTGAAGGAAATAGGATAAGTGCAGTTGGAAATATTTCAATACAAATGAAAAAAACAACCGCGACCAAGCCAGCCACACGCTGTACCCTGGCTCAAAATCCAGAACAACAATCGATGACTTTTCCTGCTGCCATCCAACGGCCGAGCCGAGAAAGGCCCTGATCCACAACGAACCAGACTATCAAATCCTGATTTAGTCATCGACAATGGTGCTATCGTCGGTGGAACTGTCCGTGTCACTGTAGTAGTCGTTCTTCTTGCGGAAGCACCACAGGCTCTTCACCCATCCGAACCCAAATGCCCTACGCCACTTGCCGCCGCGGCCGCCACGACGCTTGAACCAGCTCGTAGCCTTCTTCTCTTTGTGGCAGTGGCAACTGCAGCAGCCGCAGCACGCCTTCCTGGGGCCCATAACGGCGACCGGAGGCATCCCCCGCGGCGGCGGCCGGATCCCGGGGTGGAGGCCGGGCGGCATCCTGTGGGCCGGGAAGTTGCGGCTCTCGGACTCGATCATGAGCTCCACGGCGAACGAGTAGAGGCCGACGACGTCGAGGTCGTACGACTGCGGCTTGTACCCGTACTTGCCGGCGAGGTGGCAGAGCTGCTGGGCGATGGCGCGCACGAGCACGGCCTTGTCCTTGCCCTCGGGCCAGGTGGCCGAGGCCTCCGGGCGGGCCTTGGAGGCCATGCTCTTGAGCTGCGCGAGGGCCAGGCCCTCGTCCTCGGGCAGGAAGTCGCCGTGCGCGCGCTTCTCCATGGCGATCCGGGGCCCGTTGCGGCGCTGCAGGCGGCCAAGGCGGTACGTGATGGAGGCCCAGGTCTCGTCGAGCATGGGCGCCGGCGACTGGATGCTGAACGACTGCTCCAGCCGCCGCACGCGGATGTCGATGCTCTCGAGCGTCACCGAGGCATAGTCGGGCGGCAGGGCGAAGGACCGCCACCCCTCGAGGGAGGCTATCTGGAGCGCGCACCGAACGTCCGCCATGGCGACAGAGGGATGGGGTTTGTTGCCTTGAGTCTTGTCTTTTGGTAGATGGGCTGATTTCTCAAGGAGAACCTTGCAGCCAGGGAGGTGGATGAGAAGATGCTCAGTGGAGGACAGGGGTGAAGAGAGAGAAGAGACGGGGAGAGAAGAGGAGAAGAGGGGAGGAGGGCGTCGCCTTGGGTTTTGGTACGGCCTCCCTGCCAGCGTGCCCTCCATAGGCAGTATGCACACCACTCCTCGTATCTGGCGAACCAGCGACATGTTATCTAGCTTGTGTGCATATCGCGATGCATGTTGGTGCTATTTCATGCAGGCGTCCGCACCAAAGGCCTGGACACGACCGACCCTCTACGGGGCATCCTGGTCACGGCGGGATATCCATAAGATGCCACAAGGACATGGCATGACTAGCTGCACAGAAGTGCAGGAAGGCGTCCGACTAGACGTGCCACCAGCGATATTCTCCTTGGTGGATGTCGATGGGTGCTGGGAGGTACGGAGGTGTCATTGGACAAGGCCTGCATTTCCGTGGCCCCCATGCAAATGCTTCGAGCAGGTAGCCCCGTATGGGGTGTAAGCTTTGCATCGTTGGCTTGGGATGACCGAAGGCGGTGCTGACCGGGCTGCAAGACTGATTGGACGAAGGGCGCCTCTGGCTGCCTAGCTGCAGCTGCCCGCCTACACGGACTGTAATCGAATTGCCGAACCAGCTGTCCAGACGGAATCCATATTGACGTATCACGAAGGGATTACCCGTCCTGGTGCAGCTGCTGAATGGAGCTTCGGTGACGTCTGAGCAGCGGCAGTCTTGCTGTCTGTCGGTTTCATTATCACCCCCCGAAAACTTGTCCTGCCGTAGGAAATGCAGTATCCTGCAGAGACCGAGCTGAGTATGTGTCATAGCCCATAGTCTACTTTGTGCCATTTGTGCCAACGAGCCTGAGATAACGGACCTGGGCACCTCGGAAGGAAGTGGAGACAAGTCAGGTAATGATAGCAAAAGATGATCACATACTTCAACACATGTACCGAGAATTGCTTAGTACCGCGAAATGATTTGGTGGGATAGAGACTGCTCCTGAGTCTGAAGCTCTTTCTCACGGTGCATGTTCTTGCCAGCGACTGTCTGCACACCAATATAATGTGGTATGCAGTTTACATGTCATAGGACTGTCTGGGACCTCAGTCTGAGTCGAGAGTCAATTTGATCTGGTGATTCTCTATACCAGAGCAGGAAATGCGTCTGCGATATGGCATTGGCGATGCGAGACAAGATGTCTTGCTGGGATTTGGATTCTATTCTGAACGATCAATGCCAGCATCAGAAAGTTTGAGATATCTGGAATGAATCAACGGCGGCGGGCTCGGTCTGTGGATTAAAAGAGGAACCACTTTTTACTGTATGCTAACCAGATCCCTCCTTCGCTGCTTTAGCTATCAAAGCCTTTGGCGTCCTCTTTCCTATCCATCCATCCAGGAAGAGAAGAACAAAAACGCCTGTCACTCCACTCAACAATCCCAAGCACCATGTCGTTGTCTGCCACCCCGCTGCGTTCCGGATTAGACCGGCGAACAAGGGACCGATTAGGCAACCAGCTGCGTATGCAGCGTTGACAAGACTCCATCCAGTAGCAACAACCCCCCCTTTCACAGCTTGCGGATCTTCTTTCTCCTGATCCTCGACCGCCGTTCCAATCTCCGCGATGATAGCCGGCATAGATATCGCCATGGCCAGGCCGATAATGACGAGCAAGACACAAAGGAGGACCTTTTGGCCTATCGAGTCGTGAGTCACGAGACGCAAGAGAACATAGAACGGCGTGGCGAGCAGGCAACCTCCCGCGCCGAGGAGGCGGCGACCTTGCTGGTACTTGTCGGTGATCCGGCCGAAGACGGGCTGAAGCAGGGAAGGGATGAGAATAGTGATAAAGATGAGACCCTGGCCAGTCTGGTTCCAGCCAAAGATGTCCTCGACGACAAGGGGCAGGGTGCTGTCGAACGCTACGTTGAGTGCGGACTGGAGAAGGCCGCCGATGATGCCGACAGTGATCCTCGGATTGAGCAGGAGGCGGAAGACGGCAGGCAGCCGGCGGCTAGTTTTCGAATTCTGGGAGCTTGGAGCCTGGGTACCATCGTTGTCGACCCGCGGTACGGTGGGAGTCTCGCACGTATCGACCGACTCAGGCACAGGGCTCACAGCTTCGTCCTTGTTGTCGGCCGAGGGAACCGCCGCTTCTGGCTGGGTGTTCTGTCCGCTTTCGAGCCACTTGCGAGCGACCTTCTTTTCGACGAGGAGGAGCCGCAGCACGGCATCTATGGCGAGAAGACCGAACATCAAGCCAAAGACGGCAAAGTAGCCGCCGTATGCATAAATAACGCCACCCAGCAGAGGTCCAATGATGGGGCCGACACTCATGGGGATGCCAATGATGCCCACGGCCTGGCCGATCCCATTTTGTCCCACGGTGTCGCTGAGGAGAGCGAGACAGACAACCCAAAGCATGCCGGCCGACACGCCGTGCAGGATACGGCCGGCGATCCAAAGGCCGATGTTGGTTCCGACGGCCAGCAAGGCCGTCGACGCGGCTAGACATACCAGACACAGGAGATAGGGGAGACGCCGCGTCCCGAGCCGGTCAGTGAGCCAACCGGCAATGGCTATCAAGACGGGCAACGCCGCCGAATAAGTAATGGGGCGAGAGAAGAGTCAGAGACTGGTCATACTCACGGGACACAATGAGGGTAAAAGCGCCGTACACGGCCTGCAATACCGAGTTCCATTTCTGTACTGCCCATCAAGTGACAGATGTTAGTGCATGGATGCTTGCGCGTGTGCATGCGATGGCTTACAGTCTTCCCTCGGGACACCGGCTCGTTCGACCAGCGCCGTCGGTGTCACAGGCACAAGCTTTACCTATTAGCTTGGAGCTATTGCGATTTAACGCCTTGAGAGACATGGATTGCTCACCAAGCCATAGAAAAACACATGCTGAGAAGCCGGGAGTTCATTAGCATATGAGACGCGAAAATGGATATGCCGGAACCTGCGGTGAGGGGCTCATACTGTGAAGATGCCAAAGCAAGAGACAAAGATGATGAAGCGTGTCGACGAGCGGAGGCGGAGTAAAGGCGGCGGTCTGACGGAGGACGAGGACAAGCCCAAGATGTCAATCGAGGCCAAGTTGGGGACCATTTCAAGCAACGCGCTCCGCCTTTAAACCTCGTGGCCAAGCCCGCTGTGGAGGAAGAAGAGGAGGAGAGGGAAAAGAGCACGGTCAGCGTTTTTGGAGGCTCACGAATGAGTGGCCGCAGATCAATTGGCGAATCGACAAGGACTGCAGGCCTCTTCCGGCTTCATTCTCGGATTGCACCCTCCACGCCTCGGGTCGGTGGCAACATCACATCGGCCGGCGTCTGTACATGGGGAGCAGATGTCACCTCTGTTTATTCATGCATCCAGCGCTGCCTCTCGACCTCCAACATTCGTTCTTATTCTTCCACGTTTTCCATGAATGGTCTGGGATTTCTTTGTTCACCCCAAAACGGACAGCAGTGATCGAAAACGTCGGCTTTAGGCTGGGAACGCTGGCCAACTCCACTGAACTCCACTGAACTAACCCCGCCATGACAACGTTGAAGACAAGGGCCGATGCGTGGTGTCTCCGCCCTTGCCGCCTCTCCGCCCCTCTCCCTCTCGGCCTCAGTGAGTGACCAAGTGATCGGAACGAAGGCTTCGAACGGCCCCCAAATGCCTACGTAACTAAACGCGAGCGGTGGGAGAGAGAGAGCCAGGAGTACAGCCTGTCAGCCCTGGCTCTCACTGATCTGCCTGGCTCCAAGGCTCGGAAACTCCCTGGCAAGCCTGGGCTCCGGTGGCTTGATGCAGTAGAAATACAGCCATGGAGGGGGGCTCTCACCCTCGAAGCCCTTCTCGACTTTGCGATTTGCAGACCATCGCATTCATTGCATCCTGCTCATGTTGTCGGAGACGAGTCGCGCGTCATGGCTGCTGCCGCGCTGGCCTTCCCTAATTTCCCTGTAGGCCCAACGCTCGCAGATCTTGGGTTTGAAACTCTGGATTTGTTCCAGCAAGTGCAGGCGACAGACTATCCCGGTTCTGCGGAAGATGGATCCGCCGAGTCCTTCGCGGACGAGGCCGAGCGGTTCGAGCTCTGGGCTGTGAATCTCGGGCTCTTCGTTGGAGGTCACGGATCTCTCGACTACCGTGTTCGGGAGGCAGACAAACTGGCCCAGACAATTAGACGATTTATGAGAGAGCTCAACGAGTCGCTTGCAGAAGGTACACCCAGCCGGTTCCAATGCTCGAGGCGCATCGCCATACCGAGCCGCATGTTGACTCTGTTCTTTTACAGTAATCGAGATCCTCACGGGGAGCAATCATAAGGATGCGCTAGACGAGGACGAAGCCGAAGGGCCTGACGAAGACCAGGACGCGGACACCTTGGATCAAGCTGAGAATGGCGCAACTAAGGACGTACAAGATGCGGCAGACGATGAGGACGAGGACGAGGGTGACGCCGACGAGTCTGACCTCGATATCTTGGTGGATGATGTGCGCGACTCCATTGACCGTCTTTACAAAGTCTCCACCAAGATCCGGTCACCGTCTTCCAGACTTGGGTCGTCGAGAGCAGCCAAGCATCAACAGGTTGACGAGGACACCGGCGTTGATTTCCTGAAGGTCGTCGAGCAGGTTGACTGCGATCACATCCGAGCGCTGTTCTTTCAGTACCAGGTTTCGAGAGTTCTCCAAGAACACGAACCGAGCGAACCCAAAGACAGTGCTTTTGGAACAGAGGAAGATGACGGTGTATGGGAACCCATCCGGACCGTTCTGACTGAGAGCCGAACCTACAACTCCTTCCTGATCAAGCGGTTGGGTCATGCGAACACGCGCCGCCGACAGCAATTTGCTTACTGGAAGAAGCACCGCGACAAGCTTCTCCATCATGCGCGAGCCTCCATTTCCTCCCAGAGCGCCATGACGCCCCGCGACGAGACCCCTTCCCGCCCATCGGTTGGCAGGCACTTGTCCAGCGACATGACACCCCCCGTCATGAGTGAGCTGGCTCCTCCAGTTCTGGCAGCTCCATCGGTGACGACAGCCACCAACCTGAATGCTGCCAAGTTTGAGACCATGGACGCGCGCTCTGTCATCTCGGTTTCTGAATACGCAGTGTCGACGTGGCAGCCGGCAAGAGATGCTGTTGCCTTTCCCCCGGCGCCCAAGGACCAGTCAGGGGACAAGTTCTTCGAGTGTCCGTACTGCTTCACATTCTGCCCCAGGGGCACCTTGGCCGACAAGGCATGGAAGGCGCACATGATCCATGATCTCCGCCCTTACATATGCACGTATGAGGACTGCAAGAACCCGGACCAGCTGTATGACAATCGCCAGGACTGGGAGCAGCACGAGAACTCTTGTCACAGAAGGGTGTGGAGGTGTCCAGAACACAGCGACCTTGCTTACACCGAGCTGCATGCCTATCAAGACCACCTTCGAAATCAACACGGCGAGGTCGGTGACGACGCTTCGATAAGCCGGATCGTCCGAGCCAGCGAGTCGACCTTGAGCGCGACCGACCGCCCGTGTCCCATATGCTCGATCGTGCTTGAGACCCCCAGGGCCATGCAAAGCCATATCGCGCTCCATCTAGAACGCTTCTCGCTGTTTTCACTTCCGCGCTCTGTAGTCTGCGCGGATGACGAGATGTCAGATTCTGGATCTGATGTGGCCAACGGCACTCTCGAGGCTTCGAGAGATGAGGATTTTGAGGGTGATCTGGACAATCTTGGAAGTGAAACAGACGATGAAGCTGGAGAGAGGAAGAATGAGACGGCGGAGACCTCTCAGACCGAGCACGCGGAAGCAACAGCCCAACAACCAAGTGACGCCCCGAAGCTTCAGTTGACGGAGGGCGCGATTCACAAACTTAATACGCAAGCTGCTATTTCTGAGCCGGATAAAGAGGCAGCGCCTACAGCTAGTCTTGCTGTTACTGCGTCGACAGCCAAGGTCTTTGAGGAACACGATTCCCCGGTTTACATGATGGTGTTCTCCCCTGACGATAAACGGATCGTCTCCGTCTCGGATGACAGAGTTGTACGATTTTGGGACCTGGAAGACGGTAGGCCTCTCCCGTCTTTCGAAGGTCACAAAAAGGGCTTTAGATCTGTCGCATGGTCGCCAGACGGAAGGATCATTGCATCTGGCTCTTATGACAAAACGATCAAGCTCTGGGACGTAGACACAGGAGCATGCTTGCACACATTGACTGGACACAACGGAGCTGTGGCAGGCCTCGGGTTTACTTCCGACAGCAAGGTGTTGGCATCCGCATCCCACGATAAACTGGTGAAAGTATGGGACGTGACAACAGGAGCTGAGAAGTTCACCCTTCACGGTCACACAGTAGGTAATTTCTCACTCGGCATGTCACCAGACGACAAGTACATCGTCTCCGGCTCCAACGACAAGACGGCAAAGATCTGGAATCAGGCTACGGGCAAGCTTGTTAGGACCATCAAGGGCCACCGACGCGTTGTCTACGCCGTCGGATTCGGCAAGAACGGCATTCTTGCCACGGGGTCCAATGACTGGTCGATCAAGCTCTGGGACTTGGAGACTGGGGAACTGCTTCGTACGCTCAAAGGACACGAGCAAGGCGTGACCTCGCTGGCTTTCTCCCCAGACCGGTCGCTCATGGCTTCTGGCGCTTACGACGACAAGGTGAGGATCTGGGACACCAATACGTGGGAAACGGTATGCGTCCTGGAAGGTCACACCGGGCATGTCTACGGAGTAGCGTTCTCGCGAGATGGGAAACGCCTGGCTTCGGGCTCTCGCGACAGGACTGTGCGGCTCTGGGATCTGACCATCGAGACGAAAGGTTCTGCGGGGAAACCTTCTGCGGCGCAGTGGTCAGCCGGCGTGCCATTGATCGTCACCGAGGAGCCAGATAGATTAGGGGGCTAATGCGAGGTGTTTTCAACGAGCCATACATTGTTCAAGTTGCTCGCAAGGGTGTCTGCAGCAGCTTGATAAGCATAACATCAACCACCGGCGAATGCCCGTTCAAATTGTTCCGCTTTGGCCCCCAATAAAACAAGCCAGAATGTGGTGCGAAAGACTTGCTTTTCTCGGGCAAGGGGCGTGGAGCAGGCTTGTCTGGGACGCTACTGCAACTGTCTCGATGTAGATCAACAGTTCGAGAACGCCTACCATTTCGTCGTGTCCATCTACACGCGGACTCGTCCCCATTCTTCGCTTAGAAAGCCCCGATGTGAGCCTCGCTGCATCGAGATGATGCTTGACGGACACGACGGGTAATGATGAACAGGCGCGAATGAGATGAAGCGCGGCAACAGAGCTCGACCTGCTGCCGCCCGCCGATGACCAGCCCATGAAGTTTGGTTTCGGCCCCCACGACATCAATACCAATCGTCGATGCTCTCGGTTAGACATGCGCAGACGAACCACATGGGCCGCTGCAGGAGCGGGGATGTCAGAACGGCGGTCCAAGGCACACCACACAGCCCTCTCAACCATGCCGCTGGGCTGAATGCAGGACTCCCCCGCAAGCACCGTAGGATTGCGCTCGCCACAAGGCTCTCGCCCACCCCTCCGGGAACGCATGAGATCCGGTCGTACGCGAGACATTGCTCTCTTTTCCCATGATGGACTGAATGCTGCATCTTCCCTATCTGAACCGCCACGCGCCAAACGTCTTTTTCCCAGGGCGTGTTCGTGACATGATAGGAAACCCCAGAGCGCAGAAGAGATGGAGGTCGCGGGTATCGCGCTCGGGGTCCTCCCCATCCTCCTGCGCTCGGTAGACGTCTACAAGGAGAGCATCCGGCGCGTGGGCACGACGATCCGCAAGCGCAAGCACATCGAGAAGCTCGCGCGCGCGCTGCTCCTGCAGCAGCAGATCCTCGAGGAGACGGTCAAGTCGATCATCCTCGCGAGCGGCTGCGACAACGTGCAGGAGCTCGACGAGGACCCCTTTGCCTTCTTCAGCGACGACGACGTGCGGGAGCAGGTCGAGGAGTACCTGGGCTCCAAGAACAGCATCGCCTTCGTGGGCTTGCTCACGGCCAACAATGAGTCGGTCAAGAAGGTGGCCAGGAATATCTCGGGCCTTGTGCCGTCGGAACTGGTAAGTCTGTCTTGACGCCCTGAAATTGGGTCCTTGTCTTCCAATAAACAGCCCGCTGAGACCTAGATGGCAGGGTGTCACGGAGGATCTGGTCGACATCATCGACGCCAATCAACAAAAGCCAAATCTACTGGCAGATCTAGGTCCCAGGGTCAAACTCATGCTAGGGATCACCGACATGAAGGATATCATCGAGGAGATTGACGAGGGGACCGCCGCACTCGAGCGCTTCTCTCGCCTCGCCCTCAGCAACCGCCAGACTGTCCAGAGCTCGTCGTCCAGGAAAGCCGTGAAGCTGGCAAAGGCCCTCCGGCACATCCGGACCTTCGCCAACAGCTTGTACCTAGGCATCCTCGAGGCCTTCCGAGAGGACTGCCACGACGCGCACGCCACGAGGCTATACCTCGACGACCGGATCGACATCGCACCCGACATCCTCAGTCGCGTGGGCAAGTCGGACCACACGGCGCCCCTCATGAAGTTCGACCTCGTCTTCACCGGCGTCGGGCAGAAGGACAAGGTGTTTTACGAGACGGCAGTGCAGGTGTTTGGCGAGGATGACCGCGACGACGGCTTCAGCATCGTTATTGATGACGACAAGCTCGCGCACCAGCAGGACGACCGCCGCCTCGCCTCGCAGGTGACGCTGCTCGTCTCGCGCAGTCCGTCGCCCGGGCCTAAGCCCGAGATCGCCTCCATCGCCGACCTCTGCGCCACCATCAGAGAGGCCAACGGCTCAAAGCGACGGATCTCCTTCGCCCTCTTGGGCAACCAGGGCATAGGCACCCTCTTTGACGAGGGCCAGCTGCGGCACCACCAGCAGCCTCTGCTCCCAGACGTGGCCGGCGCAGACCCGATCCCGCTCTCGGAGATCCTACGAACGGACAGCATCAACCTTTCGTGGAAGTTCCGCATGCTGCTCGCCCTCAGGCTGGCGTCCAGCCTCCTGCAGCTCCTCCAGACCAACTGGCTCGAGCGCGCGTGGTCAAAGGACAACGTCTTCTTCCTCAAGCGGCCGACGGCGGCGCCCGCCAGCGGCGACAAGCCCGCGCAGGTCGCCGTCGACCTCAACCGCCCCTTCGTAGCATGCTCCTTCGACGCCCACGGTCCCACCCCTACCCCAACATCTGTTGTCCCCGGGGGCGGCGGCGTCGAGCCCAAGGTCGCGCTGCTGGAGCTCGGCATCCTGCTGCTCGAGATCTGGCACCGCACGACGCTCGAGCGGCGCTTCGGGCTCGACGAGTCGCGCCCGCCCGCGGGCTACTACGAGCGCATGGCGCGGGCGGTCGAGTGGCTCGACGACGTCGACGAGCCGCTGCCGGACCTGTACGACCGGGCCGTGTCACACTGCCTGCGCGCCAACATTGGCGGCGACGCGCGGTTCGCCGACTGGGAGGATAAGAAGCTGTGGCACGTCGTCTGCGGCGACATCATCGAGCCGCTGGCCAAGATCTGTCGGCAGTGGAGCGGGTGATGTGGTGGCGTGTGCTGAGGGGAGAGGAGGATACTTGCGGTTCGGCTGGAGGGAAAGGTGCGCTGGGAGATACCCTTGTGTTTTCGTGGTCCGGGTCTGGGGTGGTACATTGCCATGGAAACAAGCAATACAACACAGTTGCATTTCGAGTTTAGAGTTGAGTTTCTGGTGTTGAGTTTCTCCAACCCAGACTATTATGGCTATGCTTTCATGCTAAGGATACAGCGATTATATGTTTCACTCAGGACTTCCAAGGCATTCATTGAACTACCAGACCATACGTAGATAACTTGTTTCAATTGGTGACACAGAAGAATTACAAGGCCATATTAAGAACCTCGCCAAGGGGTGTGTGAGTCAGAGAATCGAAAAGGCACACTGTCGCGAGACTATCTGAAGGGGGCTCTGCATTCACTTCGGGCGATAGAATGCTTAGAGACATCCCACACAGACGCGACGTGTCTGGCAATTTCTTTCCCCTTGCGACGAGTATTCAACCTAACACCCATGCTACCAGGAAAGCAGGATACAATATCACAAGTGACTGCCGACTGTTGGTACTTGGCCGCAGGCGAGGATGGTCCAGGCTCTCTATTATGCTTTGACGACCATCTCACCCATAGGAAGAGCCTTGAGCCCTGTAGAAAGAAGATTCAGATTAGCTGGGCGCCTCAAAATGCAGATTGACAATCGGACTGTGTAACTTACAGCCATCAACCTCCTCAGGGGCTTGCTGAGGCTTGGTGCAGGCGTTGTAGACGGCGGGCTGCTGGGCGTGAATGCCGGCCGCGGCGCAGTCCCTGTTGAGGTTGCAGCGGTTGTCCATGGCCTTCTGGAGAGTGTCGCCCTCCCATCCGAAGACGTAGTCGCCGTGGGCGGCAGGGCCACTGATTAGTATCAGGTCAGCATTTCACCTGTGGCTCAGGGGGCTTCAAAGGGATGGTGGAGCAAGATGTAAACATACCCAAGGTTCATGCTATAGACAAAGGGGTTGGTGCCGTCGGTGGGCCACGAGCTGCGGTCGGCCATGAAGGTCGAGGTGTTCCACATGAGCTCGTACATGATCTGGGGCAGCTTCACGGGGTGAGACGCCGGGCAAGCACCGCCGCCGGTGGCGCCGACGCCGCTGTAGGCCACGTGGCTCTGGTGGTCGGGGCTGTCCAGGTTCTTGCCGTCCCAGCACGCCGGGAAGATGATGGTCTGCCTGACCATCTTGCACTGGGTACCGGTGGGGACGTCGACCGAGTCGCTGCCGGAGCAGGGCTGGGCGCCGGTGAACTGGTTGTCGTTGGTGGACTGCCAGCAACGGTGGCAGATGTTGCCCCTGTTGACTTTCTTGGCGTCGGTGTTGGCGGCGTTACCAGCCAGCATGCGGAAACCGGGCTTGAAGGCGGTGACCTTGCCCTGGGGGATGTAGTAGACGTCGAGACCACCGTTCTGAATAAGGTGGCCCTGAGGGCCGCCGTTGCCGACCTGGGGCACGCGGTGGTAGGTGCCGTTCTTGGCCTTGAAGAAGAGCACGGCAGTCCAGTAGTTGGACTTGTCCTCCTTGAACTGGCAAGACGTGCAGGTCGAGAGCTTGGCAGGGTCGTGGTTAGCAGGGTCCATAGTGATGTTGAACGAGTTGCCGCCGACGATCTGGTGCAGATGAGGCGTGTAGAGGGCACCCGGGTTGACGAGGGGGTCGGTACGCTCGACGACCAGCTGGGAGCAGGCGAAGCGCAACATGTTCTGAGCAGAGACGCTCTGCGCAAGAAGCGCGACAGCGGCGAGGGACGTCCACTGCATCATGGTTGCTTGACTTTTGTCGATCCCAATCCTTTTGTTGGACCTCTTGATATTCGAGAACGCTTGCTGGTGAGTTTGGTAACAACGACAGGCTGGCTCACAGACGGATAGCTAGATGCTGGGTGCAGCGAAGGAGTGAAAGGTGCAGAACAAGGCCTCCTCGTTACGCGACTAGCGAAGAGGTCGAGAGGTGTGGTACGAGACGACTTATACCTCGTACGTGGGTTCACGCCACCAGAAACAGAGGGCTCGTTGAGCCGGGCAGGCTTGTTCTCTGACCTTCGACCATTCTGGGCGCAATATAAGTGATTGGCCACGAGGCTCTCGTGATCAGTACTGGCCCAATCCTGCCCTTCGCCAGCAATTGCCGAGTCGCCGAGTTCTAGAATTGTATATTGTTTATTCTAGCGTTTCTTTTTTCTGCCAGTCACCATGGGATGGATTTCGGTTGGCCAATCCCCCGATGATTTAGCCTCGCGGGTAAACACGTCAAGTGTGAGGATGGCAGGTCTGAAGATCGGAGTCCCCACGCACTCTCGGTAGCAGACTCGTCCGCATTTATATTGGTCCCATTGTTTTCTTGTTTTCGGCACTGGGTGACTGATACTCTGGAGTAGCACCGGCAGGGGTGCATTGGTAGAGACGGCTTCGGGCACAAATCTCACTGTCAACCCTGATCGGTGATCGTCCCGTGGCTGAGACAAGACTAAGACGGCTCTGCACTGTGTACCTACGGTTGCCGACGGGGGACACTTTTGTAATGATGTATTTGTGTCCCTGTCTATCGCCTTGTCGCGTGTACTGCTTTTCATCCGGAGTTGGGCAAAGTGATCTTGGTCAATGATGATTTTGACCATATGTATGGAATACTATCTCCTTTGTGGTCATGTCTCTGCCTCTCAAATAGTGTTGCCGGCACATTAGATTCAAAAATTGGAAAGATATATCCTGTATTCAACAACGAGTTCTATATTCTTTTCAAGATGGCAGAGCGTGGGTGGATTTACAATGCAGTATTGCGTAATTCACTTCTGAGCACATCTCAGCTACCGGCATGGTGAAGTAATATCGCCCCTTGAACCTGGAGGTCAATCTAGTACGGCGTCGTCATCCAGCGTTTTGAACTCCTATTACAAGGATTGCGGATACCGAACACTCGCACTGGTCCAGACGCTTCCATGGACTTGCCGGACCACATATCTGAACGGTCGGGAGACACACATGCAGAGGTATATGCCATTTTGTTTCTAGAGTTACGGCCTTGGTATGACAGCAAGAAAGTTTTCAGACCGGGGACTTTTTGAATTGTCTACATGAAGCACCCACAGACTTAGCAGGCACATCTCCGCTACTTGCGCTGCTCCTATTCACCCGATCTCACCCTCTGCCCATGATGAACAATGCAAAGAAAAGCCTTGGCATATGTATACGTGAACAGAACTGACGAGAACTTCTGAGGTCCGGGAGCGCTTCTCTAAGTGCTACCCAGGTTCCCGAAATAGATCGATGCGCCACCCGCCACATTCAGTAAGCTTCTAGACGGGGAAAGAAGAAATGGAAGACATCCGTGATGTAAGTAGAAGGTAGACTTGACTGGTAATGTGACTCTGCGTGAAAGGGAAACCAGGTTATCCAAGAAGCGCGCACACGTAGGCCATTCTGCGCTTCAACGAAACTAGAGCGACAAGGCGACGCTTTTTATTTGCATCCATGACTAGTGGAGCTGCACTGACAATACCCGGACTGAACGGGTAGGATGTGGTTAATCAGGATGGACAGGGAACAGGGAGACATTTTCCCGTCACCCCACGCGGTCGATCTCTGAACAACCTTCAGGTTCAATGATATGGAGCTGGAAGTTGTTTCTGATGTACAGTAGAGGGTCTTGAGAATGAGACCAGGCATTGGTACAAAGAGTCGGCTCCACATGGCGAATAGGGGTAATTTGATACCGCATCTTCGTGTCGCGCTATCTGCAGCGTCGCTTCATTGAAAACATGAATGCGAGCCAGGAATTTGATGAAAGGAAGAACATTCCAGAAGGTCCTGCATAATACCTATAGACTTTGCAAGCTGTTAGTGTCCGTATCACGGTCGTGGAGTTGCAGGGCAATCCACTGTCATAAGGGACAGACTTGAGTGCGTCATTTCAGGTGTCGGCACGTCATCCAATAACTAGCAGAGGCTAGCTAAGACTCAGATACTTAAAGATCAAGGTTCCTATCAGTTCATAATTAGAGAGAGGAACTGTCACCCTTCCTCAGGTTTCTCTGCTAAGCCTAATCTTTGTCGACGTAGTCTATTCAACACAATGGCGGCCTGTCAAAACCACAAGCAATTTAATTTCGTTCCTTGCACATATTTTGATAGGTAAAGCATTGGTGAGACTTAAGTAGCTGGATAAGCACGAAAGAGGATTGCTCTATTCGCTTGAAAGCCAGTCACTCCACATACGAATATTGCGAAAGAGATGCAAGGTCTATTGGCAGGGAACCCCAGTAGAGTTACATACCATGCTGCGGATTTTCATATGTCCAAATCATGCTGGTCTTTGAGATATATTTTTTTGTTGCTTCGATAGGTTGTTGCTCCAGATATTAACCTCATGTTATGCCTGAAACGCCCACGCCGAGTCTCTGTTCGTTCCCTCCAACGAACGCGACAAGTCCCGTCATCCATTCTTGGCCACAAGCGAGTCAAATGAAGGGTTCGAGCCACTGGAAAAATCCTGTTGCCAGTAGTTGGTGACGTCGTGGATCGGGAAGCTGGATGTGGGAGATGATGGGTTCGAGGGTCGACCTGATGAGTAGGCGAAGGCGAGACGGTTAGACCCTTTCGGGTTGAGGGTTGTTGTTCGGCCACCACTTGAGCTCGAGAATGACGTGCAGCCCGTGCACTTGGCCGTGACCTGCCAGTGAGTATTGTTGGCATGCGTCCCGGCCTTGAATACCTGGTAGGTTGCGCCACTGTAAGTCGAAGGAGTCGTGTGTCCACTATGTGGAGAGCATTGGCATTAGTCTCTATGAGTGACCTGGCTGATGCAAGAGAGCCAGAAGTACTTACGTCGCCCATCGAGATGCAACGACACCAGTCTGTCCATTAAGCCAGAATACGGTCAACGGGTTGTTCGTCATCGATCCGCCCCAAGCCAGGCCTGCCCAACCAACATTTCTCGGCGCGACGATTTGGATGACGATATCATATGCCTGGCCTTGTTGAGCGCTACTCGGTATCGCTGTACGGAACACCATGCTCTGCTGGAGCGTGTACTTGGCACTGTATTGGGAGAAGGTGAATCCCGTCTCGTAGTCTTGATACACGACTGAATCGGCGGCCGTGACGCCGGTTGCTGATCAGAAGCCCAGGCTGTCAGCACATGGAACTGATGGTCATCCAGCGCGCCGGCCTACCTGAGCCCAACAGAGCGGCTGCCCACGCCAAACCCGAAGCCAACTTCATCGTGATGTCGAACTGGAGCGCCCAAGTGCCGAGTCGCTAGTTGTCGCACTCTCAGGTAGCGCTGCGATAGTCCACGTTACTCTGGGATTAGCTTCATTTACCAAAACGCCCAGCCATGAATAGTTGGGATCTGCCAAGTATCCCCAATAGCCCAGTAGCCCAACTTGGAAGACACGCCGACATCAAGAGTGGATGAGGCTTACATATTGTCTTGTTTGGTGACTTGGCTCGGACTAGGCAGATTTTCCCTGTGTGGACGAGATCGCACAGCCTATTCGCGAATCAAGGGAAGCCGCTCGCTGATGTGAGAGGTGCCTCGGCACTTGGATGGGGAGACACACGACAACGGCACACATTTAAACTCTGTACCGGGTCGGCCAGAGGAGGCAACGGCTATATAAAAGCAGAGGCTGTCCGCGAACAGCATGTCCCCAGATCTGGCGGCTGCTCGCGATTGAGTGGCCACTCTCGACAGATCGTCTTGGCCATTTGGGGGTGCTGCAGTATTCTTCCGTGGCAAGAGAGCCTCTACTTTTGGAAGACGGAGCTTGAAGGGAGGGTATCGGCGGCAGTGACGACGTCAAGAACGCTGAGCAAGGCTTGTCCTTTTAGCCGCATATAGTAGGCAGCGAACCATTCGGCCGTGATATAGGGGCTGCGATATCTGTCCAGTGATGGGTGATTACATATCACACCCTCGGACGATTGTTTTATGTCCGAAATCAACACGAAAGCCATCTCAGTATCTAGTTGACCATCCTTTCTGCGGACATAAGGAGCAATGTGATACCTAGAAGAACGTCGCATTCTTCAGGAGCTTCAATTTCACCGACATCCAACCAGGCTCTGTGCTGGTCAAGACCCTGATGCTGATATAATGAACCCTGAAGCTGACATAAGAGTGTATCAGATAACCAGTATGTAACCACAAAGGACCGATCCCTGAGGCAATCAAGGTTCAGGATGTAGCATTCTCCTCCTGGCGTCGCATTGGGTCATTCTTTTTGCTGCAGGCCCCAGTAGCTCAATCGGATGGCTAAAAAGCCGCGACACACAATGCCAGTGATAGGGGAGCGATTGGCAATGCAAGAAAGAGAGGCGCCCGGCCAATACCCGGCCTCCCGTTCTCGCTGCAGAGAGGCATTCTCGGAAAGATAAATTTAGTGCCAACCTTCACGGCAGAGCACTGGACTCAACATCAGATCGCCGTGTGGCAATCATGTGCGGCTCTCTTGGCTTGTCCGGGGCGCTCTTTTCCCCTTCGCTTGCTGGTGCAGACCTGATGCGAGGCAATTTCCTTTTCCAAGGTTTGTTAGTCGGATGCAAATGGCCATGAGCAGCAGTTTTATCGAGCGATCACACTCAATACCGCCGAACCCGGAACCCGGCCTTTGGCTAGCATCGGGTGATAAGCAGCCGGGATGATGATCTTCAGAACATCTTCAAATACCAGAGAGGGCCACCAGTCTGTACCTAATCACACTGAGCTCCGCTCGATTCTGGAGCCGCATGAATGGCTGTCCAAGTTTTCGTGTTGCCCCATACGGAGGTACACAACTACCGTCCAACAACGTGGTATGGCGCCCCTCAGGCGAGACCGGGGCATCCCGACTTGGCCGAAAGAGGCGGCGGTCGCGATGCGCGATAAAGGTTGAAAGCGGTTGGGACAAAGGCCATTTGATATCTGGGCACCACTCGCTAGGTAGCGAATGCTGCTTCATAAATAAAATAGCGTCAATACCAAGCTGCCAGATGTCAAAGCGTCCCCTGATGATGATGGGGTACTTGTTCTGCTCTTGTCCAAGTTCGTTTCCATGGCCCCTGTTTGACAATACCGAGGCATGGAGCCGGGGGAGTGGAGGAGAATTCTAACGTTCTTTTTGGCTACGCTACTCCCTCTACGTCAGCCCTAATATACAAGTACAAATACAGTTGGACATCGGCGGGTCTGTGAGCAGATCCGATCGTCTCCAGAATCCTTTGGTTCGCTTGTCGGCGATCATTCCGGAACCCTTGAAACAATGCTCGTCAGAGGAAGCCCACGAGGGATAGCGACGCAAGATAAAGCCACCTTCTGAGGCTATGACTCGTAGTGGTGCCATGAAAAGTGAATGAAAAAAAAACTCTGTCTTGCGGTAGCATCCGTCAAGGGGACATCCGACGGACGGGATGGGGGTGCGGACCGCGCCACTGTGTCGCCGAGTCGAAGGCAAGCCACACAATCTCACCTGTCAAGGCACATCAACTGACAGCGAAATAGCTAGCAACCGCCCAGAGGGCATGTGGAGTTTTGGTCCCGTACTCCGTACTTGTGCTTCGTAGGCAGACCGTACGACAGGTGAGCTTGGTAGTCCATCCACGCACTCTCAGAGCATGAGCCCGCTAAGGTTTCACGCCTTTGGCACCCATGATTCAGCTCAACTGATGGGCTCACAGAAGGTTGGGTTGCTTTCGCACTTTATTGGGTGGCCTAAGAGCGCAAATTTTGCAGAAGGTGGATTCGATGACACCGAAGCTTGACCGAATGTGCCTTCGAGGTGTGGCCAGTGTCGGCAGCATTCGAGGCGGCACACGACGGCAACAAGAACGGGAAAACGAGACTCGTAGTCGGTGTTGACGTGGGTCTAGAAGACCCAAAAGAACGCACAGGTTGGTGCGGAACCAGAACCCTAACGCTACGCTTTGACACACGGGACTGCGCCGCTGGGAGACCAACGCTTGTTTTCGCCAAAAGGGGATATGGGGCCGGGCAGCCGGCGAACATTTAGTCCCCTTGGAACAGATCGGTCCTCCGTGGGGCCTCGGCCGATTTTCAGGATAGGGGTATGCATGTCCATAGCATCGTGTGGGACACAGGGATAAGGTCGAGGCCAGCAGCGAGCGGGTGTTTCGTCTCATCCTCCAGTCCTGCACCGCGCCAATCCTCAGGTGGACGGACAGGGGCATGCCCACGAATTCGGGTCAGAAAGATACTTGAACGGGGTGCACGCTGTCGACACGGGGACCTCCTGCGACAATCACTTCTTCTTTCATCACGACCTACTCTGTCGCTCCCTCCAGAAGAGGATCTGATAGCGGATCACATGCCGGCAGGGCCGCAGTCCGACCAGGACGTCTCTCATTTTATTTGACATCTGATAACCAGGGCCTCTCCTCTCATTCTCCATCCTCCAGACCAACACCAGGCACGATGAAGGTGCACCTGTCGCTGGCCTTCCTCTTCGGGGGGCTGTTGTCCGGGGCCCTGGCGCAGGGGACGTCCCCAGCTTCAAGCTCTTCGACTGCAGCCGACCTTACATCACTACCTCCATGTGCTGTGAGTCTTGCGTCCAGTGCGTACAAGTTGGCATCTGTCGTACATTGCTGATTTCAAGGACAGTTGGTTTGCCTGAGCAAGGCCATTGTCGAATCACCATGCGCAGCTACGAACCAGACCTGCCTGTGCCTCAATGCTCAGCTGCAGGACTCTGTCACGAACTGTGTCCTAGCTAGCTGCACGGTCAAGCAGGCACTATGTGAGTGATTCGCCGCCTCAAAAGCCTCCATGCATGGCTTCAAGGACTGACTTACGTTCGGCATTCAGTCACCAAGAATGTGACATCTACGAATTGCCACGCGCCTATTCGCGATAAGACGACAGAGTACAACATTATTTCCAACACGCTAGGCACCATCTCAGCGGTCGTGGTCCTCCTCCGTCTGGGTTTCCGGCAATTCGTCGCCAAAGCCGAGATTGGGATGGACGACTGGCTCATCCTGGCCGCTTTGATTTTCGGCATACCGAGTACTGTGCTCAACGAACGAGGTCTCACGGCGCACGGACTTGGCCGGGACGTCTGGACCCTTCCCTTCGAGATGGTTACAGACTTTGGTCGTTATCTCTACATCATGGAGGTGCTCTACTTTCTGCACATCAACATGTTCAAGCTGTCTATGCTTTTCTTCTACCTGCGCATCTTCCCGGCACCTGGTGTGCGGCGCACAATCTGGGGCACCATCGCCTTCACGACTGTCTTCTGCCTGACGTTCATTTTCCTCGCCATATTCCAATGCTCGCCGATCAGCTTCTTCTGGGACAAATGGGATGGAGAGCACCAGGGCAAGTGCCTCAACATCAACGCTATCCCCTGGGCGAATGCTGCCATTGGCATCTCCCTGGACTTGTGGATGCTTGCCATTCCTCTCTGGCAGCTGAGGGACTTGAACCTGCACTGGAAGAAGAAGATCGGTGTGGCCATGATGTTTTGTGTGGGCACCTTGTAAGTGAACCCGGTCAATGTTCTTTCTATAGCTATGGCACATTCGCTAACCACTAGATGTCTGATAGTGTGACCGTCGTTAGTATCCTTCGGCTCTCGTCGCTGGTTCATTTCGCAAATTCGGTCAACCCGACGTGGGACAACTGGGACATCTCCAACTGGTCCACCATCGAGGTCAACGTCGGCATCATCTGCGCCTGTATGCCGTCCCTGCGGCTGATCCTCGTCCGGCTGTTCCCCAAGCTCATGGGCTCGACCCGCCACTACTACGCAAACTACGGCAGCGGCCACGCTTCGCAGAACCAGAAGAGCCAGAGGAGTCAGAGGAGCAGGGTCAAGAATATGGGCAACGTCGCCGTCTCGACGACCTCGAGCTCGAACGAAAGGACCGGGCCCAAGGGCATCGTGTGCCAGAAGACGTTTGCTGTAGATTATGGAGACAGGGACAACGACGAGGCGCAGCTGGTGCACATGAGGGATCTCAACCTGAAGAGCGGCTCGAGATCGGAAAGCTCTCTCTAATATCTAATGGTGTACTCTTGATGTACTCGATAGAAAAGACTATCATAGGGCGACCAATATTTCTGTTCTTTTTGCACGTCATGTTCGCGGATACCGTGAGGCTGTGCGTTGTTGAATGCGATATTGGATGGGCTTGAAACTACCACCATTCGACTGCAAAGCCGAGCACGCAGTCAGGGCAATAATCAGATCCATCTCGGCAACAAAGCCAGTGTGGTCACCCGCGTTGCTGAGGGGTGGCGCTGGCCTTTGCGCAGTACGAAGGAGGTCCCCGTCCGCGGGGCAATCTCGACCGCTTCACTCATGGCGGCAAGTCGTATTGTTCTTTTGTGACTTTTCGAGGTTTCAACAGGGATGACAAGGTCGACTTGATCGACTTGATCGACTTGATGGAGCTGGGTAGCCCGGTTCGAAGCGGGGTTCTGCCGATCAGTGGATCAACGCAGGCATACTAGGCATTATGACAGATCAAATGTGCCGAAGGATTTGGCATTTTCTGAGTGCATTCACCCTTGTCACTCCAGTAGCTTGTCTTCGGAACAATCCTACGAACGCAAGGGCATATTTCACTAGTCTAGAAACAGTGCCTTACACGTCTGCCATGGTGTCATATAACCAACTCGGATCCTTTTCTGTCAACTCTCGCGGACAGTGGAGTCAAACAAGTCACTTGTTTCTATGCATGTCACCGGAAAAGACATATCCACCTCTAGATAGGTAGTCCCAATAACTGGGAGTCCCGTTGATGGTGACTCCCAACAAAACTGACATTGGGATGCTGCGCGACAGTCGAGTGGGCCTGAATCCGGGACTCAACAAGCCAGGGCATAAGTTCTACAAATCATATACTACGAGCCGGAGCTTACCTCCTTCTACGACTAGTCTCAAACACCGTCGTGTTCTCAGGCCAGTTATGAAAGCTCATGAGCACTCTGGCGGTATGGTAGTACTGCCAGCCCGGAACGCTCGATAGTTGGCCTTCAAAGTTGTTGTAGCCCAGCGCTTCCGAGTCAAGCATACACAACCTGCCAAGTAAGTGCTCGCGTATTGGTTGAACATGCATCGTGGGCTCCAAAACGTGTTGGTCGACTTCGGCAACGAGCACATCTAGTTTTCAATGGGCCTGTATAGAAAATAGCACCGACTGGACAAAACTTCTTCCAGCCTTCCTAAACCATGATACGAAGTAGTCAATTATATTCATTCAGACATGTTTGAAGAACCCCAAGAACATCCCGCCCCCAAAAGCACTGTATGAATGTCTATGCAGTCGTCTATCTTACTTTACCTTGCCCGCTTGAGTCCAATCTATAGTTCTTTGCCCTTCCCCTTGACGTCTGCCTCCTCTCTCCGCTCCTCTGCCCTTGGCCGAGAGTGACTTTCATCGATGATTTCATAGCCGCGAGCTCTAGCCCAGCGCTCTATAGTTTGCAACCGGTAGCGCATCTCTTCAGTGGAAAGTTGTGTGTACATCCACATGGACGGGTTGTCGTTTCGGGTCGCCCGATAGCCAAACGGCGACTTGCTCGTGCGTGCCCGCCTGCGCATTCGGTCCTCCTTCTCTTGGTTGTAGATATACCTGTGCTGTTCGTCAAGGATGTCCTGCTTATAAATGACCTTTGGGCGATCCTCAGGAGCCGTCTGAAAGTCTGACACATCTTCATCGAGAGCCCTGGTCGCAGCGTCCCAGATCTTCTCGTCAATTATTCCACACAGATAGAGGTGGGAGACCATCAAGTAATCCATCTTCATGTCTCGGCAGAGGGAGATGGTGGGCGCCTCGAGATGCTGCGAGTAGATGTGCTCCATGCGAACTCTGAACAGGCCTTCTTTGTCCGCCCACTTGCTCTCATGATGACTCTCGCCAAGCCGGAACGACATGCTGCAGAACCAGCAGTCGAGAGCTTCTGGGTGTTGGTCCTGCAAGTGATCGACCTCGATGTGGCGGATCCATGCCTCCACATCGTTGTTGTCAAAGGTAGCTTCGCACCCTAGCAATCTTCGGAACTCGCAGACAAGTGTACCCAAGGGCGGATCAGGAAGGTCTTTGAGCTCGTACGGTGGCTCAGTATTGGCCGTCTAGATCTGATTAGCTTCCGTGCCAAATCTCTGGTGCATGTGGCGGCGTAGACTAACGTGGAAACTGTCTTCTGAGCCGATCGTATGCCTAGAAGCAGACCTAGCTGTTGCATTGGATTCAGACATGGCTTTTGCATTATTCGGAATCTTTAGTGCTGTTCATAGGAGCTGTCTAATGTGGCAAGAAAGTGCTCTTAAATAGACGTGTAGCGGTCTGGAAACTCGTGAAGAGGTGACGCATGTGTAGCCTCACACTCGGCGAATTGTACCTATCTTCAAATCGGGACGATATGCGTGATAAGTCAGGTCCTGTTCTACTAGTATGGATACTGTAAGAAAGACTCGTTGCGGACGATGTTGGAACGTAATCAGTCGGATTAAGACTGTGAAGTATTGTGACAAATCAGTCAGAGCCTAGATTGCTCGACGTAACCTCCTCACGATCGGCTCATCCGTACACGCAAATTATCAGCTGTCACTCATGTGTCAATCACCTAATCTTTATCTCCAAAAGCGCGGGGTGTGAGAGTTACAAATGGAAATGAAATTGTCTGCTCTAAGTGTTAAGGTGTGGTCTGCATGGCTAGTCAATAGCTATGCATACAGTACTGAAACAAATTTGATCTGAAGCTAGGAAAGTGAACCGCAAGAACCTTGTGTGGAAAAGGAAAGTAGTGAATGATACATCGCCATCACCGAGGCCATTATTATCCGTCCCAATTAAGCTTCGCCTCAGAAACCAATCATTTACAACTCATCTTCCCATGCAGGCCACTCGGGAGCGTACTCATTCGCGCAGCTCTGGACAATAGCCTCACTGTCACGAGCCGAGGTGAGGTACGAGGTCTCCTGATCGAGTAGGGTTACGGAAAGCTGCGAGCACCCTTGCGCGTTGACATAAAGAACCCGAATAGGCAAATAGTCACCCTCAACGGCGTCAAACGAATACGTAGCGGGACTCTCGCTGACATCGGAAATAACATTGGCATTCTCAACAGTCCAGCCCTGGACCGCGTTGATGCCGATCCAGACCAGTGTGATCTCGTCGCCACGGACGTTGACAGTGTAGGTGCCGTTGGAGGGAACTTTGAAGTAGGTGCGGTGGGCGAGGGCGGCGTAGTCGGGGTGGTACCCCGGGCGGTCGACGCCATCGATGGTAGGAATGTCTTCGGAGTCGCAGCCCGCGGTATAACTGATTTGATTGGAGACGCCGGTGATGTTGGGAGTGACGCCCTTGACGCTGGCCACATTGAAAAAGTCTCTGTACCTATTGCCGGGCCCGTTGTTGGGTATGAGGCCCTTGCCGTTGCCGGGGGACAGGTCGTAGAAGGCATATTCGAGGCCGCGGGCACACTCACTCGTGGTTGTGGGACTCGAGGTGCTGCTAGACGAGCTGGAAGTTGGAGCTTCAGTTATGGATGGCGTCTGAGTGGTATTGGGTTCAGAAGAGCTGAGATTTGTGATGCTGGGCTCAAAGGTACTGGATACGGTTGAGCTGGGGATCTCGGTGATGGTAGAATCAAAAGTGGGAAATTCGGTAGCGCCAGGCTCTTGCGTGGTTCTTGTAGTAAATGTCGACAGTGATGTAGGGGATACTTCCGTCGAAGACTCGACTCCGCTCGACTCCGTAGACTCCGGGGACTGGGTAATGCCCGTCAAGACGGGCTCTACGTTTGTCGACGAAGCCTCGATGGAGCTCGGAGCCGCAGTCGAGCTCGCTGCAACCTCAGTTGCGTTACTATTGGGGGCTTCAGTTGAGTTCGTCGCCGATGTTGGCTCAGTGGTGCTCACCTCGGTAGTGCTCGCCTCGGCGCTGCTCGCCGTCTCCGTAACAGTGCTGGTACTTGTGCTCACCTCAATGCTGCTGGACTCAGTGGTACTCGCCGCCGCAGTAGTAGTGTTGCTTTCAGCGCTGCTCGCCGCCGCCTCTGTGCTGCTGGCGCCAGCAGTGCTGGCCTCAGTGGTACTTGCCTCAGTGGATCCCTCCGTGGTGCTGACGAACGTGGGAGCCACAATCGTCGTCTCAGTCGAGGTGGTGACCTCAGGCGTGCTGGTGGTCTCTGATGCTGATGAGAGCGTCTCCGTCGCCGTGACCACAACAGTCGAGCTGGGCTCTACTGCAGTCGTGGAAGCAGCGGCGGAGCTTGGCTCCTCCGTTGATGTCGTGGCCTCAGCCGAACTGGCCTCCGACGACGGCGAGACAGTCTCAGTCGTAGTGGCCAGAACGGTCGAGCTGGGTTCCTCGGTCGTCGAGGCAGCAGTCGAGCTTACCTCTGTAGTGGTAGAGACAGCAGCAGAGCTTGGCTCCTCGCTTGAGGTCGAGGCCGCTGTGGAGCCGGTCTCCGACGAGAGAGTTTCAGTAGTGGTAGTCAGAATGGTTGAGCTGGGCTCTGCAGTCGTGGAGGCGATCGTCGAGCTTGATTCTTCAGTCGACGAGCCGAAAGTTGAGCTAAGCTCCTCCGTGCTCGATACAGCTGTAGAGCTTGCCTCCCCGGTTGTAGAGGCTACAGTGGAAGTAGGCTCCTCAGTAGTAGAGACGGCGGTAGAGGTTGGCTCTTCTGAAGTCGAAGCGGCACTGGAGCTGGCCTCGCTGCTAGGGGCTACAGTTGAGGTCGGCTCCTCAGTAGACGATGCTGCAGTGGAGCTGGGCTCGGTGGTAGAGGCTGCGGTTGAGCTGGTGCCTTCGGTCGTTGAGACAGCTGTTGAGCTGGCTGCCTCTGTGGTGGAAGCCGCAGTTGAGCTAGGCTCCTCAGTTGACGAGCTAGTAGCTGAACTAGGCTCTACCGTGCTGGAAGCGATGGTAGAGCTAGCTTCTTCAGTAGATGATGCTGCAGAAGAGCTGGACTCCTCGGTAGTAGAGGCCGCGGCTGAGCTGGAGCCTTCAGTCGTGGAGACAACTGTTGAGCTGGGCGCCTCTGTGCTCGAAACCACAGTCGAGCTAGGCTCCTCAGTCGAGGAGCTAGCGGTTGAGCTAGACTCTTCTGTGCTGGAAGCAGCGGTAGAGCTTGCCTCTTCACTGGTAGAGGCGACAGTAGAACTGGACTCCTCTGTGGTGGAGGCAATGGCCGAACTGGGTGCCTCTGAGGTCGTGGGAACAGCAGTAGAGCTAGGCTCCTCTGTCGTGGAAGGAATGGTAGAGCTTGGCTCCTCGGTGCTGCTGGAAGGCGCCGCAGTGCTGGTGTCAGAGGGGCTCCCCGTCGTGCTGATGAAGGTCGGCTCCACAGTGGCTGTCTCAGACGAGCTCGTAAGAGTGGGCTCTTCCGTTGAGGTGGGAACTTCAGTAGAGCTGATCACTGTAGATCCTTCAGTTGTCGACGGTCCCTCAGTCGAGCTGGTCCCACTGGGCTCAGAAGTGCTGGTTTCCGTAGTAGTCTCAGTTGAGCTCATCATTGTGCTCTCCTCCGTGGTGGTCTCAGTGACAGGCCCGGTGGTGGCCGTCTCGGTTGAGCTGACTGGCGCCTCAGTCGTAGAGACTTCAGTCGAGCGAACCGTCGTGGGCTCTTCAGTCGTAGAGACCTGAGTTGAGCTGGTCAGAGTAGGCTCTTCAGTTGTGGACGCTCCCGTAGTGCTGACGAAAGTGGGCTCTTCGGAAGCCGTACCCTCTGAAGAGCTTGTCTCGGTGGATGAGACCTCTGTCGAGCTGATTACCGTGGATGAGATCTCAGTTGTTGAGACTTCAGTTGAGCTGGCTGCCGTGGTGGATTCCCCTAAAGTGGTAGAGACGGGGGCCTCGGAAGTGCTGGTCTCAGAGACCGGGCCATTGGTCTCGGTCTCTGTCTCGGATGAGCTCACTGGCCCGGCGGTGGTGGAGGACTCTTCCGTCGTAGACGAAGTGGTCGGCTCCTCGCTGCTGGAGGGCGACTCAGTGATAGTCGAGGTCTCAAACGTGGTAGGCGTTTCCGTGGGGGATTCAGTGGTGCTAGGGACCTCAGTGGTTGTGAACTCCGACGAACTCGGGAACGGGGTAGACTCGATTTCCGTAGTAGTAACGAATGTTGGCTCTTCGGTCGTGGAGACGACCGGGGGCTCTGTGGTGGTGATATTGGGTCCAATCGTGATGACGGCTGCGGTGATGCCCCAGCAGCTGCAAGCCGAGGAGTAGGCAGAGTTGCCAGCACACTTGGTGATATAGGTGGGCACAAGATGGGTGTTATTTTGGAAACTTTTTATCGATGTCAGTCGGTTTCGATTAAATTCGAAACTGAAGTTCAGGCGTGGAACTACTTACCCTGCACCCTGAAAGATTGTGGTAGTCATAAAGTCCGAGCAGTCATCACGGCGGCTGGACATGGGAACAACCCGGGCTCGGGTTCCCGCGACTTCCCGGAGGCAGTTGTTTTTGGCACATTGAGCCATCGCCGCCGGAAGGGCGGCGAGCATGAGGGCAACAATCGGCTGCATGGTGGGCAGATGATGCCTGACGAACGAAAGTTTAAGGAGCGAAAACGAATGAAGAAGGAAATCGTTGTTGTGGTGGTAAACGAGAATCGAGACGAGGTAGGAATCGGGGATGAGAACCTCTCTTTATACCCAGATAATCGTGCCATGATATTGCTCAACTGCATGGCGAGGCTTGTTGAGTAAAACGTCCGGAGAGGCTTTGGAACGTGATAGAGGCAAGGAGGCGTAAGCCCTGTCGCTCAGTGGCGCGAGCTATCGACAGTTTGGTTTCGGAACTTGTCTTACTAGGTTGCGATGTAGCTGTTGAGCTCCAGATACAAGCTTGTTGGCACCGGGTCATTCTTCTTTGTCTGGGCGGAACTGTCTACAAGTGAACAATAGATCGGGAATCGGTACTCTTGCCGTGTGTGATGATCTTGAGATTATGCACAAGACTTGCCTCACCAAGGCTTGTCCCGTGTCTCGGACCAGCCAATAGCCCTTGCATGGCTTGCATGAGGATAGAGAAACGGCAAGTCTAATTGGGTCTTACTGTGGCTCAACTTCGGACAGGCCAAGGCCAAGCCAAGTTCCTGCAGTAGTCGCTTTTCATTTTCCTCTTGAAGCTTATGCTTTCTTCTTTGCTGACCTACCTGGCTTTGTTGTGATAGATCCTCAGTATCAGCGACCAGGATCAGTGCTTGCGCCTTTCGAGGGCTGTGTGGCAACCATGAAAATGTTTCCCAGACACCCGGAATTATTCATGGGATGTCCTTTTAGGAACCTGTCAGAACGAACAGCTGCCGCCGCCAGGAAGAATGCGGCTCGAGACGAGGACTTAAGGTTTATGGAATGTAAACAGGTCGGTCATGAAACGCCCCCCACGGAAGATGGCTGATGAAAGACTAAGAAAGGAGAACAGACTAAAATGCCACGACCTTGAGCCCGGGGCGGCACGTTGACGCTAGCTCCCGTCTCCGCCTCCCTTCGCAACGTCGATCGTAGTCTTCTCCTCAATCCCGAGGACATCGTCCTATCAGACAACAGCAACAATCGTCTCAGAGTGAGCCCAACTCCGCAACACTCAAGCCTGCTTAGCCTTGTCCAAGCCTGGCAGAAGAGGATCATCGCTAGGGTGTAAGACAGGATGGTTCGGGCACCGGCCCTCGTTCGTTGACGCGGGTGGTACAGGGAAGGTGATGACGATGATCACAAAAGGGTGGTGCGAGTGAAAAACCAGGAGTTTCGCCTCCGCGCCGGCTCCTTGGTCTGGGAAAAAGCACACCTGTCTCTTGTAAAATTACCTATCCGAAAGATATACTTTGTGAGGCGATGTAGGGTTCGGATAGTTTGTCTTGGCCCTTGCCTGGCATCTAGCTCTCGAACAAGCATATACTCGAATTGCGTGCAAGGATTCATGCATACCCGTATGCAAGTTTGGGTCGCCTCATTTCCATGAATGCATTGCAAAAGTCCGATCTGGGCTTCCACAAGGTAGCACGGTCTGAATATTGCTTTTTACATGCACAGGAGGTGATATCGGGAATGTGAACCCAATATTCCTGACTTTAGCATGTCATGGCTTGAGACACGACGGGAGTACGCGAGGCACCCGGTGTCGGCTGCGCGGGCTATGCATCATAGGATATGGAAAAAATCGAATTTCTTCCGGGGTTGGCCATGAGCATCATCTGAGAGCAGAATTCCAGCGAGCCTGTCAAGGGGTTGGATTTTTGCACGCGTGCTAGGTTGGATGAAACTCGGGAAGGGATGCTGCCCGCTCTCGTTCCAAGCAGCTCGGGGAAGGATTTAATTCCGCGATATGATCTGATCTCGTCCCATTCAAGTCCGTTTCGGCTCTGCTTGCATCGAGTTGAGCTCGTGATGCAAGTGGCTGGGTGGCTGAGCGGCTGACTGAGCCCTTTCTTGCGATATCTTGCCTGGAGAGATAAGGCGCACCCACGAGGCTTATCGATAAGGCGAGTGGGCGTGGATGAGTGACGTCAAAGATGAGTAGCTGCCTCAAGTGCTACGGAGTACGAGGCGGAACTCCATCAGAAGAGAGAGAGAGAAAGCATCCATCAAGATAAACCCACCACTCTCCTTCGCGACCAGAAGCCCACCCGTGATGGGGCGCAAAGAGGCCATAGCAAGGTCCGTCGTGCGCGCCATAACACGGCGGCGACCCACCCAGGGCCGTAGCGCAAACCGTCTTGGCCGCATCCTCGCCCTCTTCTCTGCTTTCTTCTCCCTCTACCAGCTCCCACTTCACAAAATACGACCTGTCGAGTTTCAGAACATTCGATCGGAGCACTGGAACGTCAATGACGACGATTATGTGGCCGCGTTCTTGAACGAAGAGCGAGATGGGGCCGCACTCCGTGCCATGGGAGACATGGGCTTCTCCGGCTCCGTAAGTTCAGGCACGAGTATTCCGAGATCGCATCTCCCAATACTGACAATGATCCTCTTAGACATTCTTCTCCACCTGGAATCAACAATATCTCGTGAAATCCATCCCGCGACACTTCGAACACTCGTTCTTCGAGAATGATCTCGTCGAGCCCTACCTTGCCTACATGGCCCAGCAGCCGACATCTCTCCTCGTCCGGATCTGTGAGTTCTTGGGCTGCACGGACCGTGCGCTGGGCCGCACCTTGCGCATGGCCCCAAGCCATCACATCGTCATGGAGAATATAATGTATGGATCCGAAAAGGCCGAGGATGGATGGGAGCACTGGGACCTCAAGCCTACAAGCTACTTCTATCCCGAGCGTGACATCGCCGACGGTCGCTTGACAAGTGACGCGACCAAGGACCAGCTTGCCGACGAATTCCACGACAAGATCGTTCTCAGCGACAAGGACGCCAAGGCTTTTGTCGCGGCTCTAGAACGAGATACAAAGTTCCTTGCCGATCACAATGCGGTGGATTACTCGCTCTTTTTGGTCAGGATCAAGTCGGAGGACCCGGTGGCAGCCACAGAGCCCGGACCGTCCAACACTGAAGGGGCGGATGCTGTGCCGCAGAATCCGCCGTCCGTCCCACCATTGCCGCCCTCTTGGCGAACGGGCGTGCCCTCATCAGATGGGAAACACATCTTCCGCGCGTCGATCCTCGACTTCTTCTGGGCCAAACACAAAATACAGCCAATGCTGATGACCTTGTTGATCAAGACATGGGATTTGATCACAGGACATGGTCCCATGAGTATCACGACCACCCCCCAAGAGTACAGGGAGAGATTTCTCAAGATGTGCCTCGAGATGATAGAAGTAAAGGATGATGCTTGACCAAGGCGTTAGGGCCTGCTCTTTCACACTTCTCTTTCCTACGATACCCCTTTATCGCCTCCTAGAATACATGGCTACTTTCCTTTCTTTCGCTCTTACTGTATCTTGATCAAAGAATGCTGTCTCCTTCGTACATAAATATTGGAGTCTTACCACGTCTCTGGTTCTCGAATACAGCCTAATTCGTCACTTTCACCTACCATAATCGTTGCGTGCCATGATCATGATTATCCTGCATTCCGCAACTCCAAATGGCATCGTCCAAAGCCTTGGACCAGACTTCAATGGGGGCCGGTTCCCTCCCGGATCGACATACCTACAATGGAAACGAGAAGCAAGTGTACGAAGTAGACCTCGCTCGGGATGCTTCCCTGCCCAGCTGAAAACGCAAGCCAAGAAGCATGGTTGAAGCTCTTGCGACGCGGTCTCCGACTGCATATGTTACATCGTGAAGTCAGCCACGGAGTCCCACCTGCAAATCCGGACGAGCCGGCCAAGCGTGCCAGTGCAATCTGGTATTGAGATAGTTTCCCAAAAACCTGTTGTTGCTCCTGCCAAGCGAGCGCTGATCTCATGTTCTGGAAATGAGAGAGGCGGAAATTCTCCGATAAGTGTGAGCGTCGATCAGGCCTGAAGAACGTGCTAAACGGTGTTGGAGGCTCGAGCAAGCTGAGGCGGGATTAATTAATGCGAATTACAAGGGACTGCTGGTCTGGAACTGTCCAGTCGTGCCAGTGCCTCTCGATGGATCGTCGATATCGACACAGAATTGCCTGATTCGGCGTTGCCCACTCCGCAATCAAGCTGCAGACTCCACCCAAGAAGGTTCACGGCCCTGGGCGCGTGGGCAAGGGGCTGAGAATGACCGCCTTTTCAAGAATAGAACATGGGTTTGCTGAGTTTCGCATGGTGGCGGAAACTGAAGGGAAGGGCCATCGTCTCGCGGGCAAGCTCTTGTGCCATTGCGCGGATCAGCCTTCGATGGCGATCACTCCTCGCGGCAGGTGGACAACGAATGAAAACTTGCAATCCGGCCGGCCAGAGAGGACTGATGATGCTCTGCCTCCCTACCTAGGTAGGCTGGTAGGCTTTGACTAGCCTTGATAAGGAAACGGAGAGAGCTCGAGGGTGGGTTACATAGGGCGAGGTTCACACCACCTCCGTCTGTGTTTTGGACATGGCCTCAAAGCAGGAAACGGCGAGACGAGAGATTGCAGGAACCGCGCATGATGACGGTCATTGAATCACAGCGTTGCATTGACGGTGGTAATTCGTTGGCAACAGGTGCCCAAGTCGGCACGGTCGGACGACAGGGATCCAACGTTCCAGCACCGTGAGCACCATGAGCGCCGTTACTGTGCCTCTGTGCCTTGGAACAGGGCCGCTTCTCCAGCCCTCCATGGATGGATGTTGCGGTGCAGGTGCCATGGATTGGCCCTGCAGGCCCTGGAGCATCGCACTAGAGGCCGGTACTTCATTCCCTTCAGTGCCTCAGTGCCCCCTGCGTGGCTTGATTTTTGCGGGGATGGCTGTCGTCGTGGTGGGCCTTCCCGTCATCGTCACTGGCGGCCCCCTGGAGGACAGGGGAGCTAGGCCTCCACTGAACAGGTGCCGTTCCCTGCCCTCAACTCTCGGCCATGCTGCCGCCACACGGTGCTTCGCGATCTGTTTTCCCAACAGGGCTGAGATCGTCCGCCGCCTTTGTTTTGGCCGTTGAGCCGTTTCCCCCGCGCAGAATTGCCTGTCTTGCCTGTGCTTGGTTACTGGACCGCTGCTATTGAGGCTCCGGTACGTCATCCCTTTGCACCCCGGCCAATACGCTGCAACCAAACAATCGCCTCCCATCATGCAAAGAGCACTCCCGCCTTACCCAATGCCGCAAACGACCACACCCTTCCAGAACTCTGCTCTGACGAAATTGTCGTTTCCAAGACCTTCGCCAAAGCTTCCCAGCGCAGACAGTCCCTGCTGCGGAAAACCCTTGGCGGCACCCTGAATGTCAGCCAGTGCAACCGCACTCCCATGTGGTCATCGTACTGTACCTGCATTGTTGTCTCAGCCTCCACCGAGAGTCTTTCTATCTGCCAGAGACCCCTAGTTCTGCTCATTTCCAGGGCGTCAATGCCGTTGTAGAATCTCCCAAGGGAGACCTCCTGGACCGACGATGGGCGTCTTCTGGCAAGTGTCCGGAACGCGAGGGTTCATGTGTCATTACCTACTCCACGAATTGCATCGCTGCTCGATCATGGTCGAGGAAAGCAAAGGGCGGCGCACCAGTACACAAATCTGCTCAGGCGAAGTCACCTGTGCGAACCTAGCCAAGCGGCTTTTTCCTTCCAGCTCATCGACGCGCCGGCCCGGAGGTGATTTCCTTGTTTTGGCAGCTTGATCCGCCAGTCCGCTATCGCCGTGTGGCTCAACACTCAGTGTCTGGCGCCACTGACGGAGTAGCTCAGGGGTGAACCGTCGCCTATATCAGGGCCTGATATATGTGGCGAACACACAGTCCAACCCGTTTATCGTTTCCGTTTTCGTCATCCTAGGGGCTCGTATCAATGGCAATGACGGTGTGCAAATGAAGCGGAAAACGGACCCCAGTAGGGAAATTGACCTCGACCATGCTTCTACCAGGTACTTGGAAGATGCGTGCTGTCTCTGCCGTTCAGCTTCGTACCGTCCATGCCCTGACCCCGACCCATTACTCGCAAGGATTGAGCAGTTGGCACTCTGTGCTAAGGACCATGGTTCGCTGCCGCCGTTTCATCTGAAGACGGCCTGAGGGAGCCAAGAGACTCTCATTCATGGAAGACGGTGCCGAGCTCTTCGATGAGATAGCTATATCATTCTTAGTATGTCGATCACCATGGCTTTGTGACGACGATCTGGTCTGTCTCCCAGGTCCTTGTTTATCTACAAAGTAGCAACAGCTGAAGTGACGCAAAGTCGTGTGCAAATTGGCTCGACGTCGTTAACTTGACAGTGCAAAGGAGGAGGAAGACAGAACCAGGTATGCTGCATCGCAAAGTATAAGAAGCATCAAGTCTTCCCCGGATCTGGGACAATCATATCCTGTTCTCCATCAGCTTCAACGAAAAGCATTCAATCGCTACAACAAGCCCTCTCGCTACTACTTGTTACCAATCTTCCATCACATTAATAATCATAATCCAAACTACCTCAAAGCTCTTACCTTACTACCCAAAGCCAACATGAAGTTCTTCGCCGTTGCCGCCGCCCTCTTTGCCGGTGCCGCCCTCGCCGCTCCCACCGTTGAGGAGCGCCAGACCCCCTACGTCCCCTGCTCCGGCCTTTACGGCACCGCCCAGTGCTGCGCGACCGACGTCCTCGGTGTTGCGGACCTTGATTGCGGCAACCCTTCTAAGACGGCCACCAGCGCCGACGACTTCAGCGCCGTGTGCTCCGCCATCGGCCAGCGTGCCCGCTGCTGTGTCCTGCCTATCGTAAGTTCGAGATCCAGATTTGATGTCTGCCTCCTAGTATAGAAGAAATTCGGACCTGACTTTTTTTCCATCTGTACAGCTGGAGCAGGGCATTCTGTGCAACACCCCCGCCGGTGTCGTCGACTAAGTGATGTGGCGCCGAGGCGGTTCTCCGGTCCCGCGCCCCCGCCCCGCCCCGAGAAATCTGGCCGGTCGGTGGGGCCGTGGGCCTTCCGCCGCCACGCACGCCGGTGTTGGCGAAGTGGGGGGATCCTCGACGGATCGCTTCGCTTCGCTACCTCACCTGATTTGTGTCTGATAGCTTTTTGCTTTCCCATTATTTTTCTTTGCTTTCGAATGGAACGGGCATAGGAGTGTTCTGGACCATGAGGGACGATGAATTCTTGGTCGACCAGTCCTACTAGGGATTCCACATTCGATGGAATTGTACCATACAACCACTCCCTTTTGGCAACATGTACAGTAACTGTCAAGAGGAGATATGATCTTCTACGGTTGAAAACCCTTTCTGAATTATTATCTTTGTGTGCCTTGGAATTCTGTCTGAATGCTCTTGATCTCGATCTTGGAGATAAGATCATGCACTTGTATTCACCGTGATGAGTGATGATATCACGAATGGTTCAGTGGCGGCCTCTTTCCACCACACCTCTACCTCGTGAGGTCCGCGGAGAAGTCATCTGGACATGAAGATTGCTGACCAAGGCGGCGCAAGAAATTCAATGATGGGACGACAGGCTGCACGATTGAGTTTCGTCCATTGTCAGCACCATCCTCCTGGGATCTAGGCCACAGCCTACCCCCGTTACCCCCTCAAGTGACTCGCGCACATCAGAACCTGATCTGGAACCGCGGCGGACGCCGTTCGGACTGGTACCATGGGCTTTCTCTCCAAACAAAACGAAAGTGTGCTGAGGCCTCACAGCTCCATGCACGACTAGGCGAGATCCGGGTACAGTTGTGATGTGGACGAAGGGGAGCCATGCGCTGCCGTCTCTTCGCGTCGATGATCACCACTGCCACTGCTGGCCCCGTGGCGGGGGATAACTACACCAAGCACACGTCACGCATACACGCGCACGAGGATCACTGTGCGAGCCGGCCAAGGCTACAGCATCGCATGCACAAGAGAGGAGGAGAAAAGAGCAAGGCGATCACTCAGCCAGAATCTTGGCATTTCTGTGTCTCCTACGGAATGGCTTGGGACTAAGGCCTGAACTATTGACAAGAGGCTTAGGGAGAAACCTCAAACCACATGTGCAGGAAGAAAGTGACTTCCATCCGAAAGGGGCAAAGGCTAGTGCTGGTACCAATCCGCTTCGGATACAGTCCGGGAGTTTTGACTTCAATGATGGGGTTTTGGCGACGGCTGGGCACTCGTGGGCGTCAAGCTTACCACAACCGCCTACCTAGAGGGATCGCGATGGGGACAGGAGATGAGGGGAAGCAAGGGCATCCCGGTTTGCCCTCGTCCGGGTACCAGGAGTCGACAGCAATGGGGAGCGAATGGCACCTCTTCACAGCCTGCGGCATGATGGAGCGATGGCTTGGGCTTGGGCAGCTCTACGTTGAGCTAGAGGACAACAGGCGACCATTCAGAAAGTCCCAATACTGGTACGGAGCGTCCGACCACAATATGAGGGCTGGGCTCAAAGGGACGGGGAACTTTTGTGCTGGCCGGGAGGTCGTAAAGCGACCAACTGGAGGGAAGCTCGTCACATCGTTTCACTTTCTCTCACCGTATCATGAAGATGTCAGCACGGCTTGGTCTGGACCCTACGGCCCGAGCAGCATGAGGATACAGACCTCTGTCTCTGCGGCCCGCCGTCAGACGCGTGGACAGTGAGACAAGATCAACAGGCTCGCCAGGGGCGTAGCCGAGCAGATCTCAGGCCCTCAGAGACCGGTCGGTACTAGTTTCCGGCAACCGGATCAAACAACCGTGTCAGGTGCCAAGTGGTACGCGTACCAAGCGGCGGTGCACGATGGCTTGCAGTGGCCCCTGAGGTCGTCACCTATGGAGCTGAGGGAAAGTATGGGCGTACAACGGAGCAGCTGAGAGGCACTGACCGAAAGTTCGGCAGCTCACCTCACCTGTGTGGGACGTGAGGGGAAAGTCGGTCAGATCCGGGCGACGGGCCCCGCTGAGGAACCTGCCGAGAGACTACTGGGCTCGATGATTTCTGGAGCTCGACTCGAGCGAGAAATATTGATCCAGGACCCATCCCTCCGGTGCGCGAGTCTTGGTCTGTCGAGCGACCGTTCGTGCGGCTATTGATCTCGCCCATACGGCGGATTGGGTCCATTGCATGAAGAAAACCGACTCTTCAGGCACGGCGCTATTGGATCTCTCAAACGCCCAAAACGGTTACTTGGCGACCGGCACGAGGCGCTAAGCAGTAGCCGTAGTGAAGCTTGTTGCTCCTCGTTCGCTGCTTGCCGGTTCCGTACTGACACACACCAGCAGGCATCGCAACCGCACCACGGCTGGAAAGGCGAATCGGAACGCACAATGAGAGTTTCTTCCGCCATCGTCCTTTTCGTGACAGCTGGGAGGAGGAACGGGAGAGGGAAAAGGGGAGCGTCCGTACGGCACCGGTTGGACATCATCCAAGTGGCGCATTTTAGGGTCGCCGAATGTTGGGGGCTACTTGGCCTTCTGGGTGTGTGGGTGCTGTGGAAAAGCTCCGAACAGCCAAAGAGAGTGCGGTCAAGTAACTAAGGCCAAAAGTCCCTGAGAAAACAATACATGAATCAATACCGGGATAGGTAGGTAGGGTGTGTGCGTGTGTGCGTGTGTGTGTGTGTGTGTTGATGTTCTCGTGCCACTGTGCCGCCAGACACTACCTGTGGGCGGGTGACGTATCCGGCTCCAGCCACCCGGGTTAGCTCGGCGAAACCCCGCACAGAACCCTGGAGCAACTTGAGGGGAACATCGGTAGCTGGCATCCGGATCTTCACCACCCCCGCTTCCTGGTGCGACACTGCTTCAGCCTCAATCGCTCTGTCTGGACGCCCATGCACGCATGGGATGGGACATTTCGTGTTGGCAGAGCTCCCTCTCAAGGCCTCTCTCATGCGCTCATCTTGCCCTGCCACCGTCAGCAGTGGCGTCCAATCGCTTGTACGGACCAATGTGAGCGACCGTCCGTTCAGCATGGGATGAGAGAACAGCCTGAGCCTGACCCTGGGCCGAATGAGAAAAACACCTGCTGCATATCAGGTCTGGACTTCGATGCCAACCCCTCACGAAGCCATGGCCGGCGACGCCCGAAATAGCAGCCAGTCTGTGTGCTGCAGCAAATGTCCGCCAGCCGTTGCACAGCGTGGCCCTCGTCTGACCTTTTCCACTGGATGCTGGCCACGTCCCTGCAGGGCCCCCTTTCAGCTGGCCTGCCCGTCGTGCTGGCTGGTTGGCGTTGCCGGTTCTGGCTCCTGTTTGATGCAACATGCATGACACTGCAGCTGCCAAGCCCAGTGCTGAAAATAACTGTGAGCATGATTTCTCTTTACGTAAGGGCTCGACCTGTCTGGACGACAAAAAGGCTGGTCAATGAGCCGATGCTGGATCATTCTGCTCCCATCTCATTGGGCTCTTCTTTGCATTAGAGCTACATTTGATGCGCTGTTTATTGTCTTTGCTTTCTTTTTTCTCTCTCTCTTCTCGTGTCTGCCTGTTTGCTGCTTGCATGTTTGCTGGACCCAAGCTGGGGCGCAACATAGATGCATGAGCATGCTGGTGATGGGCGCGGAGATGCAGGAGAGCTGGTCAGCAGACACGGCATCGCTCGGCCTCTTGCGCCCAGGCTTCTGCTAGCTAAGATGGCTACAGATAGTTACCATTCTCTGTGGATCTCCAACAAATATCAACAGATGTATTGTGGATTACGATGACCGTGGTGCTCCGCCCCGTCTGTTCGCTTCAACCCTAGATGGACGATATTAGGTTTCTATGGTGTCTCCTTAGCTGCTCCCACTCTTCCCTAGAGCCGCCAGTCTCAAAAGGGTGGGAAGCGTCAGAGTTGAGGAAGGTAGTTTGGACGAAAGTGGTTTGGCTTTAGTGAAGCTTACCACACACCTCGACCCGGGAGCCCGTCTTCACCGGCGCGGGCCCTCCCCCTCTTGGGTCCAAACGATATCCTGATTTCCCCATATGTCTAGTCCCTGGCTAATATTCTTTACCTTGTCCAGCATTGGCTGGTTTGATCCATGCCAAGAGAACCAGATTCTCAATAGCGTCTTGCTGCCCCCGTTCAGACGACATCGCGAGTGTGTATTCGCTTCCGACGACTTCAGCCGCAACCAGCCCTGCCGGGTAGACACCAAGCGACCATCCACTCGACAAGCTTCCACTGTCCTCAATAGTGGCGGTCTCGAACAGCTAATCTGGGTACCCGTCGGGGGCGCCACAAGTTGAAGCTCTCCATACACACCCTCCTCGATGCGATTAGACTCACAGTCTGATCATGATGTGGTGTCCAGGGCCGTCATACTTGCCTCCTCCACGTACCGACACATGCCCAACTTCACTTTCCGAAGTACGCCACGACAAGGAGGCAAGCATCATTATTCAAGACTCCACACATCCCTGCAGCTCGTATTTCTGAACCAGTGAAGCCGGCTGAGCCAAGCTTGGGACGTCCAGACCCAGTGCACTGGGTAGACAAGTGTCCGGCCATGAGCTCACCGACCACTGTGATGGACAGCTCTAGCCTCTGCGGATCGGGGAAGAGCAGAGTACCATCAACGATATCCTCCTGGTTCTCTCCCCAATCTTACCTGATTCCGTCTATAAGAGAGACGGTCCGCTCCCGTTTCTGGCTCATCTTTCTCTCTCCTCTCATCACCCACCCTCAGACTCAGAAGTAGAACAGTACCCTCAACTTTATTCATATATCAAGAGTCAACAACCTTCCTACACATCCAACATGGTTGCTTTCAAGTACCTCCTTCTCTCTGCCGCCGCCGTCTTTGGCGTTCTGGCCCAGGATGAGGGATCCGACGCCGATGCCGCTGCCGCCTGGGCCCAGATCAGTGGTGGCGATGATTCCCTCGCCGTGGGAAACACCAACCTGAAGCGCTTCGCATCTGAGGCCCGCACCACTACCGGTGGAGATATGGGCGATCCGTACTGGGGCGACTACTGCCGTGCCCCCTTCACCAAGCCTCCCTGCGCGACTACCTGCAACCGCAACAACTGCTTCCGCGGCTTCCTCAACATCCGTGACGGATCGGATGGCAAGGTTGGTCCAATCCGGAGAAGAGCGCGAGCGCCCTGATGATGAAGAATAAACCCGCTAATCAACCAATCCTGTCTAGCATTGCCCCATCAACGCTTTCTCCTTCTGCTGCGGCTGGAACTGGCTGCCTCCCTTTGTCAAGCTCTGGGCTGTCAAGTGCGGCGCGCTGTACACGCTTGCTCCGTACTCAGCCAACTGCAACAGCCCCGGCGACACCCCCGCGCAGATCGTCGCCAAGGTCGACGACGTCTGCGGCTGCACGCTCAACCACGAGGTCCTCGTCGACAAGTCCAGCGACTACTACAAGGCCAAGTGCTACGGCCCCAACGACTCTCACTGCAAGAACAAGAAGTGAGCGATTCGCGATAACCACCCTCCGGAACCCGGCTTCTGGTCTGGAGAGGGGTGTCAGGGATCTCTTTTGCGGCTTTGATGCATGGACTGTAGTGGTCCAGGCCACAGCTGCTGTGATGATGCAATGTTACTCTGGTAGGAGGGTTCAAGCAATGGTAATGGGCAAAACATAACATTCTTCCACGCTCCTTTTGAAGGGACCTCTTGGTTATTGGCACACAAGACACATTTGTCTCAGGGAGGTGCTTCGCTCGCCTCGAGATATCTTGCAAACGCGTGCCGGTACCCTAGGCCCGAACACATAGTATAACCAGGCGTTACTTGGAGTAATGGAACACATTGCTGGCTAAATGCACCCTTGTTCTTCCGTCGTGTGTTGGTTTGAACAGAACAGAAATGCAGTGACATACAGTGCGTAATCACTTCAACTAGGCCTGCTCCTCAATTCGTCTCGTCCTGGCCACCACCACAGCAGCCTTGAGCTCCACCGTAGCCCACACTCTCCCCTCCGCCCTAGTGAACGGCTTCGCCTCCCGGCTGAGCAACTCGCACTTGACCTGCTGCAACTTGTCCCCAGGCCCAGCGACGCGGCCACGTCGTCCACCCCGCCCGACACGCGGTCTACACGGAAGAGCGACGAGGGGTCACATGGGAAGCGCCATCTTCATCATAGATCCAGAGTTGAATAGTATAGGTTCATTTCAGTTTTGAACATGCAGACAACGACATTATATTCCCTTCCTAACTCAACTCCATATCATCATATCCAGCCGCCGGAGGAGACCGGGGAGGAGACCGGGAGACACCGAGCGGAATCATGGGGGGATTTCAAAGGCAACGAAGGCCAAATGTCACCAATACGGCTAATCATCGATTAGTTTGACCAATGTTCAACATGGGAGTGTTTCGTCAATCATTTGTTTCACGGACCGAACCGGGAAAACGAGGGAAAGGTCAATCTTATCATCACCAGCATCAATGAGTGCTCTGGCGACGATGCCGGAAGCGGCTTAGAGCGCGTGGGTATCCCGATGGTGGCGGCCGACGATTTAGCGCGCATCATTGGCTACTTGGTCCTGTCTGACAAATGCAGCAACCAATGCGGTCATCGTGGGAGCTGGTGGCTCGCGGAGGCACTTTTAGCCATAACATCATCGATGCTCCTCGGAGTCTTCGCTGCCCCAGTTCACTCCTCCCAGATACCTATTGAATCGCACATTAACTTCGCGCTCTCGCTCCAATGAGGCAACTGAGGATGGCGGCCGACAGCGGGCCCTTGGCCGTGTCCCATGCCTTGTATGTCTGCGAGACATGCAAAGGGCGAAAGAAGAGATGCGACAAGATGCTACCCTGTTGTAGCTACTGTTCTAGACGGCGTCTCCGCTGCCGATATGACGAGCAGCCACGGGAACAGGCTGCCACTTCAAAGCAAAAGGCAGCAAGTCGTAGCCCGGCTGCGTCGCAGTTCACTCTTCCGATCTCGCCGGTCTCCATCTCGCCAGAGCCATCGTCACTGGATTCAAGAGTGTATTCGCATGTGCAAGCTCTGATCCGCTCGACAGGCCAGTATGTGGACGACGTCTCAGTACGCTACTTCTCTGGGCTTCAACGCCACCGGCCCCTCATATCGAGAAGGCGATTTCACGATGGCCTGATCACTCTGGGCGCGGTTCCTTCTGTCGACTTTTCTGTTCTTCTGTTGAGCATGTGCTTGATCACTTCCACTCACAAACTGCAACAAAGAGGCGGGAATAGGCACGCGAGACAGATGCTCGATACTCGGCCGCTCTATCTAAATGCCAAGTCGCTTCTTGCGACGGCACAAGGCCTCGACGCCGTATCGGTCCCACTTGTACAGGCGGGTGTTCTACTGGCCGTGTATGAATACGTGAACGGTAAGCCGGACGAGGCATTCGCGTCTATTGCGGCCGTTGCCCGTATTGCCTGTGCGGCTCGTCTCCATCTTCGCTTGCGCCATGGCCTCACCCTCCCACCCCTTCAGACACATGAACTTGACTCGAAAGCAGTGGGAGAGTCTTCTTTGTTGCAGCGTGTAGAGGAATCCAACGTTTGGTGGAACATCATTGTGTGCGAACGGTAAGTCCCAGGTCACCGCGCCAAAGTCACCGCCGTCTTGTACCTCATCACTGATAATTCATATCATCGGTTAGGGCGTTTTCGTGCGACGTAACTATCCCGGAGCAGCCTCTGATAACCTCTGTGCCTGACGAAGACTCCCGCCTGCCACTGGAGTGGAGTCTGATGGGTTCGGACGATCTTCCTACAGAAGTCGACCGGGTGACGACATTGTCCGATCTGGCGTCGACCAGTGTGGGAGGGTTTGCCAGGACGGCACAAGTCGTCTGGTTTATCACTCGGATTTCTGATGCATTCAAGATTGCGAATCTCAATCTCCGGCTGTCCCAACTCCAGGCATTGGATGATAGGCTGCAGCAGTTTCTTCGAGTGCTGATACAACAATCCAGTGCCCGTGTTGGATTCTATTGCGAGCCCGTAGCCCTGGCCATCCGGTGAGTTTTCATATGCCAAGAATAGACTACGGCAACCAGAATTATCTGGAGATCCTAGAACGCTCTAACCAGTCGATAGAGCGCTTTTCATCCTGCACCAACACATCCTCGAGCTTCCATTCAAGGCTACAAACACCAAGCAGAGGTCGCTTGAGGAGTGGCGTGAGTACTCTCGAGCAGCCCTGGACACGGCAACGGGGATGGTGCTGGACATTGTCGACTGCCATAACAAGGACATTCTTTGCGTGAGCCTGTCGCCTAGTTACTCGTGGCTCGTGCGAGTCGCCTTGCGTCATGTAGTCGGGAAAGACTTCATTGCGACCGATTCTCGCTTTGGAGGTGCCGAGGAGCAGTTCCGGAGATCGCTAGAATGGTTCCTCGATGCTGAAGCACCGGCCGAGGAGCGAAAACCCGGTCCAAGGGGGCCGGAGCTGACAATGCCTCTGCTTACGCCCTTTTCAGGGTGAGAAAGACGGATATCGACAGAATTGATGAACGGCATTGAGGAAGTGCTGGAGTTCCAAATGAAATGAAGCTATCGGAGTTCTCGTTGTACAAGCCTTCCTTTTGCTGTACCGGGGCTTGCAGATCATGCTGCTCCTCTAAAATTGCCACCTGAGGACCCCCGATGTTATGCGACAGAGAGAAAGTGCCGGCCAGGGGTGCGTAGATCCGTTCGGTTGTCGATACGGTTTGTCGATACGGTATGTCGATCGCTTCCCGGCGCTACTTAGTAGTCCGGGTCAAGCCTCAGAGACAGTGCAATAAGACACGGTGGTGGGTGGCGTGGCGCTCGCGAACAGCTCCCCACCCAACAAACAACTGGGCCCTAAGCTACTGTCATCACCACGTAATTGTGCATCATGTTATCACTGGCTGATACACAGCGGTCCTGGTCTGTCAGCGGAAGATCCTCCGGAGCTGATTATTTGCTTTCTACCTGAGGTGGCGTGTCCATCAGCTCAGCTCCTGAACTCTTTTCCCGTCGCGCCGGTAACCTGGGAGGATCCGTTGCCATTACTACATTGCGTTCCCCAGCCCGTATTTTGCGATAGCTTTTGAGCCTTTTGCATCGTCTCGACAGGAAGCCGCTACTCGCTCGAAACACAAGATTTCCTCCTGTATTGCCACCCACCAGGTCGGTACGCTTACGGTCCCACTTTGCCCCGACAGAAACCTCTGTCTGTCCCAGCGAGCCCGGCTCTGCATCTGGTACATGGCAGGGGAGCATGGTACTTTAGATGGTGGATACTACGTAGGTGCGTACGGGGATAGCCGTCGTGTCTGGGGATTTTTGAGTCGACTCAGAGCCTACATATTTCCTCCGACTGCCAGCAAGATTGGATGCGAGCAAGCGCCGATAGCTTTCTCATACGAGACGCCCGCCCCCGAACGACGTCAAAATGGCGAAAAGATACACGCCAATCCTGCCCGCACCGCCGGCAGCCCTCGAGACGCCCGCCGCCACCCAAACCGCGTCGGCCGAGACCGCCATCGACAAGCTTACGGAGTCGGGTCCGCAGGCCCACAAACCCAAACGCTCCGTAGGACGCACAGCATGTGTGGCGTGTAGGGTCAAGAAGTCAGCGGTCTGCATCCTCCTTTCTTAACATTTAACCTCCTCTATTGCTTCTGGCAAGAGGCACACCTAGCTTGCACTGTCAACCGGTTTTTCGTGATTGCCGTATCGAGCCCAAGGGGCTCGTTGGCCGCGTTGGAGCTAAGATTCCCGCCGCCGGTCTCCGCTTCTTTGCAGCGGGGAGGAGGGATGCGTCGAGCACAACCAATGGCCTGAGCAAAAGCTCCCATCAAGTGAAACTACCTGGCCTGAGCCTCAAGCCGCCAGTCCATAGAAGATGCATTTTGAACAATTATCATCTTTCTGGGCGGGCCCTGAAAACACTGCACTTCCTCTGGTGTGCTCACCTTGCTGAGCCTCGTTTCACTCATCGTGGGCAACAGCTTGCTGGACCGCATTGTTCACCAGAGACGTTACTGACACTTGCTTACCATTTCTAGTGCGACAGCAAGCGGCCAAAGTGTTCGTCTTGCGCGAAGAGAAATCTTGAGTGTATATATACCCTCCGGCTTCGAACGCTTCCGGAAGGCCAGGTCGAGGAGATCGAGGCCCTGAGACAAGAGAATGGGGAGCTTCGCAGACGCCTGAAAGACGTTACTCGGATCCTCCGTAACCTTGAAAGCTCAGAAAGTTCAGACTCTCAGTCTCCTCTAAAGTCTCTAACATCGCCGGTCTCCGAAAGACTCTTCGTTTCCGCAGGCAGCGACACGACAGACCCACGACAGACTGTCGTTCAATATGGCTCGACAAAGACATTCTCCCAGCCGGCTCAAAACAGCCTCGAGTTTGAGTTGATGATCCGACATCCCATCGCCTACCCGTTCCTGTTGCCCGTCAACATCTCAAGCCTTGAGATCGAGAGTTTTCTGACGCGTCTGCGCGATCCTTCGAACGAAAGCACTGAGGGCAATCCCGAGAAGAAGAGTCCCGAGTAAGTTTCGACTTCCTGCGTCTTCATAGGGAAAAAAGAAAAGTCTCAATTACCACTTCAAGGCTTCCGAAAGCTTTGACTGACTCAGCACGACCGATACCAGACATTTTCAAGTCTTTGACGAGGATTCCAAGAGTCTATCCGAACCCAATGTTCCCGCAGCCGAGGAAGAAGATAAAAGCTTCTCTCACAGCAAGGGGCCCATTTACTGCGATGACCGCCTAAACAATATCGAAATAAGCCACTGGACCAGAATAGTCATACCCAACGAGCTTGCTGCTCATGCTATTTCGCTTTACTTGTTGACCGACCATCCCATAATCGCTCTCTTTGATGCCAATCTTTTCCTGGATGACCTCGTCCACGAGCGAACCAAGTTCTGCTCCCCATTGCTGGTAAACGCATTGCTCTGCTGGACATTGGTAAGGAATTGCCTTTCTGGATTCGGTTTTAAAACGTGCCAATAGATTACTAAGTAACTGAGAATAGCAAGCCTTCAGTTCGATCAGGCCGGAAGCGGCACTTCTGAGCGTCTTGTTTTACAACGAGACTACCAGGCTATACGAGGAGGAGAAACAGCGCAACCCTTTGGAAGGACAACCGTTGATGACGATCACTGCAACACAACTGTTGAGTCTTGCATGCATGTGCCATGGCAAAGAGGAGGAGAGCATGAAATACTTGAATGAAGGGATTGCAATGGGCAAGGATATCGGCCTCTTCGATGTGAACCCGGCCAACTCTGCGAGGAACTGGCTCGATGATCATATTGACTGGATCAAGGCGGCTTCCTATGTTGCTTGGGGCACATTCTGCTGGGTTACGTAAGTATGCTCATACCAAGCTACATGCATGCCACAAACACTCCCTCTTTGTTACCAGTTTTCTCGCTTTACCACGATCAGTCTGTGCCGAAGCTAACTTCACGGTGGTGATTTATAGATGTCGATGTCTTAACTTCCAATGTGGTCTGATTCAACAACCGCCCACTCTACCCATTCCAGGCACCCAGATCATACGGGATTCCACACCAGTTCCGGAGCCCTTTGAACTTCCATCTTTTATGGGAAAGACTTTTACCTATCTGTGTCGCTTCTGGCCCATCGCGAATGAAATGATCTGGAAGTACTACGATGAAGACGAACTGGCTGCTTCAGCCGACCGAGCCTCCTTAGAGTTTGCAGAGAAGGAGTTTCTTGCGTTGCTGGACTGGAGCAACTCCCTTCCGCTCGAGATGGTACGGGGCCCTCAGACACCACACCACGCTATAATAGCCCAGTAAGTCCTGCGCGTGGTTGAGTGTATAGAGCAGATCTTCCTTTGCTGACGCGTCTGGCGACAAAACAGCATATACTTCCACGTCGTTGTTACTGATCTCTTTCGGCCCTTCAAGCACCAGCTCCCCCACCGCACGCTGCAGCTGGCGAGCTTCACCGCCGAGAAGCGCACGACCGACACCGTCTACGACGCCTCGATCAACCAGCTCAAGCACCTCGTGCTCGTGTACCGCACGCGCTTCCCCTCGGCGTCGTACACCATGCTGTGGCAGTACTGCCTGCTCTACGTCGCCAACGCGACCCTGCAGCAGAAGGAGGACGACACCAGGGACTCGGAGTGGTGGTTCTGGTTCTTCCTCTGCATCGCGGGGTACCAGAAGCTCTTCCCGTCGTTCCGCGTCGTCGAGAGCATCGTGCAGGGCCTGCTGACCATGGCCATCTCCAAGGGCGCCCTGACGGCGGGCGAGGGCCGCGCCATGATGGGCCGGCTGCGCGGCGGCGGCCAGCACGCCGGGTTCGCGCACGCGGTCAAGGGCACGTTCATGGTGGACCTGGGCATGGCGTCGACGGACCCGCTGGCCGCGTGCGTCGACAGCCTGCCGGACAAGTTTGACGAGATGATGCTCTACGACGAGTACCTGGCCAAGGAGGCGATGGAGTCGGTGGAGCCGACCTCGGCGGAGGAGATTAACTGAACTGGAGTTTGTGGCGCGGCTTGGAGCGGTTGAGAACGAGGTGCTGGTGGTCTTTGATTTTGTTTTCACGATACAACACAGACTAGAAGTGCTCTGGCGTTCTTATTTCCTTTGTCTATTGATTATGGGTTGCTATATGAACCGTTCATGATTTCTGTTTTGAATTTAGTAATTGAGCCTATTCGCACACTGTCAGACGGTTCCTGTTTCCCATTCAGACAACTCCATGTTGCTCAATGCATTATGACCTTCGATACATGGTAATGAGGGAATAGTACGGAACGTCGGCCAAGATTTGAAGGGTCGAGTCATCATGGTTTCGAAGACAGCTAGTTGTACTTTCGACTACTCTTTTGGCCACAGTCAAGTTGTAAACGACAATACACTTGGCCTTCTTGTTTCTTTGGCCTCTTTTGGAGTATCCCGGTGGAGTCGACTAAGTCAAGCTGAAGGTGGGCCGCCAGCTGTGAATTCGTGTCGCAAGCACGGCGTGACTCAGCTGTACCCCAAGGTACTTAGACCAGACCACCTGCCAAATGACCAGGCCCTGTGGAGAGAGTCTTTTAACAAGAGATCGCTCGAACAGCTCTTTTGGATATACCGCAAGGGACTTTAACGAGTTTTGGAGAAAACAAGAGCAGACTAGCAATGAACTATCAATAAGCACCGACAGCTAGAATGACGACACTCGCAGCACCAGCCCGGCACAGCAGCACCAGCGGCTTCGCAAATACCGTTCAGGCAGATACGCGCGCACCAGGATGCCCAGACCATCACCGTGTACCAGGCCTACAGCCGGGCCATCGCGGACCCGGCCGTCGCAGCGCAGAAGCTGCACGCCTCGGACAAGTTCCGCCACACGCGCATGACGTGGATCAAGCCCAGCTGGGCGTGGATGCTCTACCGCGCCGGCTATTCCTACAAGGATGCCGGGCAGGAGCGCATACTGGCTCTCAAGATGCGAAAAGAAGACTTCATCAAGGTCCTGGAGAAGGGTGTTCTCACATCGCATGGCAGCTCTGCCCAGGATGGAGAGCAGGACACGGAGCAGGCCGCCGAGGAGGAGGATATAAACGAGCGGGAGCAGGGAGAGAAGGCTGAAGCAGCAGCAAGTGAGACTGGGAGGAAGCGCAGAAGACATCGCGACCCCGCGAAACCGAAGTCTCCGGACGTCAAGATCCAGTGGGATCCAGAAAGGACTGTGCGGCTGGAGAAGCTCGAGTACAGGAGCATACAAATCGGGATTCCGGCAGCGATCAGCCCGCAGTGGACGGAGGAGTGGATTGTGAGCATTGAAGACGTCACCGCCAGAGCGAGAGAGTTGAAGAGGGTACTTGATGAGGAGCCTGAGGTGACTGACGCTGCACTACGCGAAAAGGGATTGATTCCTCACGAGACACCGTTTGAGCTGCCCGAGGAGTTGCAGAAGTCGTTAGGAATGATCGATAATGCGTAGCACTTCAACGCTCTCCTCAGTGTACTCGTATTATAAAAGGAATAGCTACTGTATGCGATAATAGTCATGTAGGATGAGCAAGAGTAGTCAAATTGATCTTCGAAAAATCTACAGCTGCCAAGTCACTGGCTCGGAATGTCCGATGAAGTCGCCCTCCTGGCTGGCAATTCTGATCTGCACTGAGCCCTGACCGGCTGTGGACAAGTCCAGAGGCGTAGAGAAGGTGTAATTAACATTCGAAAGCGACGCAGTCCAGTTCGAGGCTCCTGGCGTAGTCCATTCGGCCCAGCTCTTCACAGTCGCCCAGAATGACCAAGAAACAGTCGGTCGCCCTGCAGCCCCTGTAATGTTGAAAGTCCTGAAAGAAGGACCGTTTGGGTCCGTATCGACAGACGTGCCAATCGACAGTACGGTGATACCGTTAGGGGAGAGCTCGACACCCCAAGTATTGTCGCCGCTTTTACTGCCGGAGCCAGCGAGCACCTCAGCCGAACCCCATTTCGCAACCTTGAACGGCGTCAGTGATCGGGGGTTAAGGCTCAAGGTTGCTTGCTTGGCCGAGTCTGCTTCGTTGATCATGATGACGAAAAGCTTCTTCTTGTCTGGCGTTCGTGCGGTGATGTAATCGACCTCCGGGTCCGACAGTGTGACCAAGCTGCGCGGCTGCCACAGCTCCGCATCCTGGCCGTAGATCCTGCCCGGGGCAAAGCCATACGGCACATGGCTGCCAACCTTGGCGGTAATAAAGCCGTGCGGGAAGTCAATCTGCCCTCCGGAGAGCAGGTGCGCGCTCGATATAAGGTAGTCGGTCACCCACCCGATGTGCCACCAGCCGTGCCACGGATACCTCGAACCACCGGCGTTGCCTTGGTACCAGTAGTAGCTGGGGATGCCGCTACGAGCATCGACAAAGGCATCACGGCCGCGAGCGGCGAGACGCGCGAGCTCCAGGAAGAACTTGTCTCCTGTCGCTTCGTGGATGCGGATGAAGGTACCAGCATGGCTGCTGATAAAGATGGGGCCACGCTCCGTAGCTGTGCCGGTGAAGCCCGCATGCTCATAGTTCAGCGCCACTTGGCTGAGCTGCCAGTCCTGTAATTTCTCGCTTCCGCGCGTCTTGATCGCATCGCTGTTGACGGGGTGGTTGAAGATGTGTAAGGTGTAGAACTTGGCTGTCTCTATGGCAGCGTCGAGATACGTCTTGTCCTGCGTCAGGTCGTACAGATCGAGCAGGGCTTGGGCGGCAAAGATGGTGGCAAAGTCCGGGTAAAGGTAGGCGTCATCGCAGACTCCGAGCCACCGGCCCGTGGCCAGGACGTGCTTGATGAACCATTGTGCGCCGGCCTCGGCCGCTTCTAGGTACTTCTGGTCTTTCAAGACCCGATACGCAGTGATAAACCCGTACCAGGTGGCACGGTTGTCTGTCAATTGTGGGTATTTGACGGTCTTGGGGTCGGATCGGATATAGCCAATGTCAAAACTCCCATCTGCTTTTTGCCAGCTCAGGAGCTTTTCTGCTGCCTTTTTGAAACGCGAGAATAACACATCATCTGTCGCGTTGAACAGCAAGATGTTGCCGACATCAGACAGCGTGTAGAATGTGGTGAAGAGCGGCGAGACATAGTCAGGCTCATTGTGGCCTATCCAAACGATCTCGCTCACAAACGCCCCGTTCTTGTAGTACTCTCCAAGGGCTGCCCCGTCAAATGGACCGCCAGTCGTGTCTTGCTGAGCGAGCTTGAAATTGCGTGCGTATGGCAGTCTCTCCACCAGCATCTGAGGGTCATTGGTGAGGTTTTGGACCATCCACATGGCGGCCACATCAGAGAGCTTGGCCGACTCAGCTCCAAGGGTGAGATTTTGGAATTTCCAGAGATTCCACTTCGAGGCAGGCGTAACGACAAAGTCATGGATACGATTCAGCCTCTCCCTGAGGGAAAGAAGATTCTTCGCCCGCTTGGCGTATTCGGACAAGGGATAGACCTCATTGTGGACGAACTTGTTCACCTCGAACCAGGTGTGGGGTTCATCCGTCACGACGTAGAGGAAAGTGGCGCTGACGCTGGTACCGGCGGACATCTGTGAGTGAGCCTTGCCAAGGACAGGGTAGTACGCCGTGGGAGAAAGGGTGCCATTACGGCTCCTCAAGCTCATTCCAACGTTCCACTGCTGCTGTCCTGAAATATCGCTGGAGGGGTAAGGATCTCGAGCCAATGATGGATGTGGCATAACTGCAAAATTCAGCTTCGACTGGGTGTCGGACAGGATGGAAACAAGGCTTGTCGTAGCTGCCTCGACAGAGACTAAGGGTTCGATCGGGACACCCTGAACATAGGTGTATGCCAAAGTGTGGTTGGATTCGACTTGGTTCGAGGACCAAAATCCAGGAACAACACCCCAGCCAAGCGCGTCGTCGGCGATGTCAACCACACGTGGGCTAACAATAGAGTACCAGCCACCGGCTTTTGGCACCCATGTCGTGTTGACAGAGATGACATCCCAGGAGCGAGAGGTGTCAATGCTCCAAGTCGCAGTGAAAATACCGTCTTCGAGGACCGATGTGGTGGTCACCGTACCCAGCTTGCACGATGATGTGATGTTCACGGGCGCGAACTCGGTGTAGTGGCCAGCTTGGCCATTCTGGACTGACAGAGTAGCCTGAGCAGCTGTGGTCTTGTTTGATACAACGGCGTAATGACTCTCAGCGAGAGATGACGCGTCTTTCCATTGGCCACCACTGCTCCTTGTCAGGATCTGGGTAGTCCAGCCATCTGAAGCTTGCGTCCACTTGACTTTCAGGGTTCTTCCAGAGATGACAGCGGTCTTTGGCTTAGCTGACGCCGCCGTGACAATCTGCAAGAGGCTGACAACAATGAGCGAATACCGCATGATGATCCGAGCCTAGGATGCCAGTAAGCCTGCCTTCCTCAAACTCCCTTGAGATGTTTGAGACATCACACCAAGACCCACGGCAAAGCTCATGGGTTCTTATACACACTTCAGAGGCCCAGATAGTCCGGGGAATGATCACCGTCCTTCACCCATCTTACCCCAATTCAACCTGGCTCCTCGTGAGGGGAAATGAGGTGTGGAGCACCTGTCAGAGACCAGCGAGGCGCCAACCGATCAAGGGTTCGACATCGCAAACGGGCTGGTAACAGAGCTACAAGATTATCCATCAAACACAAAAGGTTAGGCAGTGAAATAACCTGCGGGGTGCCCAGTAACGACCTACCTCCTATTCAGGCTTGAGGTATCTCTTGATGAACTTCCTGTAATCATTCTCATCCCTGCTTGCCCACATCTCGTAGGCCCAACCTCGATTAGTTGGCAGTGCAAGCCACCTTTCGATCGTGCCAAATCCATCATGGGATAGTTGCATTAGTAGCTGCACTAAAAGTGTTCCATGGCCTCAGGATCCAGCAGCCCTAATGTGGTGTGGACGGTTGCGGAGGTTCCTCCACACGGAACGCCCGTCCGTGACGGTTGCCAAGCTCTTCCCCACAAACAACTCTACCGAGCCCCAGGGCGGCGGTTCCGCTCATCATCCTCCCGATATGCCGGATGAGAGAGGCATTTACTAGGTACACTACGAAATCCCCCCTCCCCAATCCATCCTTGACACCTGTGCTACGCATAATGAGTTGCTGAAATTATCACTGAAGGAGGTTTAAGATTCAATAAAAACCACAATCCTGGTCACCAAGACAAGTGTTCGGCGGCGACAAGGAAATAAAGAGCGGTAGTTCTTTTTCTCTAGTCTACAAAATTTTAAGGATTTAAGTTTATAGAATACAACATTACCGTTTCATTTCTTCTATCAGGACCTTGGCCGTCCCTCTATCAGAGTCCTCAAAATGTGCTCGAGGTCAATTGTAATATGCCGCGGCACTTCTCATACGACGCCACCGGTCCAAATAGTCGCGACCGGGGGCCGGATGAGACTTGCGAGAGACTCTTTTTCGTTCAGTCAGATTCTCAATAGCTTGCAAGTACGCTCCGGCTAAGGGTAAACCTGGCCAAGGTTGTGAATATGGCGCCAACCACCAAAGTCGCGCCTGTGAACATGGATAATGCCAAGTAACCGTAGGTTCCCACAAGCTGCCCGCCGATGGGAGAACCGACAAGAGAACTGAACACGTTAGTAAATGGGCTGGGAAGGCCAGAACATGAGAATATGTACTTACGTGATGGCCATCGAACCCATTAGCAAACCCATTGCAGTGCCCTGGCTCTCATGGGTAGCAATCTTTCCCACACTCGCACCCTGGAGGCTCATAACAGCCTGTAGGAATTTAGCAAATGCTGTCTTACATCGCACGGGGCTTACAACTCGTGGGAGACATACCCCAGACGTGAATCCATAGGCAAGTGACCAGATGACTAGTCCAGCCAGGTTGACGATTGCCGTCCAGCAGAAGCCAACGACACCAGAGGTGAAAAGCGCCAGGATGAGGATGTTGTAGTGGCCATATGTGTCGGCAATATGTCCCGGAACAACCCTACCGACGAAGGAGGCAGCATTGATGGCCGAGATCATGGAAAAGGAGACATCGCTGGGCTGTCCGAGCTGGCTCGCGTAGGATGACACATAGAAAAAAGGCGCAAACATGCCTAGATACCCAATTGCTAGCCCAATGGCAAGGTAGATAAATGTCTTGCTCTTCAGCATTGCAAGCACTCCAGAGGCAGGCTGATCTGAGGGCTTCTCTGAGGCCTCAATAGCTGGGGTGTCTGTAACAGGGTTTGTGGTTTCGTCGGCATCTGATGAAGCTGGAGCTGGAGCGGGAGTCGTGGCTACGCGGGGTGCTTCGCGTACAGTGAAGCAGGCGATAAGTAGACATGGCAGTGTGATGAAGCCAAAAGTTCGCATGGTCCACCCGAAACTAACGTGATGATAGTTGAGCAGCTTGTCAAGGGTGATAGGCCATATGATGCCGCCGAGCGATGAGCCGCCAATGACCAGACCTAGCGCGAGACCTCGACGATGCGGCAAGTGCCTCGAAACAACTCCTACCGGAGGCCATGAAATGAATGGCATGCTTAATCCTAGCAACAATGACTGCGCTAGGAAGAACTGATAGTACTGAGAGCAGAGAGACGTCATGAATATCGCGAGAAGGTAGCCTGAGGAACCCAGGCAAAGGAGTTTCTTTGCGGTGGAAAGGTTAGCTAATTTCAATCGGGTGAGGTCTTACACGGGAAGTCGTACCGTAGGACCAACTCTATCGACGAGAATCCCCGCGACGGGGGCCAAGGCATAGAGAAGGAAGATTGCAACAGATCCGATCCAAGCAATCTCAGACTCTGAATGGTCATGCAACTGGTTCGCTTTGTACTAGGGAAGTGTTGTTAGCGATGGCGGTATTTCATGAGGTCAAAGAGAAAAGAAATACATGATCTTGGAAAAGTCCCCAAGCATTAAGATAGCCTGTAGTGCAAAAGAATGCCAGTGAGGCCCCGAGCACGGACAGATAGGCTCTCGAGTTGTGTGATTGAGACATGGCAAAGAGTGAGAAGGGCCAAATGCTGATGCTACTACACCGCACCACTGTACAAGTAGAGACGTGCTTGCAATAATGAGATGGAATATATAAATGGTAGCCAATAGGACTAGATAGCATCAATGAATAACAGGAATGCAGACCGACGGTGTAATATCAGATCTTATTCGGAGCTTCCACGGATCTCCACTATTGAACTAGAAGTATCGAACTACAAGTACAAGTAGTAACTACAGTTTCAAATGTCTCTTTTAGCACTGTGTGGATATCCATGGAAGATCCGGATGAGATGTCATTCTACAACCTCCGGTTCTCATTCCTTCCACAAATCGGATAATCCATGTATCAGACTTCGATCTTGTCGGTATAATCCTGAAGACTGCAGAGGACTGGCTCCAATAGAGAGGATGAAACGCAAGGCGTCGTCAGCGGCAGTGGCGGCACCCTCGGCCCCCCGCCGCCGTCAGCCGCAAATATCTTGCGACTTTTGTCGAAGCAAGAAGCTCAAGTGTGACAGAGGACGCCCCTGTCTCAATTGCTCCGTGCGAAAAGTCCCATGCGACGGGCCTCCGGAAGAATTCAACATAGGAGTATATCAACAGTGAGTTCCCATACTCACCATTGACGGAACAGGCGTACTAATCGGAGCATGACTAAAGGTTTCCCAGCGTACCAGGGGACGAGCTGCTAGACAGGCTACGTAGGCTTGAACAGGCTGTGTTCGGGGGCGAGAGGCTTGCTGGTGGCACAAATGCATCGTCGCCCCCGAACGAGCATCGCTCAAATGACCATAGAAACACCATTCGGACGAAGCATTCTGCACCATCACAGCTGATGGGCAACTCTGGTGCTGCAAATTACAGTTCTGTGGTGAGCTTAGATTGCAGCAAGCCATTTGCTCCCTTTCTCCTTTTTGACACTTGATACAGTTTCTGGATCACGGGCACGACTTAACGTTCGGGGTCTATCCGAGACAGCTGGCCGGTACCCAACATCCCGTCTTGCCTAATGGCGGCCCGCAGGATTGCGAGGGTGGTTCAAGAGATGTACGACTGCCGACAAGAGAGGATGCCATGTCCTTGTTCGATGAATACATCGAGAATGCCAGCTACCTCCTGCGCATAGTGCATGAGCCCACCGCTCGACAGATGATCGTCGACACTTACAACCGCCTCTCACATGGTCAGGAGGTGGAATTGGGTATCGCTGCTCTCATTCTTAGCATATGTGCATCGAGTGCTTTTCTGTGGAATGATAGAGGCCCCTCCTCGCTCAGGTTCAAAACGGCAGAAGAGGCGGCCCACCAATCGTTCCTCTGGCGCAAGGCGACTCTGGATATTCTTGATCAAAGTTCGCGGTCCTCTCCCAAGTCACTCGAGGCTGTTCAAGCCACCATGATCCTGGCTGAGCAGATATACAGTCTCGAAGGACTCTCCAGCACATACCACTACTTGCACAGCTGCTCTATCAGTGTTGCGCGGCAGATGTCACTTCACCTTGTCGACGCTCCCAATCAGCCTGATCAGGGCAATCTCATCACCCGCGAGTACAAACGCAGGATTTGGTGGTACCTTGCTTCAACAGATTGGTAAGTGGTACCCCATTGCCATGTCTACTGAGTTCGTCAAACTGGAGTATCTAACGTGGACTTTTAAGGCTGCTTGGCATCATGAATGGCGCCTTGGATCGAACTTACTTGATCAATCCAAAACATATGATTGTCAAGTACCCACGTCACCTCAACGATGAGGACGTGGCTACCTTTGCTGAGGATGAAGCAAGACCAGACACCCAGCCCACCGAGATGTCCATTTTCATCCAACGCATACGTTTGGCAGATACGTGCCGTCGGATTATCGACGGTCTTCCTCTAGGCATAGGTGAGATCGACGGCCTACCATACGAACAGGTTGAAGCACTAGATCAATTGTTCGAGCGTGATCTCACAAATCTGCTCCCGGCACTAACCCACCCTGACCCCCTGCCGCCAGAGGCGCCGGCCCGGTTTGCGTTTCAGAAGAAGACGATTCTCCTGGCGTACCACGCAAGACGGGCCCGACTTTTGCGCCCGTATCTCCGGCCAGGTCCCGCGCTACATGAACCTCTCCGCGACAAGCTCCGAGCCACATGCTTGAGGTCTGCGCATGCTGTCTTGCAAACAGCCTCAGCTGTCCTGCAGGACTGCCTCGGAGAGTCGACGATCGTCACGACTCCAGATGGTAGCATTGTGCAGAAACAACCCTCGTCGCACCGAAACGGCTGTATCATCAACCACCTGTTCATGTCCTGCATCGTGCTTGCAACCGACCCCACCCTCAGTCTTGGTGCGTCGAGCACGAGAGATGCAGAAGCGGAAGCACGAAGGTTGGAGCTTACTAATACAATCCAGTTGCTGGAGAAGGTGGGTAAGGACTCGGTCATGGTTACGAATATGCTGCGAGATCTGACGGGCATACTACGACGGCCCCGTAACCAAGGCGTTGGAGCTGTCGCCGATGCGGTGCCCTGTGAGGCGGCACTGCCAGCGCTGACTTCTCCTTCATTCAAGGACGCTGGGGACTGCACTGCTATCGCAAGTGACGGGAATGTTGATCCGGTCCAAAATGGGAGCTTCGATATGAACTCGGCGATGGACGCGAAACCGGAGTGGAATCTCGCCGAGGCAGACTCAATTGACCTGAACGAGATCTGGGACGAGTTCATTGGCAACATTCCGAATGCGGAGGGGTGGGATCAACTGTTTGCAGACCTGGACACCTTTCCAGTCCCAATATGAAGGCGCTTGCCCGTCAGGGTCAGAAGGCTTGAAAACATATCATTTGCGACATGACATTCGAGAGGCATGGACCATATTTTCTACACAATGAATGCCATATGCGTATCTTATCCCCTCCTCTCAAGCAAAGAGTCAAACAATGTCGTATCGAAAATCTATATCTCCGCCCCTGTCAAGCGCACACGTAGTGTTGTCCATTATCTCAATATAATCCGATGGACTTCATCAGCGACGGCGCCCGATACTCGTCGATGACACTACCCGGCTTGCTGTATTGGAGCGCGGGTTTGTATTCGTAGGGCAGTCCAAAGACTTGCGGACCGGCAATCTTCAACGCACGCTGCGTTGTCCAGAGAGGATGGGGCGCCATGATCATGACCGTAGCCTTTAAGCCATACCTGTAGTCTTGCACACCGATGGCCTCACCAGTGGAGGTATCGATCAAGACGATCAGATCGGGCACAGTCGCGATGACCTTGGAACCCTATCAGTATCAATGTAACAGCATCTTTTTTGAGTGAGAACACTTACCTTCTCCGACCCATCAGCCCTCTTCCTGCCGACGACACAAAGATTCTCGTTCATAAAAGGGACCTCGATCTCGTCAAATTCCCGACCCAGTCCATCGACACCGTTGCCGCCGTCATCCTCTCCATCATCCAGCTTCTCGATAATGACCTTACCGAGACTGTGTGCCGTTGCCGTGATCTTGGTCTCGACCGCGCGGATCTTGCCGCGGAACACCACGGCCGCACTATCTTGACCTCCTGCGGCCCTGATCAAGGCATCGGTGATGGATGCCGGACCCATCTGTTGCTGCTGTGCTATTGCAACGGCGCGGCCCAGTCGCCAGGCTAGCGAGAAGGTGTTGGGAATGCCGACCTCTCTCACGCGGCTGCCGGGTAGAGGAGGGCCGGAGGCACCAGCTGAAAAGCCCATGCTCGCGCAGGCATCACGGATCGAGCGTCCCGCCGAGACCTCGTCCGTCTGGTTCGCGGGCACGATCACGGTATCCCCTGTGCCGCTGCAGAGGGTCACGGGGAGAAGCTCGTTGATAGTCTTTGCCTTGACGTACGTCGAAACCATTTCGAAATTGGGATAGGCCCGCCCTATAATGATATCCAAGTCAGATTTTTCCCATCTTCATAGCTGTTGGGAAACTCCAGACACTTACCCATGAAGTCGCCGTCAACTGTCGGGATGTTGTAGTGACGAGAGGAGCCCCAGATCAACGTCGCCACACCGTTGCCCCCGCCAATCTCAGTCGCCGTCAGGCCATCGAACTTGACCTTCATCTCCTTTTCCATAGCCTTCATTGCGTGCAGAACACCCATGCCGCCTGGGCGCTCGATACTGACGGCCGGTGTGCCCACGCTCGCAACTGTCGGGAGCATATCATTATCCTTGACGTCTTCCAGCCGTATAATCTTGATCGTCTCTCCTTCCGAGACCATCTGCTTAAGTTCGAGATACGGCACGTAGGGTGATCCACCGCCGCCACAGCCAAGGATGTAACAACCAATGGCTAGGAACCTCAGGTCTGGCTCAGAGAGAACCCACTGTCCGTCTGTATCGATGGTGGGGCGGTAGGTAGCGAGGTCGATCTCCGCGTCGTCAGGAGAGTGGTCCTCAGAAGCAATATCATGTTCTTTGGCCTCTTTGAACATCTCGTGGTCTATTAGCTCGTCGGGTGCAGTAGTCTGTGTCATCGAGGCAAAGACCCGACCGTGGTCGGCCGGACAGGCGACCTCAACCTTGATCAGTGTCTGGCCATCTGTATATGGAACCCCAGACGCCTCTTCGTGAAGGATGGTGACTGAGCTGGCATCACCTCCCTTGGCCACAGCATTGTTGATGGCTTCCGCTTTAACTTCAGCGATGCCAGCCTTGATGCCCGAGCCGGAGATGATCTTCTCTGCGGCTCCGTGGATCTTGGCAATGGCAGCACCGATAGCATTAGCTACTCCAGCATGCTCTGGCAGGATCAGCTCACCGACACCGCTGAGCTCTCTCGGGCACAGGATCGAGCCGCCTCCCACTAGTATGACAGTGCAGGGATCTGGCGAGAGTTTGGCTCTGTCGATACACGACTCAATCATCTTTTTCATCCGAGCTTGTGCCTTGTTGACTGTGGCAGTGGGGAGCGAGACCAAGAACGTCCCGAGTTGGGCGCCAAGCGCCACTGCAATATCAGTTGTGGTTGCTGTATCTCCGCCAAAGCACAGAGCTCTGGTAGTAAGATCATGTCCCACGCTGTCCGGGCCGATGGTGACTTTGCCTTCTGCGCTTTCGTGCAAAATGGAACCGCCGCCCAATCCGATGCTTTCAACGGAGGGCATCTCCAAGTTCACTTTGACCCCTGCCAATGCTGTGAATGACTTGGATAGCCTTGGGTAACCGTTCTTCATCAGATAGCCCACATCGGTTGTCGTGCCTCCGATATCGACCACGATACTTCCGGACTGCTCTATCGACGTGTGTGTCAAGAAAGCAGCTCCTCGTATTGAGTTGGTCGGGCCGGAGGAGAAAATTCTGATGGGAGTCTGCATAGCTTCCGAGAAGGGGAGGAGGTGGCCTGCATTCGACGTCAGGTAAAGCGGACATTGCAGACCGATACGACGCATCGCGCCAATGAAGGCGCGGATAGTCCGTTGCGCAAAGCTCAAAATCGATGCATTGAGAATAGCCGCATTTTCGCGGGTCAGCAAGCCAGCTCCAGCAATATTGCGTGAGAGAACAATGTTGACGTTGTACCCAAGCTCTTGCCGGAGAACGTCATGCACTGCTTCTTCTTGGTGGTGATGAACGTCCGTCGTAGAGCCGATGCCAACAATCACAACATTCTTAAGCCCCTTCGATTTGATGATCTCGGCCTGTTCACGGACTGCAGCCTCGTCAATCGGTGCGATAAGAGTGGCGTTGATGTTGCATCCGCCTGGTATGATGGCAGAGTGCCCGTGAATGATTCTCTTCAGAGGCTTGGGCCAGTCCGTGAAAGGGGGTGTGCCCGTTGAGAAGCCGTGAGAAGCTAGCCTCAACACAGCTACCTTCTCCACGCGGGACGAGTCTCGCTCGATAATAGCGTTAAGAAAATGCGTAGTTCCGATCGCCACGGCTGCAATGTCCTCACCTCTCCTGCTCGAAGCTGCTATGAGCTCCTTAAGGCTTTCATAGACAGACAACGTCACGTTGGATGTGGTAGATGCTTTGTGCGAGGCTACGACCGCATCTTTTCCCGACTTGGACATGTCCAGGAGGACGCTGTCCGTATTCGTTCCTAGGTGTCCACGTCAGCTAGCTGAGCTTGGGTCGAACAACCAGGGACAGGGAAGTCTACCTCCTACATCAACTCCCACCACCAAAGCTCCACAGGAAGGCATACCGGTTCGACCTCCTGCTAGAAAGGAGGAAAGACCGTTTCCAACCGAAGTGCTAGCCCCCTACAAGATTGTCGTCCCTTCTGCCTTAACTTTGGCCGAATGGGCTAGAAATAGCGCGCTCTGTCGGTCGATCGGTCTCAGGTCTGATCAGGCTATATCGAGGGATATTTGTAGATGGGTGACACGAAGTAGCAAGCCGGCATCACTGACTTCCAGTGCGAGTCAACAAAGAGCCTTTGATGGTTTCCCAACCTGTGAATAATTATCTTCGTCGCCAAGCCAACCCTGCGATAACCGGACCGGATCCTCCAAGATGCTCCTCCCACCAGGTGGATCACCCGGGGCTTAGCGTGAGCCCTCGGCAAATTATCTAATCAGATGAGATCTGAGCAGTTTCTTGCTACTTTCGTAAGCTACCTATATCGGAGGACCAAGACGGACCATACTCACGCGGTGTGAATCTCGGACATATTCGTCGCCCCAGCCGGGGACCCACAACTCAGGCCGGCACGGGCTCTGAGTTTCAGTCAGTCAGAGAATCAGTGAGTAAGCATGCCAATTGTGGTCCGGGCTGAGCTCAGATCAGCCCTGTGTAGCGATCACCAGTCACACTTGGCTCCAGGCCAATGAGCTGGCCGCCTGACTCGAGCGCTGTGCTCATGCTTGTCTCAGATCAGTTCCTGCATCCAAACACCACCCCGGATTTTCCACCTTGGCATTAGGCTATGAGGTATCGATGAACATCAGCCCTCGTATTTTCGGGTTCATTGGTCTTGGCAGCCTCCCAGATCGGCCGCTACCAGCCAGAAACCGTGCGAAAGGGAGAAGGTCCAGGTGATGCTCAGCTCCCGATTTCAGCCAGTCGAGAAACCTGTGTTACGCTGGTACGGCTGAGTTTGGTCACGTCGACCCGGAATTTTTCACGCAAGGGGAGCAGCGGAATGCAGGCCATTGGGTGACTTGCAAAAAAGAATAAATTATCCCGCCGTTTCCCCGCAAGTAGGAGAGCGTTTTAAATAATGTGGCTTTTCTTGGCACAACAAATGTCGCCAAATATAGCCGGAAAGGAGTACGACACGGAGAAACAACGAGAACAGCAGAAAAAAACTTTCTTTTCGCTCCATCGTGCCGAGAAGTAAGCATGGACAGACCTCACGCCGAAGGATTAGTCCATCTTGGGTTACACCTGAGCTGATCTTCGGTCCGTTGACTGTGTTACGTCTCTCGCTTGACCTATCTTCAAGTCATAATTATGAGTATATAACAACACAAGCATTTCCCATTCTGGAGAGTCTCGTTGAATACACTCATCAAACAGATCTTCTCTTTAAAGTCTCCAGACTCTTCAAAATGGTCAACATACTTTCCAATATTCTCCTCCTTGCAGTTGCCGCAACCAGCGCCAACTGCGCTGCTGTCTGCGAGCCCTCGCCGACAAAAGTGCCAGAGCCGACACACACCTATCAGTCCTGCGGTGGCTTCCGTATCAGCCCAGTTCCCTGCCCAAAGGGCCACATTTGCGTCGACGACCCCTATAAGGGTGGATGCGGTATGGCCTGCGATATGCCAGGTATTTGCGTCAAGCCGGTCTTCTGCGGTGGCTTCGCAGGCATCCAGTGCAAGGGTGGGAAGAAATGCGTCGATGATCCTCGTGACGACTGCGATCCGAAGCATGGAGGGGCCGACTGTGGTGGAATCTGCATTTAAGATCTGTCAACAAGTTGCCTATTAATAGACTTTTGAAAACGACCAAGAGTCAGGGTACCGATCAGTTCGATTTGGTTGACGTTCACGTTCACAGTCAAGTTGTATTTGCAGAAACATCAAATGCCTGAAATACGAATCTGGAGTTGCTCGTTATCGTATATGATTCTAGCCAAATCTAAATGCCAAAAATAATGATGATGATCCCACGATTATGGTGAAGCCATTCGCTGCATGATATGATTTCCCCCCATTTGGCCCAAGATGCACGCATAAACCCCAACGCCCATGAAAACAGAAAGAGCATTACTGGCACTGAGCCCACCACTGACTCGACGTCACGCATCTATAAGGAGACTTGCACGCAGTCGAACCCGTGTAGCCAATGCCTCCGCACTGGCCCCACTGCGGCACGGTGCCAGTAGAAGGAGAGCCGCCGCCCGAGGAGGGGGGGTTCGAACCTCCCCCGGACTGGCCGGTCGACTTCTGGCACGAAGACCACCAGTCCCCGCCCTTGACGCAGACGAGGCCGGACTGGCACTGGGTGGAGCCCGTGTACCCGATGCCGCCGCACTGCCCCCACTCAGCGACCTGGCCCGGGGATGGGTTGTTCGTAGGGGTGGTGGGATTCGACGTGGTCGCCGGCCTGGCGGTCGTCTTGAGCGTCGAGGGCGGCTGCTGGGCGCCGCCGGCCTGGCAGGATGACCACCATTGGCCGCCGTAGACGCAGACGTAGGGGGGCTGGCACTGGGTCGGTCCGGTGTAGCCCTGTCCGCCGCACTGGCCCCACTGGGGCACGAGGCTGGACGACGGGTTCGACGCGGTGGTGGCCGGGGTCGAGCCTGTGGTCTTGGGGGTAGACTGGGGAGGGGCCGCGGTCGTCATCGTGACCGGGCGGCTGGAGACGGGGACGTTCTGGCCGAGGTCGGAGACAAGCCCGTCGAGGAAGCCGGTGTTGGCCCACATCTGCGACATGTCCCAGACCATGACGCCGCCGAAGCTGGAGAAGGACTTGCAATACTTGATGACGGGGGCGAGCGCCGAGGCGGACATGTAGCCGGCGCCGGCGCCAGAGTTGCCGGGTATGCCGAGGAGGACCTTGACGTTCTTGTTCAAGCTGACCGTCTTGGCCCAGTTGTCCCAGGTCTCGAAGTTGAAGTTGAACTGCGATGACGTGCCCGGGGTGAAGGACTGAATGCCGCAGTAGTTGTTGTAGAACTGCACCAAGATGAAGTCGAAGTACACGGCACCGTCGAGCATGTCCTTGTCGGCCTGGTCGGGGTAGGGGCACTGCGGCGCAGCAGACAGGTAATACTTCTTACCGCCGGCGGAGTCCATCAGCGTCCGGAGGCGCTGCCCGAAGGGAGCCATGTTGGTGGTCACGGACTCGAAGTCAAAGTCGAATCCGTCGACAACGGCAGTACCGAAGGGGCGCTTCGCCGTGCTGCCGGACTGCACGGGGCCAAACATGGCCCAGATGTTGTTGGCGGCCGTGATGGCAGCCGCAGAAGAAGGGAACCCGCCCTCAGTATAGGTGGCGCCACCGATGGACAGCAGAATAGTCTTGCCAGCTGCCTGGCATGTTTTGATATCGGCCCTGCGCGAGTTAGCCCGGGGTTTCCTCGGAATGTCAAGGGAGGCTACTGCAATAACTTACTCAATCTCGGGGCAGCTTAGTAGAGTAGTACCGGCGAAGACATTGCATCTATCGCCGGCATTGGCAAAATTGACGGTAGTTGGGTTGACGATGACGTTCAAAAACGCCAAAGGAATGATCTACATCTTGTTAGTCCATCGCACAGTACCTCGCAGTCCATGGCATGGATGCTACTGTACTTACGTTTACATTGGTATCTATTGCGTTCAGTCAGTCATGTGTCTATCTTCATGTATGGAACAAGACTTACTTTGGCAGTAATATGATAGCCTTTGTTGAGCAAGATTGCCGCTACCTTGGCCATAGGAATTTTGACCTAGATAGACATGACTGGTCAGTACTAGCATCGATGGTAGTACAACAGGGACTACATACCCCAATAGACAGCAATGTTGTCTGACCTTCCGGAATTGAAGCCAGCACTGACAGTCGAGACACCAAGAGCCAGGCTGGCAAGGAGAGTGGTAGCCCCTGAGGGAAAATGCATTGTAAGAGAGCGACTGTCAAAAAGAGAGAACGATATAATGAATGTCAGTATCCCGAAGGGAAAGGAACGAGCTGCCAGAATGCCTTCACATCCTTCCCGGGAACGTAAAGGCGGCTGGATAGCGAACCCTTATATTATCGTGTCACACGGAGGGAACCTCTGCCGCGAGTGGCTTGACATGCCGTTTGCAAAGCGCGTCTGGGAAAGGCTGGATGAGTCTAGGGAGTGAGAAGTGTGCTTGGCTAACACGCTTGCACGCACAGTGAACAGCTGCGTTTGGCTGGAGACGAAGACCCTTTACTGGCCGCCATATTTTCGAGACATCCAATCCTGTCCAGCGTTAGACAGGGTCGCTACTGTGTCATGTACGATCAGGAATGGAGGCTATGTCACAGGGTGGTGTGCCACGGGCGAGGCCCACCGGCCATTTCCGTCCCAAATGAGGACGTCTGTGACGCGATTTCAGGGCCATCTTGGGGTATTTGAAGCGCCTCGAGAGTTTTCCTGTCGCGAGCGAACTGCTCCTCACGGGGCTGCCCCAAGTGAATAATGCCCTTCATGGTGATGGTTGTATGTGATCTGATCTTTGACGTCTGCAGCTTCTCCGCTTCCCGACGTCATCGAGAAAATCTTCGAACAGGTATCCCGAAACACAGGTACGCCTGGAGAGATGGATCTCCGTGTCTCAGCCGGGTGCGACGCGTGCGCGGGTCCAGAATGTACCACGCGACATGGCAAGCCAGGGATGAGGGTCGGGAGCCGCCTATGCGTTCCAACCACCTCCGTGGCGGGCAGGCATGCAACTTGGCAATCCCCGATAACTTGAATCTTCTCCAGCCCGGCCGCTAAGAGACGCCATCTGCCCTTAGCTCGCTTATTTCCCCTTCTGAGAGATGGGGCTCAAACACGTTCTTAGGCTAGATCCTGGTCCATCGCCACCCGCCCCTTGCGTCAGAACTCCCGATGAGCTTAAGCTTACATTCTTCAACGCAGGAACGTGGGTCCAACACCAAGGGCTGGGCTTCACACGCAGGATGGAATTGGGTGACGAAGCCTTCTCCAGGAACGCGTGCATGGCGAAGTGACATTTTTAGACGACGCTGGACTTGACGGCGTGGCGATGAAGTCGCACAATTCTATCTCGATATATGATACCATATCACCCACCGCAAAATATTTAAAACAGGTAGATGCCGTCATTATCTTTCCAACCGTTGGGTACGATAGAAGATGCCGGCCAGAGTCTGAAGAAGCGCATCTAGATCAGTAATACATGATGCTCCCCCAGTGTCGGCCGCCAACGCATCTCAAACCCATCATCGTCAGTCTACTCTGGCTTTTGGCCGTACCAGAAATACACATTGTAATACCTGTGCACCGAGTCGTCGTTGGCAGCCTGCCTGATCTTGGCCGCCCAGACCTCCCTCTCCTCTTCCGAGTAGCCCAGAGCCGCGAACGGCTTCCCCATGACCGACGAGAGCGAGTCGAGCAGCGCGAGCTTGGCGTACTGGCCCACGAGCCGGAGCGTCTTGTTCCTGGCCCAGGTGCCGAGCGGCGCCTTCTTGACCACGCAGCGCACGTTGGTGAAGCCGGCCGCCTCGAGGACGGCGCCGAGCGGCGCGCTGCCCTTGTCGAGGTCCATGCCGAACTTGGCCATGGCCTCGACGCAGGCCGAGTAGAAGTTGGCCAAGACGTCGTCTTGCTTCATTGTGCCGTCGTCGCATTGGGGCATGCCGTGACTTTCCTGAAACTCGATCCACCCACCGGGCTTGACGTGGCTAAGAACGCAATCAGCTCTCTTGCTTTGGTTTGCCGCATCGGATTAGATGGACTAGATGTAGAACCCACGTAAAGGTCTGGTTCAGGACTTTGTCCAAGTTACGCAAGACAACGGCCATGCTGCGGCAGTGAACAAAGTCCCAGTCTGAGCCATTGACCCACTCGTCTTCAACATCGTCGACTATGAATCGTAGATTGGGTGGCACCCACGTGGGCTGGATGGGTGATAAGTCGATTCCAAGGACTTCGGCACCCGGAAAGCTATCTGCGACCTCCATAGCCCAGATGCCTGCACCTGGTTAGTATGATTCAGTTCCAGGTGTCCGAGATTGCTTGCCTGTTCCTGTTCCTAGATCCAAGATCTTTTGAGGATTATCGCCAATGGGAGAGTAAAACAATTTGCCATCCTGATGCCCAAAGTTAGGAAGAGACGCATGAGAACAAGCCCACCTATTTCTTGGTCGAGATAAAGCTTACCGTAAGCTCCATGATCATAGCATGCTTCATATCCTCCCGATTCTGTTCAATATCGTCATTAGGAATCGGGTAGCGTCCATGCTTATAAGAATGATACCGGCGGCCATTCTCGAATTCGTACTTGTATACGCTTGACGCCAGAGATGTTGACGCGACGGTTGAGGTGGCGTCCCATCCTGTGGTCAGAAACTCATCCTCCTCACGGGCTTCATCTTGCCGAAGAGGCTCGATGGGTGTATCTTGGGCCGCTTGCCCCTCTCCCGTTGCTTGCGGCGAGTTTTGGTGTCCTCTGGGCGTTGCCATCTGCTCTTCAATGACTTAAAGTGGTTTCCAAAAGCCCAGTGGTCGACGAGTGAAATCAGGCAATCCAGACGGGGACTGAGGACAATTTTGTGCTATTTAGAGGTAAGCTACCTTCGAAAGAGTAGATGCCGTGCGATCCAGAGATTTAAAACATGTGACGAGTTGCATCTCCCCCAGCGGGATGAAGCGAACAGCTCCCCTCCCGAGAACCGCATATTGCTGTAGGCGAAGCGGGATTCGAGTGGCCAGACCACCTGTCCATTGGAAACAAAAAACCTCCGAATCCGGTCGTGCACTGATTCAAGTACGCCTTTGCAACTGCCAACGACCATCCCCGACATATTTTCTCAGGCCAGTGTGGCTGTTGTGCGTACTGACAGGATCCCTCTCCTCAGCTCTCGGTTGCAACTAGGGACGTTCATTGGATTCGGTTATATGCCCTGACTTGGGGGGGGGGGCCAAACCCAGTACGGAAGCTGGTAGACAGCGAACCCTCCATCTTTTTCTCTTCCACGGAAGGGTTTCCGACCATACTTAGGAACGTTTGAGGCCATAGTTCACGTCCTCATATCACACACTCTCTAAAGGATGCGCTATGCCAATACCTAGAACAATGGAGTAGCTGATTCCCAGCGACCGGCTAGACCCGAACATCATTCTGTCGACAGGTAGATGAGATGGATTCGTTACTAATCCTGCTTGGTCTTCTGTCCCGCGATCCCACCGACCGGGAGAGGGTGAGGGTTGCTTCCGCAGTGGGGATGACTGCACGGAAATGGGGAACACGGCCAAGAAGAATAAGGGCTTGCCCCAAGCGGAGAAGGAAGGCCTCCGGCCGTGCTTCTGGAAGCGACTTTGTTACCAGGTTTCGATCAAACATGATATGCACACGATGCAGTGTTCGTCAATCCTTGCTGTACATACAAGTGTGATAGACTCAAATCGTCTTCGTAAACATCAAGTCGATGAGTTTCTGTGGTGGGGACGAGCCCGAGATGCAAGAGTGTGTTGCTATACGTCTTCTCATGGAATTAGGTAGGCTTGAACGAAACGGTTGCATGGGGAGGGTAGTGATAGCGCACCGGATGCCGCGAGGATTGATAACTACTGGTCGAGACCATTGTTTCCAGTTCAGTACGAGAGGACCTAATGATGATAGACATACGAGGTCATCTTCATGATTGGCCTTTGGCCGCATCCCGACAGAGTCTTGGCGATCAAAACCCACGCCAAACAAATTGCCTCGATTGGAAAAGCTTCCCCGACTAGGCAGACAGATATATCTCAACCATGGCAAGCAGGGGCCGGGCAACCCCTCACGAAACCTTGATAGCAGATCATCAAAATGAAACTCTCAAGCCTGTTCCTAAATGGTGGAGTTTAGTTTAAGCTAATGGGGCTGGCTTATCAATCCACCCGGCACTGGCCACTGCCCTGGTTCGCGTGGGTAATAGCCGGGGGCGATCCCTCCTCGTAGCGACGACGTGATATATCCCTCTATTTGACATGACGATATGAAAGCCAAGACGTCGATCGCCGAAGGCATAACACTGCTAATGCTACTGTGAATGGCGTTCATACCCAAGACGGCAAAACGAGCTCCGCATCCAGGATTGCTTTGGGAAGGTCGATGGGCGGCCAAGTTGGCCTTGATGGCATGCTGACATCGAGTCGGGGGGGATGCGCACACCGGTGTGTGGAATGGATCAACCACAGGGATATCTCACTCTATGTCAGAGGCAGTACGGCACATATTTAATCTACGCAGGACAGTCATCATAGCCCTCACGAGGGACGACGTGGAGGCACTCCTGTTCATAACAGCCACAAAGGTCACCTGGTGATACTCGCTGGTGCAATCGGTCACAGCAAAGAAAGCGCCCAAGCAAGTAGACATGGCTCGACTAATCTCCACGATGAGGGGGGCCGCGCTCGCGCTCGCGCTCTTGGTTGCGCAGGCTGCTGCTCAATGCCCTGGCCTCAACAACCAGTTCGCGACGACGATGGGCGCCGGGTACGAGAACCAGCTCATTGCCAACGGTCTCCGGAGTCCCCGGGGCATGGTCTTCGACAAGGAGGATAATCTCTTGGTCATTGAGCAAGGTGGGGGTGGGCTCAGGCAGATCAAGCTCAATGCCGACGGGTGTGTGACTTCCAGCAAGACCATCATCAGCGACTCCTCGGTATGTTCGTTCCTCTTGATGCGGCCTAAAACACCTAGCTAACTGGGAGACTCCAAGCTCAATCACGGCGTCGACATATCCGCGGACGGAAAGACTGTCTTCGTATCTTCGCTGGAGAGCGTCTTCGCATACGACTATGACGCAGCTGCCGGCACAGCGACAGGCAAGAAGGTCATTATCAGCAACATGCGCAATGGCGGCCACAGCACGCGGACTCTGCTCCGCAGCCGGACGGACCCGGACATCCTGCTCGTGTCGCGCGGCTCCAACGCCAACATCGACTCGGCCACCACAGACCCTGCCTCGGGACGCAGCCTGATTCGCATGTACAGCATTGCCGAGATCACCAAAACCGCGGTCGACATGGCCACGGGCGGCAAGCTGCTCGGGTACGGCCTCCGCAACAGCGTCGCCGTGGGGGAAAACCCTGTGACCGGCGAGGTCTACTCGGCCGAGAACAGCATCGACAACGCCATGCGGTTCGGCAAGGATGTGCACAATACTCAGCCGGCAGAGGAAATGAACTATCATGGCCGGATCAACGACACGAGCAACCCGCTCCTTGGAGCCAACTACGGGTATCCGACATGCGTGGCTGCGTATGAGCCTGTGGATCAGCTTGGGAACCCAGAACTGCAAGTCGGTTCGCACTTCGCGCCGAACACGGCAGCCGGGGATGCAGTGGATGCTGTGTGCGAGGGTATGCAAGAGCCCCGTCTTGTATTTCCCGCGCACAACGCACCCCTCGATCTCAAGTTCGACCCGACCGGCAGGGCTGCTTACATCGCCTTTCACGGTAGCTGGAACAGGTCGCCGCCAGATGGATACCGGCTCATGAAGGTCGAGTTCGGTGAGGACGGCCAGCCGGTGCAGCCGGCCAACAGCACGAACGCAGCAGTTTCGGTCATGGCCAACACGAACCTTGCCGTATGTCCCGGGCAGTGCTTCCGGCCGACAGGTCTAGCATTCGACTCGAAGGGACGGCTGTTCATGTCGAGCGACTCGTCGGGCCAGATCTTCTTGATCAAAGGCACTTAGATGTACGTAGTTCGTCTGCTATGTGTAGATGCATGTTGCCGCGCGGGTGGCGTTGGACCCGAGGTACGTAGCTGTGCCGGGACAGCTTCTGGGAGGGTTAACCGCATGACGTCAATTGAACACTTTGTTTCGACTGCACAGTCCAAGCTCCTCAAGCTCTGAGCTCGAGACTTCGTTCCTTGCCAGCCCGAGGTGAGGTGAGCCGCAGGCAATGTGAATCGGTCCCCTGGCACACGGAACATAACCTCGGTCTATTAGCTGGCGGGTGAATGGCTGTGGGGAGAGGTGGCTGCTGCGTGGAAATGAGCGCGCGCTTTGGGATTGGCGTGTGTTCTAGGTCAAGCGGAATCGCCCGACTGGCAATGCTCCTTGACGAATTTCAGAGCCCACGTGATGGCCTGAGTTACTGAGCCCCGTGCCCCACCCCCAGAGTCGCGCCCTGAAAGGGTGGCGGCAATTGCGGTCCAGATCGCATGTGCTCCAGGCGGTATTGTACGGTTTTAGTGGGCTTTCGTCCCCCGCAAATCCGCCCATCGCACCACTGTACGCTGATGGTCACCCCACCGTGGGACATGACCAATGCAGTCCTGCGCTGTTCTTGCAGCGAGCACAGAGCATTTGCTCCATTGGGCATCCCGGCAGAGCTCGGCTACCGCATTGATAGGACGGTCTTGTAAATGCCCATCTTGCGGGGCATCTCAGCGTAGAGTCATGTTAGACGAAGATCCCTCGACACCTCCCGATACCTTCAAATAGTCCGACCTGCCCAGATCCGACCTATTTTCGCATTTTTCAAGATTAGTCTAGTTACTACCATCCTGATCAACAAAGCACATTTCTCCTCTCGCACCTATTCTAGGAAAGGCTTTACAGGCTCAGCATTGCTTCTCCTTTACACCAAGACTGCAACACCTCGGAATCGCCTCCAGCCATCCTCGTTGACTGGCGATACATAACCTGCTTGTGCAATATACGCCTCCAGAACAACATTCACAATGAACCCGCAATCGTCAAGGCATCTGTCCACGTCGGCCAGAGTGCATCCTCGGATCCTGCCCTACCTGCATCCCAAGCCAGTCCCGGGCCCTGCAAAGAAGTGGTGAGCATTACTTGGTAACGGGTTGACAGACCCTCGAGACCATAAGCTAACGCAATTCACTGCACAGGCTCCCAGCGCTTGCAGGTGTCGCAGCTGTCGGCTATGGTATCGTGTCCTACCAAGAATCACATCGGCAATACGCCGCTGCCCAGAACGCCTTGTTCGAGCTCGAGGAGACGGAGCGGCAACGGCAGAACAAGATGCTCATGGACGCCTACGGTGATCGATCGAACCTCGAGGAGCTCGAGAAAGCTATGCAGCTCTACGACTCACAACACAAGGATCATTAGATCCATTGCTGGGGAGCTGGCTCGGTAGTCCGAACTCTTGCTCTTCCCCAGCCCCAGCACTTAGACAGCCTGCTCCACGGCGCCGACCCACCGACCAGGAATTGCCAATTGCCAACGCTTACCGAATGCCCGAACCTTACGAATGAATGACTTTCCTTTTCCCAGAGCTGAAATAACGCTCTCGAATACATGATGGCAGCCTTTGGCCGCAAAAAGCCGTGCCCATGGTTAGCAAGTGGTGGTGGTTGTGGTTGGTGGGTGGTGCCTCTGCGGCAAGCACGCATTGACTCATCCTTTCCCGAGGCATGTGAGAGTCACCCGGGTGGGGCCGGCTCAGAGCTCTCACTAAAGAAGCGCGTTTTCGAGCTTCTAAATCCTGTATCATATTACGAACATTGCATTTCACGGATCGGCAAGGCGTATCAAAAGGTTGATTTGCTCTCCATGTATGGAAGAGGGCGTTGGGGATTAGGTATGAAAAATATTAAGCGGCACAGGGAAATGCCTGCCACTGCTGCAGGCTTCCTATGCATTGCTGACAGCGGCAACAACCACTTACATAACCTCACTGAGCCAGGGCACCAGTGGCTCTGACGATCTCCCTACTTAACCCCCTCCAATAAGAGCAGTGATTCTTTCAGCTTACCAAAGAAAGTTTGGTCAGTGAATGTTGACAGCATGCTCATTGGGTGCCGGGCGGCACATCCCTGCCGCCACCACGGCTTCTCGATACGAGATACGGCACCGAGCCAACTCCAGCCAATCCCACGGCCTGCCCGTGCACCCTGCCCGCCTGAGCCTCAGTATGACGTTGGCGACAGCTGGCTTTGACAGCGCGTGCAAGGCATCATGGCTTTGCTATATCATCCCCGTGGTTCTCCCCTGGATATGAGGAGCGCAGCCAGAACTTCTTCCAGATTATGCACTGTTGGCCATCCTTACATGCTCAAGTCCATATTCATGAGCCACTGACCATATCAACATCCTGAAGGCATCAAATCATGGGTGCTGGCCCCTCTAGGTGAGTTCATCCGCAAGCATACCCAGCGAGGAGCCATTAGTGACCAAGAGGACAGACCACCTCCACCACCTCGCGTGGCCATGAAGCTGGCTGGGACCACCATCCAGATCCAGCATCTACCCCCTCTCATCCGGGCCCAAACAAAGGAGGGTATCCTCGGAGCTGTCCTGGCGCGGAACCGCTTCCTCTCGAGTGAGGCGAGAGGCTCGTCTTCGTCTGCAACTACCGAGACGCACAACAAGCTGTCTGCATCCATCGCCAGGGCGCACCGTGATGGCTGTTTCCGGGACTACTTGGTGCTGCTCGTGGAGAAGAGCATGTTCGGCCTGTGCACCAGATCCGGCGTGGTCCCAGGGCCGCTCTTGGAGCTGGCGCGCATGGTGAACCCCTTTCTCGACCGGGATAGAGAGGGCGCAGCCCCCTCTGATCCGGACCTGTCCGCTCTGCAGCCGCTCCCAGATGGCAGAGACGGTGCTCCACTGCAGACTTCGCCGTATCCCACCACGTTTCGGGTGACTGATCTAGAGCTGGTGACGGGAGAGGAGAAGGACCTGCTGGTGTTGCTGTATTACACTCACGACATGGATGGGTGTGCAGACGAAGCCATCGACTTCATCAGCACGATCGCGGATAGGGGCTTGAAGGAGGACACTCTTGCTCGCAGGAGGGAGCCGTTCACAGAGACCGAGGTAAAGTTTTGGCATTGAGTACCGACCTCTCCAACACACATATCAACCACTCACACATTTGACAGATCTACACCTTCTGGGCCATGTCCTACATCACCAGCCACCTCGCCAGCCGCTCCTCGCCTTCCCCTTCTGTAGGAACGACGACGACCACCACAGCAGCAGCCAACCCTCCACAGCCCCTGAAGCTTGCACCCCAAGCCGCCAACCAACTGCGAGCCGAATCGCAAACGCAGGTCCACCGCCTCTTCACCATCTGCGACATGCTCCTGCACGACCACCGCCTCGACCAGATCTGCCTGCTGCAGCAGCAGCTGCAGCAGCTGCCGCCGCTGCGCCGCGGCGCCGACCAGGTAACGGTGGCCCGGGTGCACTCGCTGGCCCGGCAGATGAGGAAGAGGAGTAACAGCGACGGGCGCGACGTCAAGGTGTGGCACATCGCCTACGCCGACTCGCTCGTCGCCGGGCTGCGGCCGGCCAAGCCGCGGCTGAGGTGGAGGCGGGTGCTGGGCTTTGCGGCGCCGGCGGAGGCGGGAGGCGGTTGAGATGGGCAGGGTGAAGAAGGATTGAAGGGGGAGAACACGGGGATGGGATAGGACGGCTGGGTGGGATAGGGCTGGATCGGCTCGGGAGGACAGTGTTCAGGGTATGGGATTTTCAGTTTTACGGTTTTATGACCTTATGACTTGTGAGTTTGGATATGCAAGTGCGCTTAACAGTGTGCACGATTATGGATAGGTCTGCAATGAATAATATCCTCGGATTGCTATGCTGCGCTCCCCCCCTGAGACATCTTGTGTAAGTCTAGCCAGGAGGATCGGCGTGTGTTGTGGCAGGACTGGCTGCATAGCAAACGATGGTTATTCAGCAACAACCTTCAGACCAAGTCTCAAAATCACGAGAAGAAATTGATATTTCGATGATCAAGAGTCAATGACAGGTTGGATGTTGTTCCTTAAGTGCAAACCCTTCATTCAAGAGTGGCGGGACTGCTTGTGCAACACCAGTCCGTGGACAGGGAGAGGTTGGTTCCAGCGGGCGCTGCCGCTGATCCCGCACCTAACCCTCCCCCAGAAATCCCACCCGCCATTGCGCGAACACAAGGTTTCAGGAGGTCAGCATTCTCCCTTATTACAGCCCGTTCGCCCACCATCTCTGGCAATTCTGGAGGTCGATGACGCATTTACTGAAGATTTCCCGGTGAAGGCATATGCTCGCTGGCCCCGTTCCAACCTCAGCACGGAAATCTGTGTGACCCTTGCAGCCCCTGCGTGGTGTGTGGCGCTGCTCGACAGCCAGAGAGGTTGCATACTGGCATTGAGATACTCCTCGGGTGCGATCATGAAGGGGGTCGCGTGCATTGATGCCAAATATCAAGCGATATTGTCAACTTAGCACACAGGAACTCGTTGAACCAATTGCCTTGCTTCCATGGTGACCTGGCCTCTGTTCAAAGCACACTGTTTTTCAAGTGTCCGTCTCCTCAGGCCGCGATCGACGACGTACGCAATCTGCGTCAATCCGGATCCAACTCCAGCCGATTGTTATCCACCTCCAGAAGCTTGACAATGACAAGCAAATAGGATGGAGGCACAGATCGCCCGCACATGGCAAAAGGCGGCCACTGTTGCGTTGCGTCGCGCCCTGAGCAGGCAGAGGAATGCGCGCCAACCCCGTTTTTCGTTTGACCATGGCCCCCGGAGGAATGAGCGGAAATTCAGGAGCAACCCGGCGCCCGGAAGGCGTTGGAATGCTGGCCCAGACGGCGGGGACCAGCCGAGCGCACAACAACAAAAGGGCATGCCGGACGCCACCTTGTTTCTCTTCCCGCCGTCTTCTGCTGAACGGGCAGGCAAGGACATGATATAAGCTTTCAACGTGCGACGACCTGACACGGAAGCCAACAGGTGGTGATCGCCCGTCTCTGAGAGACTCTGATCGTCCTTTGTGTAACTCGGTGCTTACACCGGGGGTATCACCACATCTCAACCCGTCAACCGCGAAAATGAGGCTCGACATGTACTGGACCGCGTTGGTCCTCTTGTTGCCGACTGTGGTGTTCTTGACGGGACGAAACCTGCTACTCAGACCATTTCACAAATTCACAAGGATACTCCGGGGAAGCGGGCAGAGCGAAGAGCGGGAGGAGGTCGTGTGCTGCAACGAGAAGGATGAGGAGGCGAGTCGGTTTCGCCGAATATTCCTGCAGGTCTACCTGCTGGTGATGGGGTCAGAATGGCTTCAGGTACGGTCCATATGCACGAGCTGTTCCAACGGGGACGAGATACTAATTCCGGCAACAATAGGGTCCGTACATGTACACACTTCTCCGAGACGAGAAGGGCCTCGACGAGTCCACCGTCGCCTGGCTTTATGCCACAAACTACATCGCCGCAGCCGTGTCGGCTCTGGGCGTTGGTTTCCTTGCGGACCGGTTTGGGCGGCGCCTGGCCTGCCTCGGGTTCTGCATTATCCACTCGATAGCCTGCCTGACAGTGCTGTCCTCGAGCCTGCCCGTCATATTCCTGGGCCGCGTGCTCTCGGGCGTCGGCCTGACTCTGCTGTGGACCGTGTTCGAGAGCTGGATGGTGACCGAGTTCAACGCGCGAGGACTGCACGCGAGCTCCATCTCGCTGACGACCATGTTCGGGATCATGACGACGAGCAACTGCATGTGCGCCATTCTGGGCGGAGTCCTGGGACACTGCTTGGTGCTCGCATTGCGCTCAAGGACGAACCCGTTTGTGCTGGGAATTGCACTGGAATTCGTCGCCGTCTACCTGATGTTCCGAGACTGGAACGAAAACTACGGGACCAGGCAGACCACCGACGAGGAAGAAATCTCGGAAGCGCCAGAGAAGTCCAGCGAAGGCGCATTCGGAGACGTCCGCGTCTGGATGCTCAGCTTCATCACCTGCTTCTTCGAGGGCGCCAACTTCCTCATCCTCTACTTCTGGCCCGGCATGCTGCAGGACGCGCACAGGCGCGCCCTGCTCGAGGCCGGCGACGAGGATGCCGCCAACGCCAGCGAGGTGCCCTACGGCGTCGTCTTCGCCTCCTTCATGGCGACCATGATTCTCGGCGCCCTGACCTTCGGCGTCATCGCCCAGCAGGCCGGCAGCGGCGGTGGCGCCCCCGCGTCCCTCGTCAACCGCGTGCGCCGCGCCGTCGCGCCCTACCAGCTCTTCGCCGCCGCCATCGCGCTCGCCTCGGCCAGCCTCTTCCTGCTCGGCACCGTGCGCTCCGAGCTCGGCATCTTCCTGTCCTTCCACCTGTACGAGCTGTGCAACGGCGTCTACGTGCCCAGCATCGCGTACCAGCGCGGCATCATCGTCGACGAGAGCCGCCGCACGGGCCTGTACGGCCTCATGAAGATCCCGCTCTTTGTCTTTGTCATCCTGTCGCTGAACTTGTCTGCTGCCGGTACGTTTTTCTGTTTACGATTTGGCCTTCGCCCTGCGCGTGATTCCTTGTTCCTTGTATCTTGCTGACACATCTGAAAAACTATAGACGATCGAAAACGCAGGATCGCTCTTCTAGTCGCTGGCGGAACGCTGCTTCTCGCGTCCATCTGCGCTGCGATGCTCAAGACAAAGCCACAGACGGACGAAAAGATCGCGGACGGAGTCGAGTTCGTTCAGATTGGATTTGACGAGAAACTCGATGACGCGTCTGATGACGAGAGTGTTGATGATGATTCTTTTGACGATGACAAGCGAGATGTGTGAAGTGTGCTCTCAACGACACGAGGATATCTTCTTTCTTTCTTCTTTTTTTCCCCATTTATTTCACAACGATCTGTAAAGACTTCATTGGGAGGCATCAGCGTGGTACATTATTAGAGGCGTTGCACTTTTTGGGACCTTTCACAAAAACATATTTCATTGTAATGGTATCTTAGCGAACTTGAGGACACACCATACCTCAGCTCTAGATTTCATCTCTGCATAAGGCGCACATGGCCATGCATTTAGCCAATTCAACCAATTGTTCATTTACTCCTCGTCCTCTTCGTCTTCCCAGTCCCCTGCATCCTCTTTGGCCTCGTTCAGCTGCATCTCTGCGTCGCCCTCCAGCCCTTCGCTGTCCCACGCTTCGTAGTCGTCGCTGTCCATGTCGTCGATATCCATCTCGTCCTCGTCCTCGTCGTCATCCTCGCCGGCCGCCTTCTTGGCTGCCGCCTTGGCCTTGAGCTTCTTCTCCACGTTCTCCTTTTGCTGCTTCCTGCGCGCCTCCTTCTCCTTCCTCCGCTTCTCCCACTTCTGCTCCAGCTCTCGGATCTCCTCTTGCGACTTGTGCAGGTACTCGTGCCACATGACCTTGCCGGAGCACAGGCCCTCTTCGACCTTGGTCATCCGCAGGCGCATGCGGGGCCCGAGTTCGACGAGCTTCACCGCTCGCTTCTCGACGTTCTCCTCGGCGTCTCCTTGCTTCCCCTCCTCTTCCGCCGCCGCGGCAGCAGCTCTCGCCTTGGCGCTCATGGTTTTCCTCGGCGCAGTCTCGAGGATCTCGACTTCGGCATCGGTCTCCGCCTCGCTGCCGCTCGTGCCGTCGGTCATGTAGCCCTCGCCATCCTCGCCGCCGATCATGTAGTCGGCGATATCCTGCAGCTTTCCCAGGTTGGGAAGGCCGCCCTTCTTGCCCTTCTTGGAGTGGAGCAGCTTCTCCGCGGCGTTGAGCCGCTTCAGAGGCTTCGATATGCCAGTGGTCTTCGTCGTGATGGCGTAATGCCTGAAGTTGAGGATGAACGAACCGTCCTCATCGTCTTCTGATTGCTCACGGTTCAGGAGGAGCACTCTGCGGATCGACTTGAGGGGTGTTCTCTGGGGGTTGATGGGCGGGAAGAGGGATTGGAAGACTGTCGTCGTCAAGGACTCGAGGTGCTTGGGGACTTTAGAGGTGGAGTCGGACTCTGCGCTGGAGAAATTGTTCATGACGAGCTGCAGATATCATTAGTATGTGCTCGGAGCAAGGTATAACAAGAACGGGGAGCTCCATACCAGAGGAGGATTCAGATACTCCTTGCCGCCGCCCTTGGGATGCCTCTGAGCTTTCCTGACATCCCTACCCAGCGAGTACTTCTCTACCCTGAAATTGAGCGTGGGACCTCGAGGGGTCAACGCTATGCGGAGGTTGGTGTTGCCAGATTCTGACCGTGAGAACAGCATCAGGTGTGTAACGCCGAGCGGTCCGCACATCGTGACATAGTCGCGCAGTCTGTTCGCTCTCCTCTCCTTGAGCCTGCTCGCCGTGCCTGGCTCCATCACTCGCCGCACATCAGTGGCCAGTTGGCTGATGCTCGTGCCGACCTCACCGGCGCCGATGCGGATGACCATGCTCTTGGGGTCGCGGATCGAGGCATTGCCGGTGTTGATTGGGGTCGGTGCCTTGTTGGGGTTTTGCGCCCCGACATGGGTGCGCTTCTTGGTCCTCTTTTTCGCCATTGCTGTGTATCGAAGGGATTATTTGGTACGGTGATGCAATGCGGACATCCAAAGCTTCAGTTCTCTCAATGCAAGCCACCCAGAAAAAAATTACAGTGGGGCGGACTCGATAAGATAGAGTTTTCTTGGTGGGCAATCCAGTAGCTTGAGATGGCTTGGGGCAGTGAGTGCGATAAGGATAAGGCAACCATGAAGACGGCGGCCCACTAAAAAGTTTGTGGAATCCACGACCCGACCAGAGAGCAGGAAGACTGTCCCTCATCTACGTCTATAAGGTGTGCAGCAGCATAGCAGACGAACATGGCTCCCTCTAAGCTTTCATCCAAAATGCCTTCGGCCAAAAGAAAAGCCTCTCACTCTACCTCGGCCGCCGCCCCTGGCCCGTCCAAGATCCAGAAAACAGCCGCTCCCCGCCCAGGTGTCGCAAAGGAGCCTTCACCTGCATCCTCCGCCTCCGAGTCCGAGTCCGAGTCCGCTGGCGAGATAGAGAATGCATCCGCATCTGAGGAAGAAGGCGGCAGTGAGGTCGAGGACGAGAACGAAGAAGCAGGCAATGGCGAGAGCTCTGATCGGGAGAACGGCCAAGGAGAAGGCGAGGCAGGCGAGCAAGCAGCAAAGACATTCAAGGAACTTGTAAGCCTCTCTCCACACTACGGGTGAGCTTCAGACATGGTCTTTTGCTAACACAAATTCACCCAGGGCGTGGTAGATGCTCTCTGCGACGCTTGCACGACTCTCAAATACACAAAGGCAACCCCAATCCAGGCGAAATCCATCCCCGTCGCCCTCGAGGGGCGAGACATCATTGGTCTTGCCGAGACGGGTAGCGGTAAAACGCTTGCATTTGCCCTTCCCATACTCCAGGCTCTGCTCGAAAAGCCTCAGCCCCTCTTTGGGCTCGTTCTAGCGCCGACTCGCGAGCTGGCTGCCCAGATTGGCGAGGTCTTCGATGCCCTCGGCGCCTTCATATCACTACGATGCGCCGTCATCGTGGGTGGATTGGACATGGTGTCACAGTCAATTGCTCTGGGCAAGAAGCCACATATCATTGTTGCAACCCCGGGCCGGTTGCTGGATCACTTGGAGAAGACGAAGGGTTTCTCTTTGCGGAACTTGAAGTACCTGGTCATGGACGAAGCCGACAGGCTATTGGATCTCGATTTCGGCCCCATCCTGGACAAGATGCTCAAGTTCATCCCCCGCGAGCGGCGGACCTACCTGTTCTCAGCCACCATGAGTTCCAAGGTTGAGAGTCTACAACGGGCGAGCTTGCGCGATCCGGTTCGCGTCAGCGTCAGCTCGAGCAAGTATCAGACGGTCTCGACACTGAAGCAGTACTATCTATTCATCCCTCAGATCCACAAGGACGTGTATCTCATTTATCTGCTCAACGAGTTCTTTGGCAAGTCAACGGTCATCTTCGCCAGGACCGTGTTTGAGACACAGCGGATCGCTATCCTACTACGTTTCCTGGGATTCGGCGCCATCCCACTGCACGGGCAGCTCTCGCAGACTGCGCGTCTTGGAGCCCTAAACAAGTTCAGGGCCGGATCCAGAGATATCCTTGTCGCCACCGATGTCGCTGCGCGTGGTTTGGATATCCCCAAGGTGGATGTGGTCGTCAACTTTGATCTGCCACAGGACAGCAAGACCTACGTGCACCGTGTCGGTCGTACTGCCCGAGCTGGAAAGTCTGGTCTTGCCGTCAGCATTGTGACGCAGTACGACGTCGAGATCTTCAAGAGGATCGAGCACGCTCTAGGCAAGGAGCTGCCGGGATACAAGGCCGACAAGGAAGAAGTCATGGTGTTCAAGCAGCGCGTGAGCGAGGCACAGAGGCACGCTCGCGTCGAGATAAAGGAGCTGATGGAGAACAGGGGCAAGAAGGGAGCTACGCTCAGGGGCCGCAGAGATGGCGGGAAAGGCGGAAAGGGCACCTCGAGGAGAGCCGATAACATGGACGCTGACGAGGGTTGAGTTGCGGAGGCATGTGAATGTCTTGGTTTTACGGAGTTCAAGGTCTCGGGGCACCAAAAGGCATAGGGAAAGCGATTGTCAATTCAGTGTCACCAAAACTCGTTCCAGTCTCGCCGTCGATATTGAGATGTGGTCAGGGGTATCGTTGCCCACTTGATTCGTCTTGCAACTCCGCAGGAGACCGTGGCAGACTGATATCCACGTGCGATACTCAATCTGGGGTTTCCCATCTTTGACTACGGAAGAATAGGGGTCTATTACCCCTCAATAAATCTGGTTGACATGTCGCAGTGGTCAAGCAGCCAGGTAGGCGCCTTATCTTCAGCTTCTTCAGCTGGTCATCATGTCAGCAATTGGTCAGTGATCACAGGGGTGTGGTCTAGAAAAATCGACAGGGCTTCAGACACAGTACATCTGACGCGGCGGGATACGGCGGTCTCTGGCGGTGGCACAGTGAAAGAAGGATATTGAATCGTGCCCCCTCCCTCTGTCGTCGCTTATTCGGTCCTTTTCGATTAGTTGACAGTCCCAGGAGATAAAGAATGCCAAGTGCGTGCTAGACAAGGGCTTAAACTGGGGTCTTGCCCACTGAACTTTGGCCCAGCGGCGCCGCGCCGCCGTTTGTCGATCCTGGCGCAACCCACCTTTTTCACCTACCGTATCGAGTACCGAGGCCAGAGCAGGGCCTCGATTTGGTACGCTTCCAATTCGTGCGCGCGGAGGTGGGTTGGCCGCTAACTCTTGGCCCGGAGACATCCATCCTACGTAAAAGGCTGTCTGCTCCGGGAGGCGCATTCTGCTAGGGCAGGGCCGTCTATATGCCCTGGAACTCTATCGAGATGGCTTGCGGCTCGGGGGGGCTTTCTGTCCTCCTAGTTTCTCTCGATCTTCAGCGACCCAGCGAGCCACTGGACATGCCGCCGCTAGAAGGGACGGGAGGCAAAAGTGTTCCACCCATCCTCTCAGGCTGGTCCCGTCCATGTCACCAGAAGCCCCTGCTTGGTGAAAAGCAGCTGCACGGAGATGTGTGCCGAAGATGGATGGGTATGGGCGTGGACAAGTAACGGCTTGTGGTGAGAATCGGCGCTTGAACGAGGGTGGCAGGTGAGCATTTGTGGCGGACACGCCGTCTGCAAACTCGGTCGTCCAACATCAGATTCCCGCCCTCTTGGCTTGGTTGCATCCATCGCGGGCCACATCAAGAGTCGCCTTTCTTCGCCAGCCAATCCGCCTGGAAAGAAGGCCTCTGTTCCACAGAGCGGGCCCTAGGCACATGCCCAATGGTCGGCACCTGGCCCTGTTTTCCCACAATTTGACGTCGTAGGGGGACGGGATAGTTCTTTTGCCCTTCTCGAACGCGCCGCTAACCTCTTTGCTTATCTCGCCCGAAGCTTGCGGATTGGGCCGAGGAACGAACTATTTTTTCCATTTCGCTTTGGAGAAAAAAAAAAAAAGATATCAGCGTCCTGTCCGTGTCGCGTATATGGTCCGAAGATGGTGTGGCACCCGAGTTGCAGGCGACGGCGGCGGCGAGGGTCCATCCAAACAGTTCGTTATCAGAGACCAATGCTCGTGCCGGGGCTCCCTGCCAGAGGCCATCGAGACATCTATCGAGATACCCTTGGCAACTACTTGTAGTTAGCTGACAAGAGCTGTGATCTCCTTCCTCTTTGGGTTCAGCTCGAATCCCCCCACAGAGATGCCAGGCCTCGTCTGCTTCCCCAGAGCCGATGGCGATTGGCAATGCCTGCTCTCGATACGCTGGGCAGTGGTGATCGGCACCACATGCATGCACCAGTGATGTCTTACAGGACTCTGGTCCATGTCAGGTCGTGTCCGTGGTGTGTGCCCCAGAAAATTTTAAAAAGGGCCGGACGGCTGTCTCCACGATGGCGAGGTCTCGAGTGCCCTCTCGTGCTGGTGTTGCTGCTTTGCCCTGCTGCCTGTCCCCTTTGGCGTGACATCGACTCGTTTTTCTTTTCCTCTCTCTTTCTCCTAGACCTCAACGTCTAGCCCTTGCGCCCGGACCGACGTGCAGCGTTCTCTCTTGATGGTCTTGTCGGAGAGGTTGCGTATATCCCAATTCCACACCGGAGGTACTATCGTATCGAGGGGAAAAAAGAGATATTCTGCTGCAAGACGTTGTCGCCATGCCATCGCACAGTGACAAGCAGGAGCCGGCGGTCTCGCCGATCGAGTCGCCTGTCCATACGCCGCTATCTGGGCATAATGCCTCTCCCCAGATCGGCGTCGAGCGCAATCCCGACCTTGCTCTCGACTACGCCCACGAGCACACTCACCCACACCTTCACCATGGCGAGACAGCCGCCAGGGAGGCGGACAAGGAGCACGAGATAATGTACTCGACGGGAACCACTGGCCGTCAGGGCGGCACCGATCTGTTGGACGGTCCGACAAAGGCGCCGCACAGCCAGACCACGGGAGCAAACCAATTGGCCGAGGAAAAGGACGTGGAGAACTCGTTGAGCAACGAGGAGAACGGCAATGTCGGTTCTATCCGCCGCCGCAAGGGCGAACAGGAATCGTGGCTGCGGTATATCTACCGTCGCTATCGACCGTTCTTCCATGCTTTCATCTGGAGTGTGTGGACCGCGTAAGTCACTGGCCACTTTTCCTTGCACCCGTGCTTGACAGAGATCGCTCTGCTGCGACTGGTCAGAGTGCTGAATCTCAAATCGTGACAGCTGGTGGATCTTCGGTCTAGTCTACCACCGCAGTGACAATTACGGCTGGCTGAAGCCGTTCCTGCTGTGGCTCGCCATCACGCTCCGCATCATTACCCTCTGGGTCCCGGTGTCGTATGTCATGCGGCCCGTGAAGTTCATCTGGAAGAGCACCGCGACCCGGGTCCATGATAAGATTCCCTCAAAGTTCCGCCAGCCGCTGGCCGCCGTCGTCACGCTCGCCGTCTTCCTCATCGGGTCCTTTGTCCCCGAGGAGACCGGTGACAACACGCGCGCGAACCGGGCCATCTCCATCTTCGGCCTGCTGGTCATGATCTTCCTGCTCTGGCTCACGTCCCGCGACCGGAGGAAGATCGCCTGGCACACCGTCATCGGCGGCATGCTAACACAGTTCATCATCGCCGTATTCGTCCTGCGCACCAAGGCCGGCTTCGACATCTTCGACTTCATCTCCTTCCTGGCGCGCACCCTGCTGGGCTTCGCCAACGAGGGCACCGTCTTCCTGACCAACGAGGACGTGCCGAAGCTGGGCTTTTTCCTGACCGGCGTGGTGCCGCCCATCATCTTCTTCGTCGCGCTCGTCCAGCTGCTCTACCACACGGGCCTGCTGCAGTGGTTCGTCGGCAAGTTCGCCGTCTTCTTCTTCTGGGCGCTCCGCGTCTCGGGTGCCGAGGCCGTCGTCGCGGCTGCCACCCCGTTCATCGGCCAGGGCGAGTCGGCCATGTTGATCCGGCCCTTCGTGCCTCATCTCACCCGTGCCGAGCTGCATCAGATCATGACCTGCGGTTTCGCGACCATTGCGGGCTCCGTGCTTGTGTTCTACATCTCCCTGGGCCTCAATGCGCAGGCCCTCGTTTCCTCCTGCATCATGTCCATTCCGGCCTCGCTCGCTGTATCCAAGATGCGCTACCCCGAGACGGAAGAGACGCTGACCTCGGGAAGAGTCGTTATCCCGGACGACCAGGAGCACGAGGCTGTCAACGGTCTCCACGCCTTTGCGAACGGTGCCTGGTTGGGTATCAAGATCGCCGGCATGATCATCGCCACGCTTCTGTGCATTATCGCCTTTGTCGGGATGGTCAACGCCTTCCTGACCTGGTGGGGACATTACTGGAACATTAACAACCCGGTATTGACCATCCAGTTCGTCCTAGGATACATTCTGTACCCGGTGGCGTGGTTGCTCGGCGTCCCTAAGCAAGATCTCCACCCCGTGGGCGAGCTGATCGCCGAGAAGGTAAATGGGCTCTCTTGAACTTATTCCAAAGACCATTGCTGACGATTCTAGATCATCATTAATGAGTACGCCGCCTTCAAGAAGCTCACTACGCTTGAGCCTTTCAAGAGCATGGCTCCGCGCTCGCGAATCATTGCCACCTATGCAGTTTGCGTAAGCCCCCCTTTTCACACCGCCTCCGATCTCTTGCAAAATGCTAATGGTTGCTCGCATGTAGGGCTTCGGAAACATCGGCTCGCTGGGCACTCAGATCGGAGTGTTGTCGCAGATTGCCCCGGGGCGTGCCGGTGATGTGTCTCGTCTCGCGCTTTCGGCTTTGTTCTGCGGTGTTTTGTCGACCCTCACCTCTGCCAGTATCGCTGGCATGCTTTTCACCGACCACATGCTGTAATACTAATGAAGATGGGTGAAAACATATATTTGATTGAATGTGTTGACGATCCTCAGCCTCGAAGGTGAGGACTGCATTTGGGAGGCGAACATCCTTGGAGATGAGCGGGGGGCCTGTGGCTCTAGCCAGACTTATTATGATCTTGATTTCCATCAAGCCGTTGAGCTTATGAACGAACTGAAAGAACCATTCTGCAGTCAGAGAGTATCGTCGTCTTGTGAAGGGTGGCGTGCCATGGGCTAGCCTTTGTGATCGCCGAAGTGTAGTTGGTTTGTCGCCAAATTGTTATGAAAAAAAGATTGGGACTGCGAATAAGAGGAATGATGGTACAAATTTCGTACACAGTAGTACGATTGATGTTCGAAGGTTGAAGTCTTGAATTCTTCGATTGTTGCCGTGTAAGAAAAGGAGGTCGTTAAGGGGGGCCGGGTAGGATCCGGTGCGCCCTTTTGGCGACATCCTGGCGAACCCCCGCCCTTGCCGACTGAGTCACACGGAGAAGGTGCATTGCAGACGACAATGAAGGCCATATGGCCATTTGCATTGGGGAGATGATATCCAAAGCGATATCATTGACAACTTGAACCTCATGCCAAGCATTCATCTCGGTCTCACGTCAGGGGCTACAAGGACCTAGCGTTCACCTCAGGACTTGAGATCGTTGAGCGTACAAAGACGGTTCCAACTGCGCACCTGCTCATCGACCTCGGAGATTGAGATATCCCATTGATTGTAAATGGGGGGCTAAGAAAGGAACCAAAAGTTCACCCTGTAACATTTGTGTATGCCATACCCAAGTGGATCAAATGGTGCGAGGGATTACGCCAAGTCCGAGCAACATCGCTCTTCAGAAAGAACAAGATCGATGGATTTACTCCCTCGTTGCCGACCTAGTGTTGTGGTGGACCTCTATCCTTAAGCTGTCGAGTTCCTAATATCGAACGCCAACCTTCCCTTCTGATCCCGAATATCTGTCCGCGCGCCGGCCTCCTCCGTCAGCCACTTTGCAAACAAGTCGTTCTTGTGATGCACCGCGATATGCAGCGCTGTCCAGTTCTCTAACCCGCTGCTTGTGGCGTCAAGCACTGCGCCCTTCTTCAGCAGAAGCCGCCCGATGTTGATATCTCCCGCCTCCGCTGCGCACATCATTGGTGTCAATTCCTCCTTCCCGAATCTCACGCGGTCGCCGTCCACCGTGGCACCAGCCTCGACGAGCATCTGGACCGCCTCGAAACTGCGCGAGGTAAGAGCAAAATAGATCGGCGGACAGCTGTGGCCGCCAGCATTGGGATTAGCACCGGCGTCCAACAGCTTGCTCATGGCCCTGACACTACCCTGCCGGGATGCCACTGCGAGTGCGGTCAAGTCCATGCCAGTAGATGTACCATCAACCTCGGCCCCGGCTTCAAGAAGCGCGTCGAGCAACTCGGTAGACTCTTCCTCATCCTCATTAAGCTCGGAAGCGGTGACAGCAGAGATAAGAGGCAAGAAACCAAGGCCATCGGGCTGAGAGGGATCAGCACCCAAGGCGAGGACAAGCCGGGTCATCTCGGCGTCGCCTCGTCGAATTGCGGCAGTCAGCGGGGACGCTAAACTGTATGTGCAATCGTTGATGTCAACGCCAGCTTCGATGAGCTCGAAGACGGTGTCCTGATGGCCATATTCCACGGCCAGGATGAGCGGGGTCTGTCCATCGATGGTGGCTGCATTCAGAACTGCGCCGTGGTCCTTGAGAACACGAACGGCTCTGGTGCTGCCAGCGCTAGCAGCGCAGTGGAGAGGCATCCAATTCCTCTCATCAGTGTCGTTGACGTTGGAGGCGGTCAGGGCCGAGATGAGCTCGGCAACATCGTCACTCTCTGCTGCCTGGTGCAGTGGCAGACGACCCTGGTGGCCTGGACTGGCCCAACGACTACTGCATTCCAGCTGGTAATTCAGCTCAGAAGCCCCCTTGCCGCTCATTGTACGCTCAGAGACCGGGTTCTCGTGCAGAAGAAGCCATTCAAACTCTTCGGCGAGGTAAGTCTCTTCTGTTTCCCCGACAGCCAGCGTGAGGCACACCCACGCCTCAAAGTCTGGCGATTTGGGAAACCTTTCGACAAGCAGACCGACTCTCGAAAAGGTCTTCTTTGGGATGAGAGGCTCGTCTGAGAGCAGGTACGCCGATCCGTTAGACACTGCCTTCTCGAATTCCCGGACGCTTTCAGGGCTCTTCTTCTGCGTCTCTTCACTGATGAATCCCACCGTGTAGGCTCCCGGATCTTGGCCGTTCTCCAGCTCCAACACGAGACACCCTGGCTTGCTCGGGACAATGCGCCTCACCTTGCTCGTCAGCCACTTCCTGGACATGCCTCGCTTCTTCCACACCCCTGCAGTATTGATCTTGCAGTCAACCAAGCCCGGAAAAGTTGCCGGCGCCCAGCCAGGCCACGATGCCCTCGGCGGGCCATGGAAGAGTGCCAGCCGAGTCGCGTGTCTCTTCTGCGCCGTGTACACCTTTTGCATGGCATCGTCAAGGCCGTCACCGAGCCGCCACTTCAGCTGCAAGGTAGGAAACATGGCGCGTGCGTAGTCCAGAGGATCCCAGGCATTGCGGTACCCACAGCCTATGGCGATGTCAGGCAGTGAGATGACATCGTCCCCGTAGAGCCGCAGGCGTCGAAACGTCTTGCAAAGACTAGGGTATTTTCCAGGAGCATCCACCAAGTAGTTCTCTCCGACTTCGGATCTTGCTTTGCTTTCAAGATCACCAACCATGTCGGCGAATCCGACGAACCCAGCTTTCGTAGCGATGACGGCATTTGTAGCGAGCTTGATCTCCTGGTAGGTCCAGACCCTGGTAGCCCAGGCTGTTTGAGAATGATCAGTATGAATCCTCCCCAGAATCAGTTGCGGAAGTACTCACTTCCACAGGCGAGGACTGCCGCCGTCTTTTCCGGATCGGTAGAGTCCAATCTCAGGCAGAGGGCATCAAAGACGATGACCGTTCTAGCATTTCGATAGATATCGGCCATGGCATTGATCAGAATTGCTTTCACTTCCTCTTCTGCCACATTGAGAGCCCTCTTCCCCCCTGGAATGGCGAGACTGTCGGTCCATATCCACCGGATCCCCAGAGGCTCCACGAGGGCAAACACTTGATCCAAAAGACTCTTGTGGAGTCCGCGATTTTCGTCGTCAGCACCCATACCTTGAGACCACACGTGTGATAGGGCTGCATATCCCGCATCCGGATTCACGCAGAACTCGCCATTCCTGTTCACGCACAATGCACCCAACGCCCGTGCTGACTGTTTTATCTCTTCGAATGTGGGCTTGATCAAGAGCGAAGGATCATTGGGATCTCCCTGGATGGTGAAGGAGAGCAACCCGCTCGTAACCTCGGAAGAAGTTACTCGCAGGCTGTTGAACACTTCATCCAGCTCCTCTTGTCTCCAGTAACAGAATTCATTCTTTGAGAGCGGGTTGGCAATCGCATCCGAGATGCCTTTGTTCAGCAGATAATCCCTCACAGCTCTGTTGTTTGGGACTCGCTCAGCTCGAGTGGAGAAGTTGTCTAGTGCCGCCAAGATTGCGGCGACATCGTAGGATGAGGACGACATGGTGCCTTGAACGGTTACTGCGATGGAGAAAGTACTGCAACAAAGTTAGAAAGAAGTCAAGGTTGTGGACTTTGATCCATATCGATTTGTGGTTTCGTCAGAGCTGAAGTTTCGTGTCACCTGCGATAGGAACTGTGGCTGAGACGGACCAATAAACCCCAAGCAGACTAATGCATGTCTGCGGCCAAATGCACAAATGCACAAGCCAATGAAACAAGTTACTTGTCACTGCCAGTTGCCTACACTCTGTTCAGGACTACTAAGGTCGGAGATTGAGCGCGGGCGACGTTGCTGGCCTTACGGGCTTTCTGGCTTAGAATGAATCTGATTGTGTTTTTCCGCGTTGTATGCTCAATGGTCAAGTGTATAATATGACTTTGGCGAACAACCCTTCACCGTAGCCATGTCTGATATGTTGAACAGACTTAAACGTGAGACAGCTGGGTGTTTGATGGCCTGGACTCAGTGCTCCCCATGGATAAGTGTGCCCAGGGTACTGTTGATATAGAGAGTTGATTAAGAACTGTCTGCACATGGGCCGCCTTCATCATAGCAATTAAGCCACTACGTATCATTCCAACCAAACAACAGTATACAGTTGACAAAAAATCCCGTCTGGATTATTCAGTCGAAGGTGAGTTGTCCAAGTTCGCAAGGGCCTGCTGGGTTGATTGTGAGATGAAGGCGAGAAGAAGGGGAATAGACTGAAACTGGTCCTTGCGTAGAGTCACTAGGTGCGAGCCGGGAAGACTTCGGGACAACTTCGGGGCATGAAGCTCACGGGTCAACTTCGGGACATGAAGGTCTCGACTCATTTCCTCGATACTTCCTGAGGCAACCACCAACTTGGCCCCTCTGCTCTGTCTATAAATACCTGCCCTCCTTCTCCTTCCCCTCCACATTTCCTTCCCTCTCTTTATTCCAACACAAGTCTCCTCTTCGAGTATCCAGGCAAGTTCCAACTCTCCCTTCCACCTCAACAATTTCTCACCTTCTGCAGCACCTCACAATATCTACTCGCCTTGACTTCAACTCAGCAACTCAGCAACTCATCAACTCAGCAACTCACCACCAACAACTTGCAGATCACTGCTAACTCGACATCTCGACCACATCGTCTCATGCCTTTATATCATGGACTCGTTTTTCCATGACCCCATATCTTGGACTCGTGTTTCCATCTGATGGGCTCGTGTTCCCATCCAGTCGCTAACAGTCCTCGTGTTGGTAAGTATGCCCCTGCCCAGACATTCTCAGCCCCTCGTCACCTTGCGCCCATTTGACCACCAGCTCACATCGTCTCCTCATGCCAGGCTACCCGTAGGAAAAAACGCGGTGCGGGTCCTCTTCACTTTCGACACGGCCTGCAGCTTATGCTGTACCACCACCCCGGCGAGCCATAGGCATACATGGCTCGGGGGGTCCTGGCCCGGTCCCTCGCACTCGTGCTTGGAACTCGCGCCTTGGCCGCCCGCAGCTCGTCCCTGGACCCAAAGGACGCTGCGCCTGACCTTCTCGACCCGCGGGGGCGGAATCTCAGTGTCGTCACAGCTGATGGAGATAGTGGCCGCCGTGATACGATAACCAACCTTGCTGCTCTGGTCCCGCACCAACGGACCCTGGACCAGGGCTCTGTGGCAGGAGGAGGCCGAGCCGACTCTCGTCCCATCGCACACCGGGACGAGATCGGAGGCTGTTTTAAACAATGGGAGAGGGCAACATCGAGGGCCCTAACTGTGAAGCCCCCCTTGGGTGTGCTGACAGCAGAGTGATAATATTTGGAACTAGTTCAGGGTGTTCCTCCTGGGGAGAGAGGTGCCCGCGAGTCCCGGTACCACACTACCTCCGGGCTCGAAGAATAGGTGTAGACCCGGCCGCTCAGCTCAGTGGTTCCTCAAGGTGGGCCCTCGCCAGTAACCCGGGAAGGTCTGAAGACTTCGCGGTGGGTAAGCCCGGGCCTCGCCACTTGAGTAGGAAGCATGCCCGCTCCCCATGCTGCTCAATCAAACCGAGTGTGACGCTCTTCAGTTTTTGGAAACAGTAACCATGGACCTTGCCTCTTTTTTCTCGGCTTGGTCCTACGGTGAACGTGGCCCTGGTATTACACTACCTCCAGGTGTCGCAACCACCATCACTCTGTGGTGGCATCTTATTTTTTCATTGCAATCGCAGGCTTGCCTGTGATGTGAAGAAGAAAAGAAAGGTCTTTACGTCAGATACATGCTTCCTGCCCATCTCCCGTCTGGGAAATAGAGGGAGCAACCCACTGGCTCCAGGTATGATACACGTTGCTCAAAAGCCTCATGATCTCCCAGGCTGGGCTCGATCTAGTGTCACGAACGTGGCACAGTCACAACAGGGTGAAGCAGCAAACTCGGCATCAAAATCATGTTTCTAGCGGGTATTGTTCTTTCGATTTAGCAAATATCTCCAGCCTGGCTCTTCATTGGCCTTCAGTTAAGACTCGGGTCCAATCGAACTTCCTCCACCGCTTCTTGAAACCATCTAATCTGGGATCACTGCGATTCCAACGACCCTGCCGCTTGATAACATCGGGCTCGGCATCTACCATACCGCCAATAATCTCCCTTGCGAAGAGGTCTCCCTTGGGCCACCGGCTGGCATCCTCAACGACGTGGCCCAGCCCCCCATCCAGGTTGAACCACACGTGAAAGTAGGGCATCTCCTTGGCGATGCTCCTCCTGAAAGCCAGACGGCCCAGACCCTCGCGAGCCTTCTTGCCCGTGTCGATGATCTTCTTGTGCTGGGACCACTCCTCATCGGCCGAGAGCATTGCTTCTCTGAAGAAGGCGGGGGCCGTATCGCCCAGGTCGTAGGGGATGGGCACGGCGACGAGGGCAGCATGTAGCCGGCGCTGCGGCGCTGCTGCGTTCTCGTAGAACAGTACCTCTCTCCCTTGATCGTGGAAGAGGCGAGTAAGCGACTTCATGAAGTTCCGGATCTCCTCCCATTCATCGTCGTCACACTCGAGGAGGTTGTTGCGATGGCTGATGGGCACAATGACTGCTCCTCCTTCAGCGCCCGTCAGTTCCGGCTCCGTGGGCAGCGTCAAGAATACCCGAGTGGCGAGGGAGATGATGGGGGCGATGGGCTGGTTCTGGGGCGGCTGGCGCTCCTCGTGGTGGCAGAGCGGACAGCTGTCGAGGATCTTGTTCATCTTCTGGAATTCGTTGACGGCGACGTTCTTGAGGCTCGTCTCGGACTTGTGCACTCTCTTGGCCAGCTTTTCGGCGTTTTCGTCTAGATACTCGAGATCGTTGTCGAACTTGCCGTCCTTGGCGATGCGCTCAGCCAGGCGCAGGCCCTCGCCGCCGACCTGGCCCCGGGTGCGACGCTCCTCTCGCACCATGTCTTCGATGCTCATGTCCTCGTTTGCAACGACTTGGCCGCGCTCGCGCCCTCGTTTGTTCTCCACGTTCTTCACTTCACCCCTGGGCCCGGCGAGCATGCGGTTGTGAGAAGCGTCAAGAACCACTGCACGGTCGTTGTTGATGCCCGAGGAGAAGGTGGCCATGGCTGCGTTGTACTCAGCCTCCAGCTTAGCGGCATCGGGCGCTTTGCGCAGTTTTGCCTTCATCATTTGCGCACGTAACCGGTTGAGCGCCGTCTGGTCCATGGGCACAGCCCGCGTCTGCTCAGGCATCGGGACCCCTTGCTGCGGTTCGGGCTCCTCAACCTCCTTCGGCTCTGGCCCCTTCTTCCGTTCCTTGTACAGCTCCCCTGTTGGTTTCTCTTTGCCAACGAATCCTTCCCCATATAACCTTCTCCTATCTATTTCCATCTTCTCCTCCCGAGCGTCGTCAAACTCCTGCAGGCTGCCGTAACGCTCCAAAGCAATTTCGTCAGCTGGACGGCCGGTCTGCTCGGCCGTCGTGAATACTGCATTCAGTCTGGTCATTCGCCACTGGGAGCCTGCATCGCCGAATGTATAATCGACATCATGTTGGGCCGGCAGGTCGAGGTCGTCGATCGTCTTGCCTGCGTTAAGATCCTGCAAGATACCCGAGTTCAATTCTCGACTGGAGATGGCTCTTTGCTCTGTCTGCTTCGGTGGAGGGGTGGGTTCTTTCTTCTTCCGCTGGACATAGTCGATGTCGATGGCAGAGGGTGCAGTCATCCATGAATCTCTGACCAAGCCTTCCTTTTCGGGGGTCTTCTCCTCGTCAGGGAGCGGGAGGTCCTCTTTGGGATCATGCGTTTGCAAGTACTCTGGATCGTTGGGGTCTGCATTCCGGTCGCGCCGGCGTTCTCGTTGTCCGTCTTCTCTGTCTCGATGTCTGTGACTGCGATGTTTTGACTCGCCTTCCTCGTCCCGGTGGTGGCGCGATCGCTTATGACGATGTCTCTCTTCGTCAGACTCACGGTCGTGAGCCCTATGGTGCCTGGACTTGCGGTCTCTGTCGGAGGATCTCTCGCGTCGGTGATGATGCCGGTGCTTATTCTCTTTCCTTTCGGCTCTCTCCTGCTCTTCCCGCTCTCTCTCAGCCTTCTCTGCTGCGAGAGACTTCTCAAAGGCGTCTAGCCCATCCATTGGAAATGAATGCTTGCGGATGGCGGAACCGCAAATATTGTAAATGTGATTGCCAGCAGACTTGGCCGAGGGCAACCCAGCTATTTGCTTCGGGCTGTATGATGTGATGTCAGAAACTTTCGCTTTGCGACTGAGCTCTAACTAGAACCAACCTTCGAAGCTCCAGCCCACTCCAAGGTGATCCTAGTCCCTCGAGTCCCTGTACCATGAGCAGACTTAGCGTCACACTTTGGCCTGGTGGGGCTTGCAGTAGGCCCCGACTCAGCGCATTGTCGCCGCCCGGCCCCGCTCTTTGATATCGAAATTCTTCTCGATGACAAAAGCTTGAATGCGACAGACGCAACTCCAGCATCTACTTTGTAGAGATAGAACTCGCAGTCTGCAAAAACATGGCTTCGACTTCAGCATCAGCGGGCGACAAGCCGCGCCAGCCGGTGTCGATAGTGTGTGTGGGCATGGCGGGTGAGTCTTGATCGCTGGTGTACAGCATCTCCAACGTCTTCTTGAAAACAGGAATACTGACTGCCTCATAGGATCTGGCAAAACAACGTTCATGCAACGTATCAACGCTCACCTCCACGCGAAGAAGGAGCCCCCATATGTTATCAACCTTGACCCCGCCGTTCTCAACGTGCCGTTCGACAGCAACATCGACATCCGCGATTCAGTCAACTACAAGGAGGTTATGAAGCAGTACAACCTCGGTCCCAACGGCGGCATCCTAACGTCCCTCAACCTCTTTGCGACCAAGGTGGACCAGATTCTCGGCCTGCTGGAGAAGAGGACGACTTCAGATCCAGCCAACCCGTCTCGCAAACCCATTGAGCACATCCTCGTCGACACTCCTGGTCAGATTGAAGTGTTTGTGTGGTCAGCTTCGGGCACTATTCTCCTCGAGTCGCTGGCCTCTAGCTTCCCGACTGTGATCGCGTACATTATCGACACGCCTCGCACTGCTTCTACCAGCACCTTCATGAGCAACATGCTGTACGCTTGCAGTATCCTATACAAGACGAAGCTGCCCATGATCCTGGTCTTCAACAAGACGGACATCAAGGACGCAAGCTTCGCAAAGGAGTGGATGACGGACTACGACGCCTTCCAGGCAGCCCTGCAAGAAGACGAGAACAGCAACGCATTCGGTGGCGTCGAGGGTGGCGAGAACATGGGTGGGACTGGTTACATGGGCAGCCTGCTCAACAGCATGAGCATGATGCTGGAAGAGTTCTACGCCCACCTGAGCGTAGTTGGCGTCAGCTCTATGACGGGTCAGGGCATTGATGAATTCTTTGCCGCAGTGCAGGAGAAGGCCGAGGAGTTCCGTCGCGACTACCAGCCTGAGCTCGAGAAGCGCCGACAGGACCGCGATGAGGCCAAGAAGAAGGCGCGCGAGAAGGAGCTGGACAAGATGATGAAGGGCATGAGCTTCAGCGGTGATGCGAGCAAGACCCCGCTTGAACGGCACGCCGAGGACAGCGACGTGGAGGTCGCCAGCGACGGAGAAGACTCGGACGATGTCGGCCCTGAAGAGGAGTTCGACAGGGAGGGCCTCCAGTCTCGATACGAGGCTGCTATGGCCGACAGGGACGAGTCACTCTCGGGAGACGCAAGCTTTGCCAAATATCTGCATTCACAGAGGTAATGAATGCATGCACGGAGTGGAGGGATCATGGCGTAAATTTTCAGGGCTAGGTGCATGGATTGATGCTGCATGAATTGGCGTTTTGATTGTTTGATACCAGGACAGCAATTACTAGGGTAATTGTATAGAGATGAAAACATGAAGAGAAAAAGATCTTCATTTGAACTCCGAAACTCCTATGCCAGACCTTCCCAGTGATGTATGGAGGGATCCGTTCATCGGTATCTTTGATGACCACCCTTCCCACACCGTAAAATGACATGCTGCTCATTCTTAGCCCTCGAACTCCTCTACCACCATGAAATGCCAGTGTTGTATGTCTGCCCTTTTTTTGAGGACCCTTCGGTCACTCGTCATCGAATGAGTCGTCGCTCAACGAGCCTCGAACTGAACCATTCTGAATCAACTAGTTAGCATCCCCGCCAATACTCTCCAAGGGCGACGATGACTTTACTCACCTCTTGGTGCGCTCCTTGTACAACACACGGCATCCACACTCCTTGCATCGGACAGGGTCGGTGCGGCGCAGCGTGGTCTTGATGCCGCAGTCACCACAGAGGTAGTGCATGTTGCCCGAGTCGTTGACGTCGTTGAAGCCCTTGGGGGCAGAGAGACCCATGGTCTGGCCGGCGGCCGTGGGGACTTGGTAGCCTTCGCGCGACATGATGTTTTTGGTGAGTTTCGTTCTCGTAGTAGCAAAGAACGCGGATGTTGCTTGCAAAGAATGAGTTGCGATGCCTACAGAGATGGAGGGGCTAAGAAATAGAGGTCTCGACACAAAGACTAAAGGCGGTGAAGAGAAAAATAGTCACTAATCGCACAAGGCGGTGCTAGAAACATCCGGCAGAATTAGTCAGCTCGTGTCCCAAAGACCAAGCAGCCGAGGCACGAGTGACGTCTTCACTCACCCTTAAGTCTGCTTGTATCGGTGTATTTTGTACATTGCGCAATCCTTCCGCATCTCGAGCTTCATAAAGTTCATTCCATTCCTTTGATCATGGACGAGCCGGTTGTCTCCTTGGAGCACGGCTGCCCTTTCTGTCACATCGCAAAGACGTTCCCCACGTACAACCCGACTGTTCCTCCACACGCATCGCATCCTTCGATAAGCCCTGCTAGCACCGAACCCCAGCCCGCAGCCTTCGTCATTCTCTCCACACCCATCGTCGTCGCGTTCCTCGATATCCTGCCACTATCTCGAGGACACGTCCTGCTCTGCCCTCGCAAGCACCGACAAAAGCTCACAGAGGTATCGGCGGAGGAGTCTGCCCAGCTGGGGTACTGGCTACGCATACTCTCTGCTGCAATCAGCAAGGCGACGGGGGTACACGACTGGAACGTCGTCCAGAACAATGGCGCAGCGGCCGCGCAGGTCGTACCGCACTGCCATTTCCACATTATTCCCCGGCCAGAGCTGAGAGAGCAGGGTCGGTGGAGCTCGCAATTCACAATGTTTGGTCGCGGACAGCGCGCGGAACTGGACGACGACGAAGCTGTCGAGGTCGCGGCCAAGATACGCACGGCCGTAGCCGAGGTGTTGAAGGATGAATCAAGCCAGCCAAATCTTTGAATATCAGAAACTTTTTATTGATTATTGATACACAAAGCTATCTCTATCGAAGACGACCCCGCCCTCGCTGGCAGCGCTTACTCGTCGTCGCCAAAGAAGACCTTGACAGGGAGCCAGCCATCAGTGCAGACTTTGAAGCGGTCGGGAATGTTTGAGATCTTGGAGACCTCGTCATCGGACAGGCTCCAACCGTCTAGGTCAAAGTTCGCCTCGATGCGCTCCTTGGTGACCGACTTGGGCAGGACGCTGTAGTCGCGCTGCAGACCCCACATGATCAGGACCTGCTGAGGGGTCTTGCCCTTGGCCTTGGCCACGGACAAGATCTGCTCGTTCTTGTACAGCGGGGAGTCGGTGCTGCCCAGGGGCGAGTAGGCTGTGACGTGGATGCCCTTGGACTTGCAATAGTCGATAAGCTTTGGTGAGGGGTTGCACGGGTGAAGCTCGACCTGGTTCACGGCAGGTACGATCTTGAGGACGAGTGCCAGAGTCAGCATTTCGCCTTTTGACGAACAGATCAAGTGGCAGGCGCGAAACAACTTACCTTGGTGCTCTCAGCAGACAGCAGCTTCTCGAGGTTCTTGATGGCAAAGTTGCTGACGCCAATGTTGCGCACCTTGCCCGTGTCGACGAGCTTCTGCATCTCGCGCCAGGTGTCGACAAAGTCCCAGTCGGCATAGTGCTTCTTCCTGTCGTCCGGGTCGGTGCTCGAGGGCCAGTGCATGAGGTAGAGGTCGACGTAGTCGGTGCCGAGGCTCTTGAGGCTCGAGTCGATGCCGTCCTGGACGTGCTTGTGCCAGGTGTTGTCGAGCTTGGTCGTCAGCCAGATCTGGTCGCGCGGGACGCCCGAGGCCTTGATGCCGGCGCCCACCTCGGCCTCGTTGCCGTAGGCCAGCGCCGTGTCGATGTGCCGGTAGCCCTTGGCGAGCGCCCACTCGACGGCGTTCTTGACCTCGTTGGGCTGGGACTGCCATGTGCCGAGGCCGACGGCGGGGATGGAGGCGCCCGTGTTGAGCTTGAAGGTTTTGCTACGTTTTCGAATTTGTTAGCAAATTACTCTCGCGAAATCGCGTCGGGCAGATCGCTTCATGACTGCATTGGGAGCTCTCACCTGGTGTTCTGTGTGCTTGCCATTGTGTTGCTCTCTTCAGTCGATCAATTGCGCTTAATGTGTAGGCTGTTCTAAGGAGGAATTGAGATGTATCACAGGAGGACGAAGTACAAGAAGCTGGTCAGTTGGGAGAACAATGAGTTTATTCCCGTTGTCCCACAAGTTTCGTCGCCTCATGTCGAATGTATGATGAAATACTGTTCACCTTGGTGGCGGGTCATTCGTGGGGTCTTTCCCTAGCTGTTCCCCCCGCTCCTCCCACGACGACGCCGTTTCTTAGCAGCTCCCGACATCCATTGGGACTGGCGCGGTGACGTCGCATGGGCCATCGAGAATCCAGAGGACGCTCAGACTGTGGGCAACGTTCTCCATGGCGGAGTGTTCGTTGAGAGGAAGGGCCGAATTAAGCTGATTAATGGTACTGTCACGTCCAAATTACGTAGGAACATTGGTCTTATACCACAGTTTGATACACCGCATCTTTTACGTTCCGCTTTGATCGAGTTTTACTATTCAATTCGAGGGGCGTGATGATCGACCGAGACACATTATCTTAGGTACTCCTTCGTTCCAGGATCAGCCTCGAGCCATACCTGTTCCTGGCGCAAAGCATTGGGCGAGAAGCGCAAGACATGCTTTCAAACCACCAACCAACCAAATAAATGGGATATGGCTTCCGGTCAGCAAAGGCCCGAGGAGCCAAGCAGTGCGACTATCCACTGTAGGTTTGTCATACTGCTCAGAGCTTAACCAGACTTCTCATCTACGCTGGCGTGCATGACACGGACATTTCGTGCCTCCACGACGTCTCTCCTGGCTCATTCAAGGCGCACTCAGCCAGCGCGGCATCGAGTATTAGAAGCAATCATCACTTGACCAGGCTGTCATGCCTGACTGGCACCGCACGCACGCTGCGACTGCCGTGCATGGATAGTGAGCGGGGAAAGCCACCCTGACATCTTTCATCATCAGGCTGACCGAAATGGGCAACCCGCCGCATGCACACACAAAAGTGCTACACATGTAGATAGCAAGAGGCTCGAGCTTTTCACTACGATACTGTTCGAGAGAGCATCAACAGCGAGCGGTTCGATATATGGACCAATAAGATTGAGGCTTCAGCCAGACCAGGCCTTGTGCCATCCAGTATCGACACTTGATTTGACTCGTACAGGACAGACACTGGAGATAAATTAAAAACCGATGCGTACAGCGGCTGCCTCAAAAAGAGGTCCACTGGAAACCCCGCTGCCAAGTCGTCTACGCTCCATCTTGACTCGCTAGACACGCACGGCACGGTTCCAAACCCCCACCAGCACTCCCCACGCTACACCGTAAACCGATAGCTTGGGACATCTGGCGAGAGGCTTACTCGATGTTGTGACCTGTTCCGGGGCCAATGGGCGGTTTCCAGGTACCCCCAGTTAGCCCAAACGAGGCGCTATGTCATCATCGACAGGGTCGATTCCGCCATTGTCAACCCTCTAGGGCTCTGAACCATGCTCCCCGAGGTCCCTTCATGGCGAGATGTGCCTCGAGAACCACGTTGTTTTACTCGTTCTTCGGCCTGCTTCTGATAAGTAGCCAAGAGCACTAGGCACAGAACCGGCGGAGGGCACACCAGACCGTCCGAAGACTTGAGCTTATTGGCCGTGTCTCGAGCTCTTTGAAGAGCGCAGTTGAGCTAGACCGAGGCGATGGAGTTGGAGGGCCCGCCCTTAACACCACCTAAAACCCGGGATGCGTCTTTTGTTCCAGCATTTCGAGCTCTAGCTCGACGTCGTGACAAGGGCGATCCCAAGGTGGCGCGCCATGAAAAAAATAAAAACGGGTAAATCTCCCGCATATAGGTATTGAACGCCCTGCCAGTGCCTCCTGCTCTCTTTCCTACGACACTATCCTCCCCCGGCACGCAAACCTCCCATAACATCGCTGTTTGCTCCTGGGCTGCCGTCTCCTTTCGTCCACAGAGATACCTAGAGTGAGCGGTCCCAACTCCAGCCCAGAGACAAGGCGAATATCACCCGCGGCCATGGACCCAGCGTACCAGCATGGCGGCGTCAAGAAGACGGCGCAGCCAGAGGACGGCCGGCGCCTCGAGGAGTCGACCGACGAGGAGAGCGGCGACTTCGCGGCCATCGACCCGCACTCGGGCGTCAAGCGCGGCCTCAAGACGCGGCACCTCAGCATGATGGCGCTGGCGGGCATCATCGGCCCGGGCCTGCTCGTCGGCTCCGGCGGCGCCCTCTCGTCGGGCGGCCCCGCGTCCCTGGTCATCGGCTTCGGCGTCATCGGCATCATCGCCTTCAGCGTCATGCAGAGCCTCGGCGAGCTGACGACGTTGTACCCGAGCGGCGGCGCGTTCACCGCCCTGGCGGACAGGATGGTCGACAAGGCCTTTGGCGTCGCTGTGGGCTGGAATTATTTCATCATATGGTGCGTTTCTCTTGGGTCTCCTTACTTTTCCCGTGTCCGATATCTGTTGGGCGGGCGCACTGGGATCTGCGACGTACACCAACAGCCTCGCTAACATGAGGGGGTCCGACCTGAAAAAACAACAGGTTCGCGGTTCTGGCAAATGAATATAATGCTATAACGAGCATCTTCAGTTTTTGGAGCGATAAAGTGCCCATCTGGGGCTATTTCCTGCTGTTCTGGGTGAGTTTTGCTGTGGCCCAGGAAACACGCGCGCAAAAAATGAAGACGGGGGTCCGGATGGGCTGACCTTGTGGAAATAGACTGCTTTTCTCATCTTCCAACTACTCGGAGTAGAGACTTTTGGCGAGGCCGAGTTTTGGCTTGCCCTGCTGAAACTGGGAGGTCTTGTAGCATATTTCTTCTTCTCCATCATGTAAGTGTGCCACCGCATCGCGCACCCAAATTGTGGCGGGAGAGAGACTCGTCCTGACAAATCCATCACGCAGCTACGTGTCCGGAGGCGTCCATGGCGCGCCAGCGATCGGCGGCAAGTACTGGCACGACCCGGGCGCCTTTGTCGACGGCTTCCGCGGCGTCGCCACCGTCTTCGTCTTCTGCTCGACCTTTTACGCAGGCGTCGAGTCGGTCGCCGTTGCGGCCACCGAGACCAAGAACCCGCGAGTGGCCGTGCCCCTCGCCATCCGCCAGGTTTTCTGGCGCATCATCTTTGTCTACATGGGCTCGGCCATCTTCTTCGGCCTGACCTGCCCGGCCAACGCCGACGGCCTCATCAACGGCGGCAGCCGCGCGCTCAAGTCGCCCATGACCATCGCCATCCAGAACGCCGGCTGGGAGGCCGGCGTGCACCTCATCAACGCCTTCATCTTCGTCACGTGCCTCAGCGCCGTCAACTCGAGCGTCTACATCGGCAGCCGCACGCTGCTCTTCATGGCGCAGGACGGCAAGGCCCCGCGCTTCCTCGGCTGGACGGACAAGCGCGGCGTGCCCGTGCCCGCCATCGTCTTCACCAACGCCTGCGGCGCGCTGAGCATGATGAACGTGTCGACGGGCGCCAGCAAGGCGTACGGCTACATCGTCAACCTGTCCGGCGTCAGCACCTTCCTCGTCTGGGGCGCCATCTCCTTCATCCACATCCGCTTCCGCTCGGCCTGGCGCGCGCAGGGCTTCGACCCCAAGGACCTGCCGTTCAGGTCGCTGTGGTACCCGTGGAACGCCTACTTCGGCCTCGCGGCCAACGTCTTCCTCGCGCTGGTCCAGGGCTGGACGACGCTGTCGCCCTTCAACGCGGGCAACTTTGTCGACGCCTACATCCTGCTGCCGCTGTTTGGCATCATCTACGTCGTGTACAAGGTCATCTTCAAGACGCGCTTCTGGCGACTGCAGGAGATCGACCTGCTGTCGGGCCGCAGGAGAGACCTGGAGGAGGTCAAGGAGATGCAGAAGGGCGAGCTGGACGAGGCGTCGATGCCGTGGTGGAAGAGGGTTTGGAGGAGTGCGTAGAGTGGCGATGCTCAGCAAGCGTATGATGTGTGGATGTAGCTCACCAGAGGGTCCTCATCGCGTGAAAGGTTCAATCTTGCTATATGCTCGGGCCCCTTTATTTGCCTTGGATAGCAGAAGCTCTAGAAGAAGAGAATTGAGACGTCCACTGACCCCGTAAATGGGACGAGCGTGAATGCCATTGGAGATTTTGGGGGAAATGGGAGTCTTAAATAAAGACGGAGACACAGACCCGGATACCCCGCTGGATCCCCAGAACCAGTGGGCATTCCCAAACTTTGCCCATGTGGACCGCTGACGGGCAAACCCTTCCTGTTCTGGTCCATTCGAGCATCCCGCCCGGTCCACGATGTGTCAATGCCCAGCAAACATGGTGTTTCTGTGTGTCAACTAGCGTCCACCCAGCGCCCCCGACAGCTACCCTTTCGCCTTGCGATATTGTTGCTGCGGTCGACAGTAACCCTTGTGCTCCCAACCCAAGGATGTCCACTGCAAGAAAGGCTTCCAAAGATGGCGCCGTTGATCACAACTCCCATTTTCGCATCCTTGAACGTAATCACTGGTGGTTTCCCTCCAATTTGAGGCGTGAGACTCAGCCGCCGGAACTTGACTTCGATACCCAAAGTTTACGTTTGCATCCTCCCAATACTCATCAACGGTGGATGCCAGCGGCTCCGGCCAGGGCATCCCATCCGTCGCGCTGGTGAAGCCTTCGGCCTGTGTTGCTTTGACAGGCTTACCGCCCTTATCGTACCATGCATCCATTCCGGAGTCCCACCAACAGCGATAGAGCGGCTCTTCATCATGTTCGTCGTGCCGTCCAACCAGTATGAAATGACATAAGTGGATGTTCCAGCACTCCGGGTCCGGAGTAGCGACATCCACTCCATTTCGAAGCTTGACCTCATCTATGAAGTCTGTTCTGATAGCATGATCAAGATTGTCGTCTGCACTCTGAGGGCTTGGCCTGATGATTAATGTGCCCCCGCGGTCAAGAAAGAAGGTCCGTTGGTTATGTGTTGCGAACCGTTCCTTACTACTCCCCATACCCCTATCCAAGAAGTTCGTGCACTTGATCGTTTGAACTAGACCTTCCCCGTGGATCCCAGTAATAGATCCTTTGGGAGGTCGGAAGGAGCACGCATCGACTACCAAATCTCGAGGGCGGGCATCCGCGGTGATAAAGCTCAAGTTATCATCTTCGCCCCTGTAGAGACGGAACTGCCGCCCTGGGCAGTCCTCTTCCAGCGAGGACTGATTCTCATCTTCCTCCCTGGGGAAATATCTGTCCACAAGCCAGTACAAATGGCCGAGGTCCATGGAATGCATCAACTGCTCATATACGAATGCCTGTTCGTCGTGCGGTTTCAGAGGTTGGACAAACCCCTTCCAGACTTTTCGCATGACATTGCGCCATTGCTTGTTATCCTCTATGAACTTGGGCAATTTCCACATTCCCGATTTCTTCAGTGGATCCCACCCTTGATGTTCTCTTAGTGAGTCTCGCGCGTTCTCATCAACTGTTCGCCAACTTTTTAACTCCGCCAAGAAGTCTGGAGGGTATTCCGACCAGTGCGGCAAGACTGCGCTGATGTCTTTGACAGTCCGGTAGCCCAGCGGTGCGAACACAAGGACTTTGTCCGCAGTACATAAGGGCTCATGAGGCGTCGATGGCTTCTGCTTGAAGAAAGGCGAATAGTCGGGAATTTGAACTCCCCAGTCCGGAACCCAAGAAGGCAGTCTCTCGCGCATTCTAGAATTTGTGATTGATTGGGTGAGGACATCAAGGGCTTTGTGGGGGGATGCCACGCTCTCCAGCACGTATTTGGCTGCAGAGAGAAAGACATCTTCGAGGCTCCGGGAGTAGTCGATTCAGATTCGTCTCATTACGCGATCCCGGTCCGAATGGAGCGACATGAATCCAAAAACCATATCTCTCGGATCCGTGGCCTGGCTCCCACGCCTAGAATGGAGGATCTCCCAAAGAGGTCGATTACCCTCCCAGAGGTCTCTGAGACCCCAGCCCCTCATCCCAAGCTTTCCCTGCCCGCTGGAATGAAAACTGCAGCGGACATCATCCATGTCCTTGACAAACGAGTCCCCAAATGAGTCGCCGATCACTGGGAGCAACAAATTGCACAAGTCAGACCACCAAACTCGCTGTTGACCGCACTGCACCCAAGGCTGCCTCGAAAGGACCAATTCTTGGTATATCCAGACTCTGTGAAACCAAGGACGACGGAGCAGGTCCATCTGAGCCGCCTGCCTCAAAACCTTTGACAATTCATGTTTCGCATCGAACGCGTCTGTCGCCTTTGATGATTCTACAAAGGAAACAGGTGAGTCGGGACCTCCAACTTTCTCGTCTTGCTCGTCTTGCTCATCTTGCTGGAAGTTGAAACCGATGTAGTCTTCGGCTACTTCGTCATGAAGACGGCTCACGGTTCCCACTGCCTGCTCATCCAGCGTGTGTCTACGCTGCGCAGCTGTCAAGATGATAGCAGTTGCTTCAGTTTCCTCCCCCAAATAAATTACAGTATTTCGTGCGGTCCAGTAGATCTGTCCCATCATGGAGACCTGTACATTGCGCTCTGGAATGTCGTCCTGATTAATGCAGAGCGCGTCTGCCCAAATGAGGTGAACTCTCGCTCGATCACGCAGGGCCCGGAGGCTCGCGTCTAGGCTGGCAGTAATTTGGACTTCATCCTGGCCTAGATGGATCGAATGAGTCTTGTCCGGCAAACCCCAAACATAAGATAAGGCCGTATATCCTCCAATCAAATCATCAAGGCACTCATCAAGAGTGGTGTGAACCAGTGCCCCGGAGAGAGGTTCTTGTTGTTCAGGAGATGGCTGCAGCGCTAAGAGTCTGATTGCGCCGACTCCCTGTAGTGACTTGTAGCGGAAACAATCCGAGGTTCCCTGGGGCATCGTTATGGGCGTCAAGGAGATGATATTACAAGTTTGATTAGGCAATACAGGTTAGAAAATCATCAGTATGAATTGTTTGTCGGATATTCATCAACATCACCATCACTAGTCTGAAGGATGAGCATTGAGCAGGTTCTAGGCAGCAAGGTATCAGGCAGTTTAATGGATGCCTAAAAGTGCACATCTATGCACGTCGCTTATCCCTTTAAACGCTGTAGGAACACTCCCTCCAGTATTTTTCATCCACTGATCGATCCGGATTTCTTATTGAAGAGGGCAATAGTTGCACATGATGTGTTCCTACGGCGTCTAAAGGGATAAAGGTTCGAGTGTACGAACAAAGGTAGGTATTTGCCGAGGGCTCCTTAAAGACGAGCCTTTTCTTGGTTCAACTTTGCCACCGCCTTGGGATACATTTCGTATGCGTGCTTCTCTGCATCAAAGTTGAGGAGCCATGCTTCCCGAACTAAGTGTATCGACTCTGGGTTCTTCCATATCTCATCCCAGTTCGCGTGGTGCCAACGCTCACGGGTGGATACACCCGTTGCCTGAGCTTTGTGGACTCGATCATACCTGATCTTCTCGTAGGCCCTCAGCGCCTCGGAGATCTTCCCTTTCCCGCTCAGTTCGAGACAAGTGGCCAGGGTCACACCATCCTCGATGGATTGGCTGGCACCCTGGATAGAGGTTGGAAGGAACGGGTGTGCGGAGTCGCCGATCAGCGCGATCTTGGCTTTGGGAGAGATGAAGGTGGGAAGAGGGCTTCGGTATACCAGCTTGTGATCAATCAGTCTTCCCTCAGGTGTGGCCTTGACGAGTTCGAGAACGACAGGATCCCAGCCTTCAAGATACCGCAGCGCCTCCTCCACTTTGCCAGGGAATTGCCAGCTTTCTTCAATGTTCCCATCATCGATATGGGTAAACACCCAGTTGAACTCCTTTCCGCCCTTCAAGGACGATGCCAGAAAGTGGATGTCGCGCCCGATCCAACCGCTGTGGGTGTCGCCGTTCTCGACCAAGTGTTTCGTAATAGGGTTCTTTGCCAGCTTGTCGGCAGGGAACCATGCCCGATAGACGGCATAGCCAGATGACTTGGGCTTGTCGTCGAAACCCAGAACGATCTTGCGGCCACGCGACCGTACGCCCTCGGAAGCAATCACCACGTCGGCAGTGACCTTCTTCCCATTCACCATGACCCCAGCCCCGTTCTCATCCTCGAAATAGTCTGTCACTCTCTGGTTCAGGTGTATGTCGATGGTCCCACGTTCCTTGATATGGTCCCAAATGACCTGGTGTATCGCGCCGCGGTGCGCGTTGATGCGCTTGCCCCAGGCCTTTTCCTTCTCGAACGACTGCGTCGTGACGAATTTGCCCTTCCAGTCGTAGAAGGAGATGGAATCGGTCCTCCGCATGACCTTCTCGAGCGCAGGAACAACTCCCGGCCAACGCTCAAAGCAGCGGCTGCCGTTAGGGTCGAAGGAGATGATATCGCCGATGCGCTGCAGCTCCTCGACGTCTGCCGCTTTCTCGTAGAGCACGACGGAGTGGCCCTTGCGGTCGCACTCAATAGCGGCAGCAAGCCCACCGAAGCCAGCGCCGACAACGATGACCTTGATGCCCGAAGGCGGGAGCCTGGGAATCTTGTCTGGCATGATGGAGGGCCGGAAGTGGGATAAGAAAATACGACGTGACAAGTTATACGTCCGATTGTAACACCAATGTTATTTCCCGTACATCACAGGTGTTATGTGATGGACGTCAAATGATGGATTCTTCAATGTCGGTGAGAAAAAGACTGTATCTCACTCCGTTCCGTAATAGTCCTGAATAAATCCGGGGTTCGGAGCCAGATCCTTCAACCCCGCACGGGAACAATTACCGATGTCTGGTGTCGACAAGTGCTGGCTATTGAGCCTGAGTGTCAATATCTCCAACTGCCGTAGGCCCGTTGGGGTACACTCCACAGATCGGGGGTTTGATTTGCCTCCCGCTACGCAGCGAGCCATCGCCGAGACAGAACCATCCACCATATCATTGACCTTTATTCAAGATTAGACAAAAATACTTGAGGGCAAATCCGTCTTAGCATCTCTGTCAGGTTATTTATTATGGGTATTATATATAGAAGACGACTCGGGAGAATGTTACTTCAATCCTCGGCGGTATTCTCCGACTGAGTGGAAAGTGGACATCCTGACAGCTTGAGGCTGCCGAGTAACGTTGCGAAGCCTAGGCACGACTCATTGTCCATCCATTGAGTGAGACTGAACAATACAATCGCAAGTAACTGAACGGCGGAAGATGCAGTTACATACGCTGATGCCGTTGAAGCACTCTATAGACATACCTTGCTTTTCCCAATGTAGCCGGACTGACAAAACATTGTCTATTTCAATATCCAGCTGGTAGAAACCTCGCCACTTCCCAAGGAATACTCGATCAGGGGGGGGGTTGGCGCCATTAGTAATCTCTTAGAGACGAGAAAAGCAAACTGACATAGATGGTCACTAGATACGAAGTAACTTCGTGTACAGGGAAGCCTATTCACTTTGCCATTTTCAGATTGACTGCCCCCCCCCCCCCCCCCCCC